GTAGATTTGTCTTAAATCATTTAGCAACAGAAAAGGGATTAGCATCAATAGTTTATAATTTGAGTTTCTCACCAAAATTAACATTTTTAGATATATCAGGATGTGGTGCAATAACATCTTTTGATTTAGTTGAAAGTTTATATAAATTATTAAGAATTACTGCTAGTTTGAACATTTAAATTTAGAGAGATTATCTTCTTTAAATTTAACAAAAGAATTCTTTATAGCATTAGGTGAAAGTAGAACTTTAAGAACATTTAATTTAAATGCTATAGGAGAATTCAATGATATAAAATTAGACTATTTAGGTCAATCAATAGCTTTTAATACATAAAAAGTAGGTTAATTAACTATTGTTAATTTAAATTATGATGGTATAAACCATTAAAGGTTAAAGATATTAGTTGAAAGCATGGTAATTTCAAATTATGATCATGAAGTTTGGTATGGTGTGATGCTAATAAAGTTAGTAAAATGACAGGTGATGATTACAAAAAAGTATTTAGATGTAATTTATAAACTCTTGATATTAAAATATCAACATTCGGTCCAATTTTGATATTAACCATTATAAGAGTTAATATAAAGCTAAAAATGAATTGTAAAATATTTTTGAGAAGAATCCAAATCTTATAGATGTAAATTTTGCTGAAAATAATTTAATAAAAAAGATATGGATTTATTATGTGAGATGGTATTATCTGTTTAATTAACATTTTTAGCTTTCTAGATTAATATTATTATTTAAAATCTTTAAGATAATTTATTTTAATTTAAATATTCTAATTTATTCTTTTACAAAATTAAATGTATTTAATAATGCTTAATCTTAAAATTATGCTTTAAATAAATTTATAATTTATATACATTGAAAAACAATTAAATTAAAAGTTTTGAATCTTAGTAAAAATAATTTAAGTATAGAAGGAGCTAAAGTGTTAAGTAAATTTTTAGAATCAAATACTACTTTAGAATTTTTAGATTTATCAGGTAATAAAATTGGAGTATCAGGTGGTTAGAGTATTGCAATAGCATTGAGAAAGAATTAAAATCTTAAGTAATTGAATATTTTCTTCAATTTAATTGGATTTGATGGAGCAAAAGAATTTGGAGCAACATTTAAAATAAACAAAACTCTTGAATTTATTGATCTTGGTATTAATAGAATTAGAAATAAGGGATTATTAGCTATAACTTAAGGATTGAGTGAAAACAATTAATCTAAGGTAAATACACTTGGTTTAAGATTTAATTTCTTATCAGAAGATGGTATTTTAAATTTAATAAAAAAAACAAATTTATAAGAGATTTTATAAAAAATAATTCAATAACAGATTATGGTTTATATTGTTTAAAGAAAGGATATGATGAAATAAAATCAAATGTTAGAATTGATTTATTTTCTAAATTAATATAAATAGAGGAAAGTAGACTTGAAAGAACAGCTTGGATTCAACCTAAATTTAATATACCAGAAATAATTGCATTTTTCAATAAATTTGATGTAGGAGTAATTTTAGATGCAAGATTTAGAAAGGGACAAAAATATGAGAATCGTAAAGTTTAACTAAATCATTTTAATTTTGTTGAATTTGCTGATCCAAACAGTTTAAATAGATCTCTTGCTTTAGCATCAACAAGTTAAGCTGTGATAAATGGTAAAGCTTTTAGAATTTATAAGGCAGGAACAGGAACTTTCATATGTATTTAAATAATAATAATTATTAGATTTAAAAAAGAGTGCAAAGTAAAAGAAAGCAGAAAATTCTAAAACAAATACATTATAAGCAAAGATGCCAGTTAGTTCAACTGGTAGAGGTCGTGGAAGGGGTAGAGGAAGAGGAAGAGGAAGAGGAAGAGTATGAAACAATAGAATAACTAATAAATAAATACAAATAATATATTTATATCAATTAATATAATTGTTAAACATATTACTTTAAAATTATGTAATTGAAAAATTAAATATATTTTATTAATACATGAATTAAGAAGGTCTGTCAAATTTATTAAAACTAAAACCATAAACCCTTCTTTAGTAAAATAATTAATTAGGATTATATCGCCCCAAGAGTTAATAAAAATATTGCAACCAATAATAATCTATATAACGCCCCCCATCATCATAACTCCAAACTCTTAGTGGAACTGTAAAACACAAACGATTTATCCATAAAAAGAATAATCTTATGAAGAATAGATAATCTTAAACTAATTTACAACAATAATAGAATCAAGAACATAATTGTTATGAAATCACTCCTTAGCTATTATCAGAAATAAGTATAGATGATCCAATCTGGAAAAACATTCTCCCCAATAATCTTTAATTAGATGAAAAATAGCTTATATAATTATTAGATGAAAATACAGATTATTTTTATCATAACTTAAAGTTATGTGCATGTTATAAATGTATTTGTGGTAGATGTAAATGTGATGCTAATAATTAAATCAAATTAAAACTAAATGGAATGTTCTTAACTAATTATGATAAAGATTTTGTTAACAACCATAAATCAAAATACAGTTTAACCAATCCACTAAATTAAAAAACATATGAAACTAATTTTATGGATTAAAAATCTATAAATTTGAAATCTTTATATTAGCAAGATTTTCAATAATAGCCTATTGAATTAACAACAAACTTAAAAAAACACTCTAGTTAATAAGTAGGATCTGTCTCTAATCTTACTAGTTATAGGGTATTTTTCTATTTCTATAAAAGTCAAATTATAATGAATGGGGAACCAATTATCATAAATTTATTCCCTATCCTCACATTAGTACAAGTCCAGATATTAAATTTATTGGCACTTCACAATACAAAGATTCATATATTTCTCCAAACAGATTGAGCCTTAATAATGCAAATAATTTTAAAACTTCTTTGTAAGCATTCTTTTATAATATTCAAGAGCACCTTTACCTAATGGTTAATTTGAAAGTTAAACTACACATAAGATGAGTTTCCTTCCATATCCAACATCTCATATATCTTAGATTAATCCACAAAATGTATTTAGGTTTTAATTAATTTAGTTTTATCAAAAGATACCTACATATGAAGGCTAGTTTATTTCAACAGAAATGAATGATTATATTTAAAAAGAAGATGTAAGTTGTCCATCAAAATTATTCTAAAAATTATTTCGTAGATAAATGGCTGAAAAAATATTAAAAAAATAATAACAATTCCTTTAAAATTAAATTAAATAAAATTGAATAAATATTTATATAGATAATAAATACAATCTATTTTTTTTTCCTTTTTTTCTATTATTAAAATTACAATTAAGTTATTTTGCCATTTTAATTTCTTTTTCTAGATTACAGTTAATTTGTCTTGATTTAAATTCTCTATTTAGTTACTGTGAAATACGTAACCATTTCTAAGAATCTATATATTAGTTTTTAAATAAATTCTAAATGTTTTGAAATTTATTTTGAAAAATAGCCTAATGATAATAAAAAAGGAGATCGATGAAATCGTTCATCTAAAAATAGATAGCTAATTGAAATTGTTTATAATTGAATTAAAAGCAAAGTACTCCATCTTTCTTTTTCTATTCTTTTACAGATAATAAGAAGATAAGAGGTCAGAAGAATTAATCATTTTAAGATTATCATTTTTATCATATTATGAAAATTTCAAAATGATCTGAAGAGAAATCACTTCCATTTTTATTTTAGTGTATTTATTTAAGCATTCTGTAAATCTAAATGATTTATTTTCATCTTCATTTCAATATTGGTGATAAATTTTTATTTTTTATATATCAAATAAAATTAAATAGGTTTCTCCTAATTTAATTTAACATGACTTATGCTTTCAACTTTTTATTCTGAATTTTCACCCTAAAATTATAAAAAAATTTTCAAGAAAATTAGTTTTCTGTATTAATTTTTGATATCTTTTAAGTGTAGTCTTCATATTACAAGTATTACAATTAATACACATAATAAGCTCTTTTTTTGTGATCTCTTAAAATAAAAATTTTTATATTATATATATATTTTATTATAAAACTCATTCAAACTTCTAGAATTCACTATTTTGGTTATTACTCTTATGAATTTTATTAAACTTCTATATTTTTTTGAGTTTTCTTAGGATAAAATTTTAAGTATGTATATTTTCCTGCTAAAAGAACTCCTCCAAAAACTACAAGTGTAAATGATATAATCAAATGCCTTGCTCTATTCTGAATTTACTTTTTGATAGCCTCTGGAATCTCATACTACTATTATTATTTATTATTATTGCAAAAGGTATAAGTTTAGAAGGAATTAAAAAACATAATGTAATTAATTATTAATATTAAAATAATTCTTTTTTTTTTTGAAATAGATTATAAATTTTTATTTTTTTTAAACCTTTTTTTTCAAAAAGAACAAGATAAAACATAATATCTAATAGCAGATTATTGCAAAAATTCCAAAGTTGAATCAGAGACTATATGTGGCAAATATTTAGATTAATAGTGCATAGCTTAACTAATTGATAAAAGTGATAAGTGAAATTCTTTGATAAATAAATCCAAAATATATGCAGCCCATAAAAAAAAAAAAATAATTAATTAAAAACACCTATTGAATATCTAATATTTTATTATTATGATTAGACAGACTGAAATTATAAGGATAACAGTTAACAACATTATAATTAAAACCTTGAAATTTTCTTCAATTCCAGCAAATTACTATAAAAACCAATATTTATAATTATTATTCATAAATTTTTTTGATTTGATGTTATATAGAAAATGGCTAAAAATGTCGTTAATACTTGGATAAGAATTATTTAATTTTTATCTGACTTTTTCTTCTTTACCATTCTATATTTATTCAAATAGTAAATTAAGTTTCATGATTAAAAGCATATTAGAAAAGACATAAAATACAAAATAAAAACATAATTCTCAAATTGTTAAATCATCAATATCTATAATCAATATTTATATTATAAATGGGAATCAATAAATATTAATTAAACTGCAAATCTTAATTTTAATCCTACTTACAATAAATAAGGACCATGATCATTCCAAAAAAATATTCTACATTATTCAAGGGCTAAAAATGGCAACAAATATATTAAATTACTTACTCATCATCCAACACTGTAATATGTTGGGGCATAAGAAATTCCATTGTAATAAATAGAATTCTACATAAAAAGACATCATTATCTAATTTAGAAATTATAATGAATTTTTGTTATCATTAATATCATTATTAATATTTTTTCACTAAGAAATCAATAAATTCTTATTATGAAATCTAACCATCTCCATTCGCATCACACATTTAAAGAATTTCTTTCCATAAATTATCATCTACTCCACCCATAATTTCTTAAAGTTCTTCTCTGCTAATTTATCCATCCCCATTCTTAAGTTTAATAAAATAGATTACCGTATCAAACATATTAAAGGCTTATTACAATTTAATTTTGCTTAATAGTTTTTCTTCTGATGCAGCTGACATCATAAATTCTGTAAAATCTACAAAACCTGATTTATTAATGTCAACTTTTTCGAAAATATCATCAACCATTTATTTAGCTTTAATTTCATCATATTATTTCATATAAACTATATATAATTACATTTATATATATACCTTAAAGTAATTCTTCTTTACTAATTTATCCATTTCCATCTTTATCTATTTTTTTAAACTCATTTAATAAACCTTCTTTTTCTGTATTAGTCATGAGATTAGTAGTAATAAATTACATAAGAGCAGCTCTAACTTTATTTTTACCCTAGAATAAAAGATTGCATAATACAAAAAAAGAAGATAAATTTTTAATGGCTTTCATATCAATTTATCCGTTTGGTGCATTCTTTTGAATCCAAGGATCATTATAAGCTTCTTGTGCAGATATTCTCTATTAATAATCTTTAGTTAACATTTTCTTTATTAAATTTTTAGCATCTTCTGATATTTTACTCCAATCTTCAGCTATATAATTAAATAAATAAAATTTCTTACGATCAAATTCATATTTCCCGATTTCTATATTTTGTAATATTTCTTAATCTTAACCACCAAATGGAGGATAACCACAAAGCATAATATATAGAATAACTCCACAACTCCAAACATCACATTTTTCATTATAATTTCTCTTTAATACTTCAGGTGCAATATAATAAGGCTTTAATTATTATTATATATTTTACAGTTCCTAATCTCTTAGTTAAGTTCTAATTATTTTCCATCTTCCTCGAAGTCCCAAAATCAATAATCTTAAGATTTGAATTTGGTTTTTTATTTTCAAATAGTATATTTTCAGGTTTCAAATCTCTGTGAACTACTTTCTTTTAATGACAATGAACAACTCCACCTAAAATTTATTTCATTATATCTGCAGCCATTTTTTCNTTATCATTAATATCATTATTAATATTTTTTCACTAAGAAATCAATAAATTCTTATTATGAAATCTAACCATCTCCATTCGCATCACACATTTAAAGAATTTCTTTCCATAAATTATCATCTACTCCACCCATAATTTCTTAAAGTTCTTCTCTGCTAATTTATCCATCCCCATTCTTAAGTTTAATAAAATAGATTACCGTATCAAACATATTAAAGGCTTATTACAATTTAATTTTGCTTAATAGTTTTTCTTCTGATGCAGCTGACATCATAAATTCTGTAAAATCTACAAAACCTGATTTATTAATGTCAACTTTTTCGAAAATATCATCAACCATTTATTTAGCTTTAATTTCATCATATTATTTCATATAAACTATATATAATTACATTTATATATATACCTTAAAGTAATTCTTCTTTACTAATTTATCCATTTCCATCTTTATCTATTTTTTTAAACTCATTTAATAAACCTTCTTTTTCTGTATTAGTCATGAGATTAGTAGTAATAAATTACATAAGAGCAGCTCTAACTTTATTTTTACCCTAGAATAAAAGATTGCATAATACAAAAAAAGAAGATAAATTTTTAATGGCTTTCATATCAATTTATCCGTTTGGTGCATTCTTTTGAATCCAAGGATCATTATAAGCTTCTTGTGCAGATATTCTCTATTAATAATCTTTAGTTAACATTTTCTTTATTAAATTTTTAGCATCTTCTGATATTTTACTCCAATCTTCAGCTATATAATTAAATAAATAAAATTTCTTACGATCAAATTCATATTTCCCGATTTCTATATTTTGTAATATTTCTTAATCTTAACCACCAAATGGAGGATAACCACAAAGCATAATATATAGAATAACTCCACAACTCCAAACATCACATTTTTCATTATAATTTCTCTTTAATACTTCAGGTGCAATATAATAAGGCTTTAATTATTATTATATATTTTACAGTTCCTAATCTCTTAGTTAAGTTCTAATTATTTTCCATCTTCCTCGAAGTCCCAAAATCAATAATCTTAAGATTTGAATTTGGTTTTTTATTTTCAAATAGTATATTTTCAGGTTTCAAATCTCTGTGAACTACTTTCTTTTAATGACAATGAACAACTCCACCTAAAATTTATTTCATTATATCTGCAGCCATTTTTTCTGTAAAATGTTTCATATCGGTAATCTTTTAAAATAACTCTCCACCTTCTAAATATCTATAAATATTTCAATTAATTACTCAGTCACAAGATAATAATTTTTTGCATCTTAAAATAATTCATGTAATGTAACAATATTAGGATGATCCAACTCTTTTAAAGTATTTACCTCTGAAAACATATTCTCCTCATCTTCCTTTATTATTTTGTCCTTCCTTATTTGTTTCATAGCTCTCTTACATCCAGAACTTTTATGTATAACCAATCTAACATCACCAAAAGCCCCTACTTTTACATTTAACAACTACCTGATCCCAAACTTTTCTCTATTTTATAAAAGTTACTTATTGACCCTTATTTAAGTGTTACAAAGATGTCAGGACCTACTTTAAATCCATCAACATTTCCTTATTATGTCCCTGGCATCAAAGCCTAACCAGCTGTTGCTGGCTTTCTTTATTATGATGAACAAGGTCCCATTATTAATATAATTTTATTTATTGCATTTACATACTTATATTATTAACTTACTACCATTTCTAATATTCTAACTTCTCCATCTAAATTCCTACTCAAATACATTATTTAACTTACATATACTTTTTATCATATAATACATTTATCCAAACACAATCTAAAATATAACAAAAACTAATTTATTTCAACTTAACCCTCTCCTTCATTTACTTCTATCAATTCATTATCATCAAATCTCCTAACTCTTAATATTTTCATTAACTTGTATTAATTCTCAGTAATTATGACAATCTAATCAAAAGATTCCTATAACACTGAACCATACAAATTAGGAATATATATCAAAATAGAAAGAAGAAATTAATAAAATATTAAAAACTAAATAACTTACATTATCTTATCAAAATAAAAATTTTAAATAAAATGATACATACTAGAGATTTATTTAAATAATTGATTTAATCAAATAAAAATATGAAAGTAGATCTTTATACATCTAGATGAATTACAATTTTATAAAAACATTTTAAAAACTTTATTTAACATGATTAAACACACTAAAGAATAAAAATATTCTAAAAAGAAAGAACTGAAGCACTATAAGAAATATTGAAAGACTAGTATTTAATTGTAGATTATTTTATTATAGAGGTTCTTAAAATCATTTAAGAGATTTGTGTTAGAGTAAAATTAATAATTACAAGAAGCGTATAACAAAAAAGGAATTTTAATAAATGTATTTAGTATTCTAAAGATGTAAAATTTTCTTAAATTATTTAAATACATTAATTCCATGTTTTTATTTGAAATAAAAAATGTTATACATGCCTTGAGTTTAGAAAACCAAAAATTCGCTTGTACTTTTTTTTTATTAAAAATAAAAATAAATTAATTTGATAAATCTTGAAATAATAGTTTTAAATATAATAAAATTATATATTATAATAAATAGAAAATGAATAGATAATTATAAAATAATAATCAATTATCATCTTCAACATCATCATGTTCTTCATCATCTTCCTTGATGATGGGTTACGTAATTGTTTCAGTAATTAAAGTAGTAGAAAAGATCAATTCAAATAAATTTTTTTAATCTAAAATGTGTTTTTTTTTGTTGAGAGGAGGTGGGAACATAGGATCAATAGCTATTCGAATAGTGTTTTCAATAAGATGAGAAATTAGTCTGGCTAATAATGGACAACATGTTTCTAAACAAGGATTTGTATTAACTTCAATAAGCCAAGGTTTCATTTCTTAATCTATCATATAATCCAATCCAAATAATTCAAAAGTATAAAAGTGTCTGTTTGGATCTAAATGTTAATATGTAGCTTTTACAATATCAGTACTTAACTTTTTGAGTTAATCTATTATAATTTAAAAATTGAAATTATGATTATCTTATAAATATTTTTAAAACTCATTAAAAGAAACCTAATTTATAATTAATAACTTACTTTATTGCCAGTTTCATATTTTCCATAATACTAATTCTTTTTTTAAACTGCATCATTAGTTAAATGAGTAAATTTATCATCTACATCATCTAAAGAGAATTCTTTACAACTGGTTCTAATATAGCCTTCTTGATACCAATATGCTTTAAATTTATTATTGATACTGGTCATTAAAATGTAACATCTAATATCGAATTTTCTTTTATTATATAAAAGTGGTTTTTCCATATATTTTTAAACAATAAATGTTTTTTTGATTCCATTATGATGATTAATGGATTAAGAAATAATTGATTTAACTTTTTAGATTGAATTAGCAACTTATATTCCATTACCTCTATTAGATGATTCTCCAGGTTTAACAATCCATAAATATACATTTTAGGTTTATGCATAATTTTCAAATTCTTAATAAGCAGGATCATTTGAACCTGATTAAATATGATAAGTAAGTGGGATATATTAAAAGGGATCCTCGTTTCGAGAAATATAGTAATTTTTCATATTATAAAAGAGGGCTTTTTTATTGCAGACTTAAAAATTACTTTCTAAATGATTATGAATTTTTAAATTAACACTCTAATTAAATATTGAATATTGAATATCTTCAATTTTATACTTTAATTTATCATTAACTTGTTTTTTTTACTATTTATTAAATGGTGCAGATTCTAATTATTATTTTTATAATTGTTCATAATGTGTTTATTTTCTTAATTGTGTCCAATAGAAATTCATATCTTCGCAAGGTTAATCTATTAATATCCACCATGGTCTTTATTTTAAACTTTATCTAATTAAAATTCCATTGTTGCCTTTAGTTACAAAAGCCTTATAGATTGCTCTTTCAGGAGGTTAAATACTTAGATTATTTGAAAAAGCAATAAGAATTGGAAATTCATTTTATTCAAATATTATATTGCTATCCTCATTTTTAGAAGTTATTGCTCTTTTTATTGAAAATTATTTTTAAGGAATCAACCTTACTTCTTTCTTGCTTCTTTCTTGAGAATGAGATTCAGTAGGTGTGTCAATAAAACTTTTTTTTACTAATAGTTTCATCTCACTTGCTTTTCTTGTTTATACTTCTATTCTTGGAGGATATGAAATAACTGTAGGTAACAATTAAGGAGCACATTAAGAACAACTTTTTTATTATTATTGCTATTCCTATTATTTATTAATTAGTTCCACAAATTGTTAAAAGCCTTTAAGTTTAATTGTACTCACTTTTGGCTAATATTATCTAATAGGTTGCTAAAAGGCAACATCTTAAAATTTTTAGTTGCCTTTTATATACAACAATTCTAAATCAGGTTTGAGCATAAAATTACAAATATAATAATCTAAAAATTAATTATCAGTTCAATAATAATTCTAATATAAATGATATCTCATTTAAAAACTCTTTGTTTATAATAGTTTATGATTTCATCAAAACATTAATAGCTCAATCTATCTCTAGATTTATTTCTTATTAAAGTGATTTAGTTTATAACTGTTAAAATTATTAAAAATCGCACTTTTTATTCAAATAAGATTTTTACTCTGAAAAACTAATTAATTCTTAATCGAATAAATATTCATTATCTATTAGTATTTTAATAAAGATCAGTAATTGAACTCATCAAGTCTTGTTTATTAACAATTTATTTGTAAAACTGTAATTAATTAAGTTTTTTGAATTTTTAAAAATCTAAAAAAATCTTGTGCATCGATTTCTTATTGTCAGTTTTGATATAGATTAATATAAATTCTTTATTCTTAAAATTCTATATATTCTAATTCAGATTCTCTAAGAGATGAACTGGAGTATAAATATCTTATTATTAAAAAGGTTAAATTAATTCTACTTGAAATTATGAAACACATTTAGTTAGTAAAGTTAAATTGTACTTACTTTTTTAGAGATTTCTTTTTGGTTATGGATTGCATAATGAACTGATTAAATGTTACATGATTGTATTTCCAAGAAATTATTATTTCTATAGATTAGAATGAAGAGAAAGATTAAAATTTGATTATGGATAAATTAATTATAGAGGGAGATAGTAATAATGAGATTGATATGAAGGTTATTAATTTAAATGATATGGTTTTTATGACTTAGAGTTATAATTGATATCTTTAGGTAGGTGGGAATTATAAGGCATTTATCATTCTATTTATACTCTTTAAGTAAATTTTAAGTGATTTGGTTAGACTTTGAAACATACCAAAAAACTTATTTAGTTCTATCCATCTCTTTTTAATGATATTAAACTCTTTCAATTTTATTATTTTTAGGATATTTATTAAAATTAACATAAACAGAATCATTCGTTTTGTTCTTATTCTTCTTCTTCCTAATTATCTTCTTTTTCAGTAATCAATAAGAAAAAGATTATAAGTTGTTTGAACATATAATACATAAAAAATGATTATAATTTCATTTATAATAATTTCTAAGTAATGCATTTAAAGATCTATCAGACTCGAAATACTTGATATATCTAGAACATTAATCTGATGGATATAGTCTTTTCCATCCTCTACTTCTTTTCATTTCTTCTTCTGTCTCTTTTATAATGTATTTTTCAAATTCTAATTAGTGTTTCTTAATATCATAATTGCTTTAATTTCTAACATAAGATAAATCTTATGAAAATCTTTAATCCTTTAATCATAATGAAGTTTACTAATGGTACTATTCCTATAAGTGTAAATAGGTCTGCTAACATTTCTCCTTTAATTTTGAGATCTAATGGAGCATCAATATTAAGTGAAGGAGAAAAATTGACCTCCAAAAGCCATGGTTTCAAAAATTAATCTACTAATACATCAAATCCAAATAAAGAAAAACAATTTGATCTAAATGGTACATTCATTTCACATGCTTAAAATATAGCACTTTCAACACTTATTATTGTCTTAATTATTAAATCTTCAATTCTTTCAAATATTTATTACTAAACTTTTTAACATAATAAATACTTCATTTATTTTATTTAATTTTAAATATTCTCTTAAAGCTAATAAACTCCATTTACTTCCAACATAATCTAAAGTGGGATCTTAATTTGCAACAAAATTAGGAGAATCTTTATTTACAGAATAATTAGTTAAATGAACAAATCTATTCTATTTTACAGAATCTGGATTATAAGCTTCTGTAGCAAATCTTGCTAAACCATCTTAATATATGTATATTCTTAATGGATTTATACATGTTAGAGCAACATATATTCTTAAATCAAATTTCAAATTGTTTATTAATAATGGTTTATCTATATAATGTGAAACTACATAGGAATTATTAGCATTCTATTTATTCAAAATCTAAATTTAATTTAAATTTACATCTTATATTTTATCAGTTATAAAGATACCTTTCCCTTAAGAACTAGCATGTGGTTTACATATATAAACAGGATTATTATTTTTTATTTTCTCATGCTCTTCTAAAAAATAACTCATCTCTATTGGTAAAATGTATGTTTTTGGTATAAAATTAAAATTTATAAACCCATGATTTATTTACATTTTTGATATATTTCGATGCATCAAATCTTTACGAGTCATTTCATATGATTTTGGAAAATGACAAACTTTTTAATAAGCAAATAGATTTGTATAAACTTCAGATTTTATTGCACATGATGACCAATACAATGTCCAATTTTTATCATTACTTTCCTTAAAACCATTCTCTTCCAATAATCCTTTTACTAATTTTATTGGACTACTCCCAAATTTAAAATAATAACCAACATCCTTTTTATTAACATTCATACTTCATACATTTATTATTATTTCATTACTTCCTGAATATGGTTTAAATGTTAAACATCTTATCATTGGACTCAAATAACAACTATTATCTTTTATTTAAGTTTTTGCTTATTATTGCTATCTATTTAAACTCACAGCCTTTCTTCTATATTTATCTTAACCATTATTATAAGTATTTCGAATTCCATTCAACACATTTAATTATTACTTTTATAAAATTTATTAACAATCTTACTTTTATTTAAGGAAACAAAGCATTTCCAGTACTTGGTTTCTATCTGTAATTTTATTAAGCTGATTTACTATTTATTTCTAAACTTTACATTACTGTTCTTAATTGCTGTTTGGATGATAATGTTTTTTTAAAAGACTTATAATGTCATCAATTGAATCACTTGGAGAATTCATCTAAAATTATTTAAACAGTATATATTATTAATTTTTATCATACATATATAAACTTCTTAAATTAGATTGAATTCTTAGACTATATATATATACTTATTTAAATTTTAGTTATTTTATAATAACGCCGTCATAAAATAACATCAAATTTATTTTTTTATTGTTAATGTTTCAAAGTTAATGATAATTTCAAAATTAAACATAACAATTCTTGTCATATTTTGGTTTTGTAAACATATTAAAATAATTTAACTACAAATAAAATTTTTAGCATTTACATAATTATAGTGGCATAACTATAATAAACTCCGAGAATTTTTAAATTATTATTTCTAGGATATTTTTTGTACGTCAAACTTAAATACATACTTCATTCTTTTAAAATTAAATAGATTTTCTTTTGCAAATTTGAAAAATGTTTTACATTCAAATCTATCACAATAGAAACTTTAGATATATTTTTTTTTAATTTACTTTATGTTCTTATTAAGTCATCTGGATAATCATAAATACAGAATATTCTTTTTTTTCAATTGATTTTTTTTATATAACTTACATATTTTTATTTTTATTTGTTTCTGTATTGTTTTGCATAAATGTGAATTAAAATCTAATAGAAATTTTTTATTTGAATTTTCCAACTATTTGTTATAATCTAGATCTATTTTAAACGTAAGAAATTCATCAATAATTTAAAGGTATAAAATTATAATGCATATTATAAAAATGCCAATTTCGTCTAAATTATGAAAGATTAAGTATTAACAAATTATACAATTTTAACTGAATAATGACCAAGCTATAATTTTTATTAAAATATTAAGTTGAAATTAGATTATGTTTTTATTTTAATTAGATCATTTTTATGTATTTCTTAATACATTAATTATTAAATGATTAATATAAAATTTTACGTAATAATTATTTATTTAATATTGCAAATTTCTGAATAAGAATGAATGAAATAATGAGGTTGCAATAGAAGAGTAAAAAATAAAATTTAGAGTTGAATATATTATGGGAATAATTAGCGGAGATGTAAATAAAATTTGTAAAATTATAATTATTCATTTAGAAATAAAGAAATAAGAGTTTGAAAAAAAGTTAGGAGAATAGATTTTCTTATTTAGTTTTTGTAAATATTATTCCATTTTTATATTTGCATGAAATTTTGAAATTAAGACTGCTGAGTAGCTATATGAAAGAAATAATAACCAATTATTTATTAAATTATCGGTTAGAGAAATTGAAGGTAATTTCTTAATTAGAAATGGAAATTAATGAAGAAAAAGAAAAGCTTCCAATAATATATTATGAAATATTAGAGGATTTGATCAAAAGGTCAAATGAATATACTAAATAAATATTTTAATTGAATATTAAGGGAGTAAAATTAATATAAACATACACACCTTTATTTTTAATGTAAGTATCTGAATGTGAGGGAATTGAACTATTTAGATTAATACCAGAAGAGTTGATGAAGATGACAAATCATTTAATATTTCTTGATTTTAGTAAGTATACAGATGAGAAAAGAAACTAATTATTAGAGATTTATGAAAATAAATTACAAATAACTAGCTAGATGGAATAATAAATGAATACAAATGATAAATTTGAAATTATATTTGCGAGAATTGCTAAAATGTGGTTGAAATAAACTTACTATTAAGAAACTTATAATTAATTTAGGTTAATAATGATTCTAATAAAAAGGAAGGAAAATATAGGATAATTTGTAAGATAATTGGAAAAGTTAGATAGAGAGAATAGTCTTAAATAATTTGATTGATAAACATACTTTACAATATTCATGATTTTTAAGTGTATTATAATTCTTCAAATTATTATTAACAATTATTTTGAGTATCTGATGAACATAATTTTAATTCATTTTGTTCAAAGTTAATGGCGGATGGTGTTTCATCTTATAAATTTTATGAAGCATCTATAACTATATTATCAGGTTTATCATTGTGAGTATCAGAATATAAAAGTTCATCTCTAATAATTTCTAAAAAATCTGCTCCAATATTCATAGCAGTTTCATCATCATGAAATGTATATTAAGCATCAAGAGTTTGTTCTTCACCAATTTAATAATTTACTAAAGTATCATATTCTTCTTCAAAATCATCATATTCAAAAGAAGATTAAATTTCTTAATTTTCAATTTTAGATTTAATTCTATTTTGAAGTTCTTCATTAGATTAATTTTAAGTGTTTTCTGAAGATTAATCATCAAGATGAGAAAATTCATTTTGACACAAAATTAATGTGTGTAGTAGTGTAATGATAAAAAAGATTATTTTATTCATTATTTAATAATTAATAATTATGCGAAAATCATAGAAAACAGGTTCTTAGTAGCATATAAAAAATATTCTGAGTCCTTTGATTATTTAATAAAATTCATAAAGTCCAGAATAATCATTATAAAATAGACCTTAAAATATAATAGGAAGGAAATCATCTTTGATTGAATTACACAGAGTTGAAAGTGATTTAATAAAATTAAGACCATAAAGAGTTTTATAAGTAGTGAAAGAAGCTAAGAAACAACTTCTCTCTTAATAAAATCCTAGAAATGAGAAAAAAATAAAACCAAGAGTAGAGACATCAGAATGCTAATATAGAGGATTAGATTTTACATTTGCATAGAATTTCTCAAATAAATAGATAATATTGAAAGAATTCTCAACTAATGGACTTAGAAAAAGATTCTTTGTTTGATTTAGTATCAATTATTTATTTATATCATTGTATCCTTAGAGGAGGCAAAAGCTTCCAGAACCTTATTTTAGAATATGGATCTTCCAAAAATTTGGATGGATCTTTAATTTCAAGTAAGATCAATTCTTAATCAGAAATTTTAATTTTAGCATCTACAATAACTTTAGTATTTTTATTGGTTGAATGTGAAGCTATCTTATAACCGTCTCTAGTTAATAACTGATTTTAGAATAGACTAAGAGTTAGAGTTATAGAGTTGTCAAATTTATATTTGATACATTCTTCTTTGAAATTTTCATCTGTAAATTCATCTTAATAGATAAAACATTCTGGATTTACTCCAGCATAATAGTAAGAATCTTTACGAATAAAAAGTAAACCATTTTTAGTATAAGGAAAGATAGTTTTCTATAATTCAGTAATTGATGGAATTACAGGAATCCATTCAAAATTATAATCTTATTCTTCTGAATCTTTACTTAATTAATTTAGAATATGTCCTTTAATCCAAAAATATCTTAATTCAGCAACTTACTCACTCATATCCATCTTACCCCATTACAATATATCATAAATATAAACTGTGTTTGCACATAAAAAACAATCTAAAATACATCTACCAATCAAAGTCTTTTAACTTCCTAATTAATTTATTATATTTATAATTACCTCCTGGAAGTGAAGATGTAAATTTATATTTTAGACCATTTATTGTTTTTAAAACTGTTACTCCTTAATTACTACTTACTATACATCTTTATCCAACTGGAAGTATTCGTATAAAATATTCACTTATACAAATTGATTCACCATTATAATATTCGAAACTTTAAAAATTCTTACAAAATTTTCGCAGGTTTTATTAATCTAGTTTTTTAGTAGGTTCTTCAAGTTTTAGTTTATTGAATTCTATCTCTATTTCCTCTGTTTATTACTTTTCTTCTTCTTTTAGCCAAAACCTTTTTTGATTAAAGATAGCTAAACGACTCATTTTTCTAATATTATCACTTTCTCTCTCCACTATTTATTAATTCAATTTCATTTTATTTAAAATATTATCAAATCAAAATTTTCACTTTAGATCCTTATATATTTTATGAATAATTTCTATATATAATCAATTCAATATAATGGCATGTACATAATCATAGTTTTCATTATCAAGAATTCCTAATAATGAATGTAAAGTATGTACTGGATCAGGATTGTTTTATGGATATTTGCTAAAACCCCCATAATTAGATTAACAATGCTCTAAAAATTCTATTAATCGTTCTTTATCTAATAAATCTAAACCTAACAATTTTAAAGTCCATCCATTCCAAAATGAATAACAAGAATCAGGAACTTTATTAACTCTTCCAGCTATACCTCCAGTCATTTTACATTATCTAAATACTAACCATTCTATTAAACTACTTTTTAATGGTATATCTATTTTTAATATTGTTAAACTAGCAACAGCGCAGTAGGTTGCACCACAATGAGATTCTTAAGATGGTTATAAACCAAAAGCTCCATCTTAATTTTAACAAGTCAAAATGAATTACCCGACAATTTACTAAAATTCGCTTGTATCTATATCCAACATATCTAAATATGATAATGCACTGAAGACCATTCTTAAGTCTGCATCATTTGAAGATTTTGATGAACGAATATTGCCATCTTCCTAAATAAGTTATCGAACAAAATTTAAAGCTTATTCTTTATTTATTTCCATGTTTGGAGAGATCTGTTTCAATACAGAAATTGCACAATAAGAATTTACAATTGAAGGTTCTGAATCATCAAATTTTGAGGCTCTGTATTGATTTGGTTGTACTTCAAATGCTTTCAAGTAATCAACTATAGATTATTTATCATATTCAGATTTCAATAATTTTAACACTGTCACACAACAATATAAAAATAAAGCCTTTAAAGATTCCATTTTAATTGGGAGTTGCTATTTGTATAGGACCATTTTGATGAATTCTTCATGTTTGTCAAGTTTTAACTATTATTACATATTAAATTATTATTAAAATGGAAAGCAAACTATAAAATTTTGAGATCCTGAACAAGCTAGGTATGATTGAAGTAGTTAAAATTGTTTTAGGTTCCGGAGCCTATTCTTCTGTTTACAAAGTGTAAAGAAAGTCTGATGGAAATATTTATGCTTTAAAGAAAGTAAATAGATGTCATGAAATAAAATAAAGGTTAAATTAGTGGATATTGGGGATAGAGAGAAACAGAATGCTTTGAATGAGGTTCGTTTTATAGCATCAATTCATCATGAGAATGTGGTTTCTTACAAGGAATGTTTTATAGAAGATAACAATTTATGGTATGATAAATCGTTGTAAACTAAGTATTATAATGGAGTACGCAGAAGGAGGAGATTTATTGTAAAAGATTTAGAGGTTTGTAAAAAAATAGTAAATGATTCCGGAATAAGAAATATGGCAAGTTGCAATATAAGTTTTATAAGGATTAAGAGCATTACATCATAAAAAAATATTACATCGTGATTTGAAATGTGCAAATATATTTTTATATGAAAATGATTAAGTGAAGCTTGGTGACTTTAATGTTTCTAAATTGGCTAAAAATGGTTTAGTTTACACTTAAACTGGTACACCATATTATGCTAGTCCAGAAGTTTGGTAAGATAAACCATATGATCATAAAGCTGATATTTGGTCATTAGGTTGTGTCATTTATGAAGCCTGCTCTCTTAAACCGTATATATGATTAAACTATTAGTGTTAGACCATTTAGAGCTAAAGATATGGATGGACTTTATAAATCTGTTCTAAGAGGATAATATTAACCTATCCCAGTAATTTATTCATAAGAGTTAGTTCAATTGATTAAAACTATGATGTAAGTACATCCTCAAAATCGACCAGATTGTGGTAAAGATTTATAAATCATATTTTAGATAAGTTACTTTAATATTAATATGTACAAAAGAAGGCAAAATAATTTGATATTCCTTTAAATTCTGAAGATATCGAAGATGATTTATTAAAGACTATTAAATGGCCAATCACTAGAAAAGGATTGTAAACTAATAAATCAGAACTTATCAATTTAAATTTCTAATTGCCTGGTAGTAATTACTTAAATTAACATAATTCTAATCATATTAGAAGAAATCAATAATCTAATAGAATTAAATCTTAAGATACTAATGATTCCATATCTCTTAATTAACCTAATGAGGCTTTACATTAATTAATGAAATAAATTACTTAACTTGAATAAAAAGATATTGAAAGGAGTCCTAATGTTAAATAGAATCTAAACAAATCTACTTCTAAATAGACTATTTAAGATAATATCTTACCTCCAGACAGAAGATTAAGAGTTTCTAATTCAACTCATGAAAAACATGAAAAATATGAATCAATATAACCGTAATTATTCAATCAATATTATAAGTAAATGTATCTCAAAGGATAGAATAGAACATTAAATTTAAATAAATTCTAATTACTATGCTAAAGATGTTATCCAATCACTTAATAAGTAACATTATTCATAAAAGTTACCTATAATTTCTGGAACTTAAAGATAAGAAGAAGAATAGTTTATTTTAAGAAAGAACTCTTCAAATGAACGAAATCATAGTAATCATATTAAAAGATCTAAAAATGATTTATTAAAGAAAGATCTCTCTATGTAGCCTAGTGCAGAAAGACCTACTGTTTTGATGAAAATAATTGAAGAACATTAATAACTACCTAAAATAAAAAAAAAGTAGTGAGATATAATTAAATAATCACACTATATATAATTTTCCATATTAAAAAATATATTTTTTAATTGATGTATCAGAAATATTTGAAAATTTAAGCATTCCATCCATCAACAACAACACCTAAACCATTATTTCTCATATCATCTCCACTTCTTACATAAGTTTATCCACTAATCATTTCAGTTATAGTTTATTATCCACTAGATGCATCACTTAATTTAACAAGTCCATATCCAGATCCATCAGAATAATTAATAATAACAACAATTTTATCAGATGAATTAGTCCACTAAAATGAGTATATATGAATAGGATTACTTTAAAAGCAAAGAATTTCCAATATTAATCTCCAGTAACGTTTAATTGTTACCAATTTCCTGATTTAAATACATCTTTTTTTAATATTGGTAATACTTTTCCATAAAACCATTTAACATATGTTGAACCATTTTCTTTATAACTTCTTCTTAAATGAACATCTAATTTATTTGATAACCCTTCTAATTAACCATGATTAATAAATCTAGCTCCTGGAATAGAATAACTCATTAATGCAGCAACACATGAGATATAATCTTTTCCACTGAATTTTATAATAGCTCTTGGTTCATCATGATTTTCAACAAAATGATTTGAATGAGATGCATACTATTGTATAAATAATATAAATACATTTAAATTTAAATTAGATAATATAGGTCTAACCTTTCCAACATCCAAAGTTGCTTATTAATCTAATAACCATTTTTCATAAACATAGTCAAATCCTAAATTGATTAGATCTTATTCCTTTCCCCAATAAACTTCAGCTAAAAATATAGTATTAGGATATTATTATTTGGTTTCTTTTATGGCTTCAGACCAAAATTCAGATGAAGGTCTTTTATAACCCCATGCATCTAATTAAGGTTTCCATTTATTGTAGAATAGATCATTCAATATAACCATAGCCATATCACATCTCATACCATCTGACATTGATGCAATCTTTTTTACTACTGACTTTAAATAGTTTCTAGTATCTTAATTCCAATAATTCCATTAAGCAGTATCTTTCCAAAATCCATCCCATTAATCACCACCATAACTAACTCCATCAGGTAAGTAAAATTCAGAATCATATGGTTTAGGAGTATTAGGAGGAGCCCTTATATAATAATCAATATTTGATGTTCTATATGGACTATCTATTGCAGAATGATTAGGAACAAAATCAAGCATCAATTTTAAGCCCATATCATTCAATTTCTTTCTCAGATTTATTATATCTTGATCTGTACCTAGTTCTGAATTACATACAAACTAAGTAATCGCGTAAGGTGAACCTATGACATCATCAATTGTAAAGTCAGGCAAGTTAGATTTATAATCATTTGCGTGGGCTTTATCAAAATCTAACCCATATTTTCCAAGTTGCCAAATACCTATTTTAATATTATAGATAACCCATTAGCCAAACATAATCTACTCCAATGTCCTTAAGATGTTGAAATTCTTCTATTGGAATATCATTCAATTTGCTTATCTTTCTTCCATATTTATTGGTTAATTCATATAACCAAGGTCTTAATGATAGTTCGTAGATTGTTGGATTATATGCATTCACCAAAACATTCATTAATAAAAACCCGATGACGAATTTATTCATTATATTTATTAATATAAAACAATTTTTTTATCAATTTCCACTTAAACTTTAATTAATTGATCAAACAATCCTTCTGTGCTATATTTTATTTTTATCTGAGTTCATATACATTCATACATATGTTAATTAAACTATTATATTTTTATCCTTAATTTGATTCTAAAAAACCATGATTGAGATTGAAATACTTGAATAAAATTATCTTGAGTTACCTTATAATAACCATTATAAAATTTTTTAGACAGATTTTATTTTTTGTATGCTAGATATCTAATAAAATGAAAAAATCAAAAAAAAGATTTTTAGAAAATTTATTTTCCTAAAAAATGAATTTTAATTAAGGTTTAATAATCGAACATGATTCTTGAGAATTAAATGTTATTAATCCTAAAGTAATAAAAGATAATGAGTAAGCGTATTTCAAATGAATTAAATTCAGTTCTCTTTTAATACCATCTCTACGGTCAATGATGCTAATTACTCGCTAAAAAGTTATTTGTTTCATAATTTATTGTATTAAAATAGTAAATATATATTAATTTATTATTCCAAAGTTGTTTTTTTAATCTATTTTATCCAATCTTTTTGATATAATTAAAGATTTGATTAGCCTTATATGCATATTAATTTATATTTTTTAATCTGATTCTATAAGGAGAGTTTATTAATAAATCATATTAGAATTTTTAATAATCTGTTGTTTGCTAATTCAGAAGGTTTTTTATTGAGAGAATTATAAAATGATGAAAAAATTATCACAACTATAATTAAAATTACTCTAAATATTAATTTAATATAATTAGGTACAATTGCAAAGCTTTAGAATTATTGCTTGCTAATTTATCTTTATATCATCTTATAAAAAATAAGATATTATTTAAAACAAATTCATAAGTTTATCTAAGTCTAAATACCTTTAATATAGTAAAACATATTTAAACTAAAACAAAAAAAAACATTGATAAGTTGTTGATTAATAAGTAAATAATTTAATTAATTTTTACTATGGGTTATGAGATATATTTTACAATTCTAATCAATCTCATATTCAGCCTTTATATAAATTATGTAGTAACAATCCCCTATATGGTAATATGCTAATTAACTTCTTTTATTAGGATGAAGAATTTCATTTGGATCAAATGTAACATTATTTAGACTCAGATTTTGCTTATTGGAATCCAAAATTGACAACACCCCCAATGCTTTACTTTTTAAATTACCCCTTTATTATTTTATTATCTAAAATGGGTTTTAACATACTTACATCTTGCAGATTAATCAACACGTATATATTAATTTTAATTATAGTTTTATATATCCAACTATTACATTTTTGGTGTTATCAAAATCATTCTAAAATATGTAAAAAGCATTATTGTTTTCTATTCTCCCAACCATATATTTTTATAACTTCTTATTCTATACAGATACCTTATCAATTACATTATTATCCTTATCTTTTCAATTATTGTAATCAAAATATTATTTTATCTCTTCAATTGTAAGTTTTCTATCATAATGTTAGTTTTCATTGTGCTCTGTAATGAGTAGATAAACTAATATACTATGGATCGTATATATCTGTATAAAAGATTATTTGGATCAAAATTAAACTAAGCTGCAATTTAAAGATCCAAGATTATGTATAATTTTGTTTATTATTCTATTTAGCCATATTATTTCATATAAATGCATTGTTCAATATGATTTTTAGAGATGTAAAAATAATAGTGAAAAACTATAAATATCATATTTCCATTTTAATTCTTTTTATTGGATTTATATATAAAAATGGTGGAATTGTATTGGGAGATAAAGATAATCATAATTTGGTTTTTCATGCTGCACAAATAATGTACTTTTTGCCAGTTCTTTTTATTTATTTTCCAATAAACTGGGATACTTTATTATAATATACTTAGCTATCCATTAAGAGATTACTTTTATCAAGAAATGCAAAATTTACTTATTTAATTATATTGATAATATGCTTGTAAATTGTTCATTATTGGACTCACATTCATCCATTTATTTTAAGTGACAATCGCCATTACGTATTCTACATTTGGAGAAAGATTCTCTCTAAAGATTTTTATCGCTATGGTTTATGCTTTATCTATGCTTTAATTATTGTCATTCTTAGTAGAATTTTAATTAGTAAATATATAAATTATTATTTTTTTTAGTTCGCAAAGAATAAACATTTTAATTAATTTTATTATTCATATTCACAACATTATCTCTTATATTTAGTCCTTTAATTGAGCCAAGATATTTTAGCATTCCATTATTGTTCTTTTATTATCATTGTTAATTTGCAGAATAAACTTTGAAAAAATAAATAACAGTTTTCACACTAATAAATTGCATAATAATTTATGTGTTTTGCGAAGTTTAGTTTTCTTGTGATTTTCCATAATGTAGATTTATGTTTTGATTTTTATAATTAATAATAAAAATATGAATCATTTATATTTGTATACAAATATACATATATACAAAAATCAAGTTAATAACTCTAAATTGTGCAATTTTCCAAATTGTTTAGTCTTTTCCTAAACATCATTGTTTTATGCTTAAAATTAAATATGATATTTACATTTTAAAATATCTTAAAAATATTAGTTTTGACAAACACATTGAAATGATAAACTAACGTTTTCTTAAAGAGGGCTTTTATTTTATTTTAGATTAGTTAAGATTTCTCCAAACTTCTTTAAAATATCCTACCATAATTATAGTGAAAATCTATCCTTTTAAATCCAATTAAAGTACATTTTTTATAGATATTAAGAATAATTGACTAACATTTAATCATTATTTGTTTATAGGATCTATTGCTACCTAGAAGTAACTTAATTAAAGAGAGTCGAAAATTCTTTTTCTTTTAAATTAATGTAATTGTAATTTAAAATAACTTACATCATTATTTAAATAATTTTTTGTAAATGTTCATTTGAAAGATTGAGTGCCAGAGATAAAAGATCATTTAAAAATGCATTATCTTATTCATGAATATATTTTTCATAAGTAGTCATTATTTATAATGTATGTTTAGCAATGAAACCATCTACTGATGAAACACTTCTAAGTTATCTTTATTTAAGTAAAGTATTTAGTATTTCTAAATGTTTTCTTAAAATTTAGACTAATTCCTTCTCAGATTGATATCTCTAAATCTATTCAAAAATATCTTATATTAAATTCATAATTATTTATGCATCAGTTGAGTCTAATGTTTTTTTCTCCAATTCTGTAAATATTGTTAATAAAAGCTAAACAATATTGTTTAAAAAATTAATAGAAAAATCTAATTCACTATTTTACTTTAAAAATTTCTGTATTTCAATCAAAAATTCTTATAAAATTTCAAGTGATTAATCTATTAAATATTCTAATCCCTATTTAAAACAATCATAATAGTTTTCTAAACTTTATCCTTAATGTAAGAATTCTATAACTAATTTTAATAATGTATAACCACAATAAGAGGATAACAACTACTTAATTGAAATCTTTTTAATACTTTCAAATTTTTATTTTTATGTTAATATATTAACAACAGTAGGCCAAAACTATAATAATCTATCTGTATTTACTCTTAAGATTTCTACTGATATGAAAATGATTTATGCAAATTTAATATATTCTTTTTTAAAATCACTGATACTTTAGATAGAATCTAACAAAAGAGCTAAAAATTCATTTAATCTTTCTTTATCTAAAAATTTAGTTTGATTGATGAGATTAGTTAATAAATAAGGAGATTTTATACCGATTGATGTTTATTGCTAATCTTCCTATTTTGGTAATTCATTTAATAAATCATCTTCACTTTCTTCATCAGTAGTTTGTTTTAAGAATTAAGTAAAAAGTTGAAGAACTCCTTCATTTGAACCCATTTTCTTTTTTGTAAATTTATTATTGAGTTTTATTCTGCGTAAAACATTTCTGCAATCTTTACTAATGTTATCAGTAGCTAATTTATGTCTTTGCATAATAGAATTATTTATTAATTAAATAATAGATTAAAACTACTATGTATAGGGCAATAATTATTCAGCAATATAAAAACCAGCATATAATGACATATCATATTAATCATTGCTCATTTTCATAACACTTATAAGTATTTATTAAGCATTATCCAATTTATCATTATTGATACATATATCAATAACTTATTGTAAAAATGAAGTCAATTCTTAAACATCCTATGTTTATGCTATAAGTTCTTCTATATTATGAACCATGGCAGTTAATATTAAATCTCCATAATGTTCTTCATCTGTCTAAATTTCAAAATATTCATTCATAGTTTTATAAATTTATCTTGTCTCTTATTTGGTTAATAAATATTTATCCCAAACAAATTAACTTAAATCTTCTGTTATGGCATAATCTCTAATACATTTAATTTCATCTTGTTATATGTTATTGTAATCTGCAACTAGAACATCACTAGGAAGACTTTCTCCATTATTTATTTTAAGACAAGTTTTTTTGAAATCATCTAAAGACATATGTTTAGTAACAGTCTTATTAAAAAGATCAGTATTTAGTAATAAAATTGCATATGTATAAGTATATAAATAATCAGGATGTTAAAAATAAGTATTATCTTTATTTTATTCAAAATATCGAATAGTAAATGAATTTAATACTCTTTCAATCATCTAACTTTCTCCAAAGAGTAAAAAATTAGATGTTAAATATCTTAATGCTTCAACTAAACTTAATTGAGAATAATCAAATGTATTTACATATTTTTCCATTATAGTAACACACTCCTCTTTATGACATCCTAAAATTTCAATCATTAATTTTTCATTAAATAAATTACAATATTTTAAAAAATTAACTACTTATTCATGTGGCATTCCTTTTATTGAACTTCTTGGTTCATTTGTAAAATCTGATACAAATTATATTAATTTATTTGTTTATTATTAACTCTTTTTAGTTAAACTAATTTTAAATAATTAAACTTAGAGTTCATAGATTTATTTTTATAATGCTCTACCATCATCACATTATAATCTTTTTGAAATTCTACTTAATTCAAAAATTTTTTAAACTACTTCTTAAAATACAGGTTTTTAAAATGGATTCATATCACATTTTTTGAAAATAAATTTAATTTTATCTTTATTGCTAAATAGATCCATCAAAAATTTAACAAAGAAATGAGTATCAATTTCACATTATTATGCCATTTCAGTAATAGTCATATTAGATAATCTATTTAAATGATTTGATATACCCTTTAAAACAACTTACCCAAATAAAGTTCTTGTTTCAAATAAATCATCACCTAATTTATCTTACATATTCAGATTTAATATAAATAACATAGCTTAATTTAAATAGTTCCAAATTACTGGATGATCAAATTTTACTAATTATAATAACATTGGTATATAGTATTAAACAATAAATTATGAAGGCTTCCTTAATTATAATATAAATATCATAATTGAATAAGGATACTCAATAAGTTTTACTGTTTCGTTATTTCTATTTGCAATCTATTATAAAACTTCATTTCTTAAATCAAGTAATGCAGCTATAAGTAATTCTTCATTGCATGTCTAACTCATTCTTTTTAATCCTTAACTTAATGAATCTCTAGCTAATTCTCTTATCAATAGATTTGGTACACTTGATTCTATCTATCTATTCATTTTTATTAAACTGTTCATTATTGGAACATCTAATTCTGGATGCTCAAAGGCATTTCTTATAAACTTTCATTAATGTTTATTTCATTACTTTTAGTTTTTTTTCTAATAATAATTGATTCACTGAGGTTATTTTCTATACCGCATCTACCATAATCTCTAGAACCTATTTTCCTTCCAAATAAGTAATTTTAGAATAAAAATTTATTAAAGCTATTGAAACTTGCTCATCTGGGTCTTCATACTTTAAAAGTCCATTTAAAGTTCCTTAAGTAAAGATTTATCCAAAAGACCCTAATCCTAATTGATTTGTCTTTTTGTAATCTCTGATACGAAGCAAAATACTCTACACTTCGAATTACACGTTGTCCATTTTTAATTAATTAAATCAATAAAGCTAAATTGTTTACATATTCTAATACTAAACAATATAATATTAATTAATATCAACCTAACAAAAAATACATTATTTTATTAATTTTCTCTATCCTCTTCCTCTATTATTTTTATTTTATACTTGCTTTAAGATTTCCATCTCATTTATACTTAAAAACATTATGATTTCTTCTCAATAATTTTTATTATCTATTAAATGTCTTTCCCTTTACTCATTCTATTTTGTTTAAAAATCAGAATACTTTAATACATATAAATATATTTATAAACTAAAACTAGAATCTAAATAAATACAAAAATTTATAAATTGTTAATAAATCCATTTCTAACTTCTAAGTTAACATAAATTCTCCTTTTATGTAATTAATCTAATATTAGTATTAAATATTTAATTTTAATATAATTATTAACAAGATTAATAATGAAACTGAAAAGGATGCAATATTATTCAGAAATTAAGAATTAAATTCAAAATTAAACTATAAAATATTTAATGTAATCAATTGTTATTTATGTTTAATTAACTATTTATGCTTCATTTATAACAAAAAATTAGTTTATTAAATATAGCTTTTAAGTTAAAATGAAAAAAATTCAAACTCTTTTCAAAAGTTTATAAAATAACAGTTGATATTGATTCATAAGAATAAGAAAAAAATATAAATAAACGATGTATCAAAGAAATTCCATTCATAAGAATCTAAAAATATTCATCAATCATAATTCAAAATTTTAACTTTAATGGAATTAAATTTAGGTTTAATCAGATTTTAACCAGAATAGAATCAAATATTAAACAAACATAATATTTCTGTTTTATAATATTTATTAAGTTGTCATCAACTGATATTTGTACATATTTATCAATGAATATTAGAGAAAAAAGTGTACAAGTTTGATTTTTTAACTGTTTTTGATTTCATACTAGATAATTAATTAATTAACAAAATTCATTTTTATTGGTGGTATAAGAATGAGTAAATTATAAAAGATTAAATTTAGCAGTCTTTGTTCATTTATTGCTATATAAATAACATAATAATATAAGAATTATAAGTCTCAAATTTATTGATTCAAGGATGAATGATTCTTCTTAATAAAAATTAGGTTTAATATAACATTATGAATTTAAAATTCACTGAAATTCACTGAAAGCAGCAACATAAAATAGTGGAGAAGTCTATCTGACTCGTCGTTATTAATATAATTTAGTATCAAAATATGACATCAGGACTCTTTTATTTTACAAAAGAAATTTCATTAAAAACATTATCATTAAATCTTTTTTTTACAACTTCATCTCAAATATGATTAGCATAAATATCAAGCAAGAAAAAAAGCAAAGGTATAAATCAGTGAACTCAGAGGAAAGATTGAAAATAATTAAATATTTTATAGAAGGTTCGCTTTCTGCCTCCTAGGTATGATTTTGATGATTATAAGTAGATTGCTTAAATAACAGGACATAATCTGTCAACAATAAAAGCTATTTTTCGTATTTATAAAAATGAAGGAAGAATAAATAAAAAAGAAAAAAGAGATCGAGAGCTTCATATCTAAAAAAATGTAGCAGTTTTTGTAGTGGATGAAAAGTACATATAATATTAATCGTTTATTAGGACAAGATATTTGAACTTAATTTTCAAATAGCATATGAAGCAAGAAGTAATTTTAAGAAGTCATGATTAATTTTCTGAATAGTAAAACGATATTATCAATGAAACTTTACAATAGTCTGCAAATGAAGTGAGAAATAATATGAACAGTTATCAATCAAAAAAGAATTTTGACTAAGCTTTAAAAAGAATATAAACTAATGGAATCAAAGAAGAAGATTTTTAAAATATATCTTTAAAGGATAATTTTTAAACTAATACCTATACATAGATTAATGGGTCGACAATTTCAAATTTATTTAAAAATAAATAAGAATAGTCTTTTGAAAAAGCTTAAGTAATTCCACCTTAAAAGATTTGCATCAAACAAAATCAGGAATTAAACGATCTTAAAAGAGTTTTTTAATAATAAGTAGAAGAATTTCTAGGAAAAACTCATTCAGATAATTTAAAATGATTTTAAATTTTATTCATAATTAAAATCTATATTTATTGAAAAATAATCTCCTATTCTAAGTAATGCTAAGTATTATTCAATTTTTACACTGTATATACTATTTACCCTAAAAAATCATGTGCAATACTATATTAAATTAAGAACTAATTTAACTTTTTAATAGCAGGTAATAAATTAATTTAATAATTTAAAGGAATTTCATTAGATGTTTTATTTAAAATATTCAATAATTTACTCTTCTATTTCATCCTTATGTCTTTGTATTTCAATAAACTGACCTTTATTAAATATTACAATTTAATCTCTTCTATTTTATAACAAATTTCCAACACACTAATTTTTTATTATAAATCTATACATATTCTAAATTGTATTTTTTCATAGACTCTAAGATTTTCTTATTAAGAATTTCCTAATCAGTTTCTAATTTAAATGAAATAATTGTAGCTTCCTAATAGATTTCTCTAATTAACCCTAAAATCTTAGGAACTGGCATTAATTCTAAATTTAATTTATCTTATGCTTAGATTTTATGTTAAGCCATCATTTATTTTGGAATATAATAATCACTTACAGCACTAGCTAAATACACTATCAACTATAATTTTAATTCTTTAAATATTTCCATAGCTTTGAGAATAAAATACAAATATTCCATAACAGAAACATAGGATATTTCATAGAGGTTTGTTTTATCAATTTTTTATAGTTGTTAAAGCTTTTGTAATTCTTATCTAAAAATTTTTAATGATTTTATAAATACTGATCAGCATTAATTAGTTACTAAACATTTAAATGTCTTGCAAATGGTCTTAAGCACTTATCTCTATAATAATAGACGACAACAAAGCCTTCTTTTAAGAAATATTCAGCTGATGCTGCTCCTCTTAGACCAGATGAAAAGTTTTCTATAGATCTGACAGTATTTTATTCTAAAGGCACTGATGTTCCCCCTGATGTAACAAATACTATTTTCTGATTAATATGATTAAGGAGAAAGTTCTTCATTTAAGAAACCTAATGAAGAATTGGTTCTTTATCGACTTATTCTTCTATAAGATTGATCATAATTAAAAGTTAATGTACTTATGTGTATAATATTTTTGTATTTTTTTCATTTTTCAACTTTAAGTTCTCCAGAATTGATTTTTCCGATAATTACCTTAACTGTTTAACCATCAACTGTAGCTCCCAAGGATTATGCAGTTCCTAAGACTTATTTAACAGTTCCTGTGAAGGTTTTGGCTAAAGACTTTTCTTCGACAGCTCTGGCAACTTTAATGACTTATTCAAGTGTTAAATTTCCATTATGTTTAACATTCTTGGTCTTCTTTCTATCTCTTTCATATCCCTATAATATATAAATTTGATCATATACTCCAATTTCTTTAATAAGTAATGCACTTGATGTTGGAATGACTGTGACATCGGCATTTCTATTTTAACATCTCAAATTAACCATAACTCTGATGCCTTTCCATTTACCACTTTCAAGAATAATCTTATCACCAACTTATTTTGGATTCTGTTTAATAAGCAATTATAATTACAAGACCAAGGGGTCCCAACTTGGGAGCAAGAGTGGAAGCAGGACCACCTTCTCCTCCAAATACTTTAATGTTGATTAATCTAACTTCATTTGGGTCGACTTTGGGAGGCATTAAAAAAGATTTAAATTTTTTTAATTCTTTAACAAATCCCAATATAAAACACAACAATCAAATATTCTTTTTGAAATTAGAACTTATTATTGATGGAGGCCAAAATTCAACTCTATTTACTTATGTTCCACCAAACTTCTCTTCAATCTAATCCTTATTCATACATTAAAGTAGTTATTTTACCTAAATTTATTATTTTTTATTATACATCTCCTTTTACAAATATTATTTTTTATTAAGTTATTTCTTCTAAAAATAATTTAGCCATATTCCAAGTTACATTTAACATCATTGTTGTATTAAATATGAACATTTTATACAATCTTGATCTGTAATTATTTTATAAATAAGACATCACTTATTTTAAAGCCTCAAAATTATAATTATTTTCCTTACATTTATATGAAGTCCAATCATACCTTTATAATCAAGATCAATCAAAATAATCCAATTTTCAACTTTGCCTGGTACCATCATATCATTAACTACTACTTATAAAAAATAGGTCAATCCCCTTAAATATTACTCAAGACTCATTTCATTAAAATTAACTTTATATGCATTAAGTACTATAATTGGTCTATATGAGTGATCTCTTCCTTAGATATAGATATAACCGGCTTTCTAATTTTTATATTGATAAAAGTTACCAGAAATTATTCAACTTACTAATCGTAAATGATTGGCAAAGTTTTTATCCATTCTTCATATTATTACATAGTTTAAACTGTTTGATCTTTCTTAAAATTGTTCGCTTATAAGAATCTTAAAATTTATGGCCTTGTCCAAATAGGATTGGGGAAAGGTCCGGCCTCTTGAATAAATTTATTAATAGCTGCATTATCTTATTCATCAAGTTCTCCTTCAAATAATCTTCGTATGGTATATTTTCCAATTTTAGTTTTTTTCTCATCAGCAGTTGGTTCATAATTAAGAATTTCTTGATTTGGTTTAATTTAAGGATATGATTGATCCATAATATTATTAATAATAATAAAAATTATTTATTAATTACAAATGATTTAAGAATAACTTAAAAATATTATAAAATATAGATTGAATGGATGCTATTTAATCCTAAAAATGAAGAAATTATATTATAAATAAATTAATATCATACTTTTTATTGCCTTGGCACATTCTTTATTAGAAGTTATTATTATTAATTTGAATATCGACTGCTGTTTTTCTATTTCCCATAAAAAAATAATTATTATGTATTATTCATTAATTCCATTAATCTTTCTTTATTAGAATGCTTTTTAAGTAGATCTGATGCTTTTTTACCTTTCAATGATTATAAATCTTTTTAAGCCTAATTATATGCAACTTTATAAATACTCCATTTTCAATAAGAAACTTGATTATTTAATAATTGATTTCAGCCTCTTTTTGATTCAACTCCATTCTTATAGAACATAATTACATTAAAAGATTGAATCCATGCGTTTTATCGACAATCCAATTTATATCTGCTCCATAATGTAATAATAATTCAGCCATTTTGAAACAAATTTTTCGATTTTCAAAAACATTTTTTTCCTTTTGAAATATAAAATAAGATGTTAAAGTACTTCTTCTAATCGAGCAAAACACATTATAAAAGCAGTTTAATTAAATATATTAGGCTTATTAACTTCAGCTCCGGCATCAAGAAGTATTTTAAGAATTTCATAATTTCCTGTCATTGCTGCAATTGATAATGGAGTTTATCCTGAATCCATGCTTGCTAAGTCAACATCCACTTATTAATTTGAAAGTAAAAGTTTCACTATCTCAAGTCTTCCCAAGTAACATGCACAAATCAAAGGTGATATTTTCTAATCTACTTCAATTTCATTAAACTACTCCAAAAAATTAATATTTGCTATTTGAAATTCAATTAATAATACCTTTATTTATACCCAATTCTTTTAGAGTATCATAATCATTTTAATGAATCAGGTGCAGAATTAATTGCTAATTTGTATTTAAAATTTACTTATTCTGATAAAGTTTTTTCTTCTGCTTAAAACATTAAATTACTTTAAAATATATAAAAAAATAATAATTCAAAATTGTTTCCTTATATAAATATTAATATTTTTGTATATCTAACTTGAACATTCTTATAAAGAAATAATTTATAGTATTTACAATATTACCTAATTCAAATAATCTATTCAATTTTTCATTATTTTTGGATTAATTATAAGAATTTAAATATAAATACTGACGAATTAGATAATTTAAAATTATTAATAAAGAGTAAATCGACATTTTATCATCTATTTAAATATATAATACATATATATTTCAACAACTCATTGTTAAAATTCATTTTTAACTTTTTATAAGTTATTAGCATCTATTTCTGGATATTGAAATGGATTATGTAATTTCAATCCTCTTTAATCTAATTCATTGACAATGTCATTAGTAGTTATTTAGAGCTTTTCATCAGGGTCTTTTTCCTTTTTTCTCATTCTATCTTAGATTAATTTTTAAACCATGGAATCTGTCATTTCGATCATCCATTTATCAGTTAGATGGGCTTTAATTTAAAAGCATTAAAACCTATTAATTTATAGCAATTTTAATCATTTGTCTAAAATCCGCTGGCTTCTAAAATTTCTTAAATAAGAAATTCAGACATGTTTGGTTTTTTAGAGATTGTTTAATAAATCAGATTATCTATGGATCCAGTAAATTATGTTTTCTTTGAGGGTGGGATATCTGGTAATTATTAATTCATAAAAATATAATGGAATTTTAAGAAATATTAGATGGATTTCAATTGATATGTAATGAATTGTAAGGTTCTCAGAATTACAAAAATATTATGGAATTGTATAACAGATCTGCTAATTTATAAGATTTATTTGAAAATGGTTTAATAATAGAAGGGACATAATACGATTTCGATTTGGCTGATCATATTGATGTAAGATTTTAAATTAAATTTTTTAGGCAACAAAATTAGAATTGGATAGATTTGTTTAAAATGTTTTAGATTCAGATGCTGTTGTTTAAGGGCATAGAAAAATAACGAGTGCTTTTGTTTCTTTAAAAAAACGATTAGCTTTACAGGAAGAATAATAAAAAGTGGTAATGGCAAACTCTGATATTATTGTACCTAATCCTATTTAATAATAAACTCGTAATAAAGCGAAATTATTTGACACGTAACCAAATAATGAAAATTTGGATGAGGAATTGTAAGAAGAAATTTTTAACATTACTAAAAGAATGAAAGGAATGGCTGTAGAGATTTCAGACAAATTAAAATTTGATAATAAAGTCATTGATAAAATATTACATAAGTAAGAGGCTAATAAGACTAAGATGAAATTTGAAGAAAAAAAATTATCTAATTTTATGAAATCTAAAAGTTTAAGTTGTTCATCACTATTTTTAATGCTTACGACCTCCATAGTTTTATTTATCTTTGCCATCATTTTCATTAGAATTTCATGAACTATAAGTATAAACTCAAATTAATTTTTATTTATTTTAAAATAATTTAACGGAATGAATAAAGAAAATGTTTGCCAAGCCTTTAAAACTGTCAAAGTTAGCAATCGTGAGTTAGAAACTTTGGTTAATTCAAGAGTTAATTAATTACAAAGATAACTATAAGAAAAAGAATAAGAAATTGCTTAATTATAACAATTTAATCCACCTGCACAATCTCGATTAATGGAAATTAAATTTGATACTATTTAAACTGAGAATCATTAATTGAGAAATTAAGTTAATTAATATGAATCTATGATAAAAACTATATAGAATAAATGCAATTCATAATAAAATTAATTAGAAACACTTACAAATTTACTCTAAGAGACTCAAAATATATTAGACTTTGAGAGATAAGCTAAATAAGCTTTAGAACTCTAATAATCAAATATACAATTAGATGCAGAATCTGAAAAATCAGCAATCAAAACATAAATTGATATTTTGAGAAAAGAAAAATATCAATTTTAATCATAATTTTAAGAAACTGAGTTGTAATTGAAATAATAACAATTAATTAATATGGAAATTACTTAAGAAATAACCTCACTCAGTAATTCATTTTAATAATTATAACTTTCATATTCTAAATTAGAGGAAAAAACTTATGAATTAGAATCTAAAAATGAAATTTTAGTTTCTTAATTGGATGTTTATAAAACATAAAACGAATAATTGAAATCATAATTGCAATAAGTTAATCCTAAAAATGTAGAGAAACAATTTTAATAACATGATAGAATCACTGAACTTGAAGCAAAATTGAGATTATCTTATGAAAATACTTCACAATTTTAATAATTATTAAATGAAAAATAAGATCTTATAAAGAAATTAGAAAAATAATTATAGAGACAATTAAATTGGAATGACAATAATCATCAATTATAGGATTAATTGGAGAAATCTTAATTTACTATTGAGGAAATGTAGTTTGAAAATTAAAAAATTGCCAAATTTTAATAATAATAAATAGAATAATTAAAGAGACAATTAGAATAATAAAGCAATAATAATGAAGAATTGATAGAAACAAAATAATAATTATAAAAAGTTAAAGCTGAATTTGAAAATTACAAATCAATCTAAGAAAGCAAATTAAATGATGTAATTTATAATAGATTATAATAGGCCAACTCAAAATCATAGTTAGATTTATAAAATTAATGGAATTTAGAAAAATCTAAATTAGTAAATTAAATATAACATTTATCAAGTTAAATTGAATGTTAATAAAATCAATCTTGCGATTAAATGAGGATATAGATTGAAAGTTAAATGGCATTGAAATATGCTTCTGAAAAAGTTTAATTAGAAAATCAATTATGGGCTGTTTAAGAATAATTAAATGGAATATAAAATTCTATTGATTTATATGTTACCAAAATCAGTTAATTGAATATAGAGAATGATTAATTAAGAGAATAATTAATAGAAAATTAGAATAATTCCAAACAAATATTGATATAAGAAACATAAATTCGTAACTTTTGTGTGGAGATTGAAAAATTAAAAAGTATTTTAATATAGAAGAGTGATCAAATAGAATTTTTATAGTAAAAGTCAATGTAGACAGAATATTTGGTTAATTATGTTTAGGAGTTAGAGAGAAAAGTTAATCAATTAAGTTAAGACAACTAAAGATTAAATACTATAATAATTTAAAGATGTAAAAATTCTTGGTGAATAAAAGTTATCATTTTACTTCCAAATATAAATATTATCAAATTTATAATCAAAATTATCTTTTCTTAAATCTTAAAAAATATTTAGGCTATGATTTAGTGGATTTTTTAGATTACATATTAGAGTTTTTTTCAACGAAATGAAAGTTAAATTCTTACAAAGTCTAAGCCACTTACACTGTTTAAACTTAGACGGTTTTATATTCAGAAGAGTGTCTGATTCTATTGGTTTTGACTTATGTAATTAGAAATTTATGTTACTAAATTAATGGAGTAAGAGCTTTATCTTAAGGTCTATAAAGTGACATGGTTCTTAATTCAGTTCTACATCTAGAATCATTAGCAGGACTATTTAATTTGCTTAAAGGATTCTGTTATACAGTTAAGTTAGACTAAGTTAAATTAACAATGATTTTTCTAGCATCAGCTAAAGAATTAGATTAAGTTCTTCTTAAGAGTTTTTTAATTTCTTTATCGTAATCAATTTCATGCATTGAATCTTCACTAAACCCCAAATTCAATAATGTTTCTACTGCATTTTTTTCTTTTTAGTTATAATAATTAAACATAATTATTTAATAATAAATCATGATCCAACTTTTTTAATCTACTCTTATATTTACTCTGGCATTTTTAATGGAATATATGCATCAATTTTAGTATGTTAGGGTAATCGTGACTTTTATAAGTATATTAAATGAATACCCTTTGTTCCATAAGATCAACATTGAAGAATTTTTTAATAATAGCCCCAATTTTTCTAGCTTCTTGTTTATAATTGACCATGTCCTTATCATTTCTTTTAATATAGCTTTGTAATGAATACAACTAGAAATAAGATGGGAGTTGATACCTGAACTTTGGATAATTTGATTTTATCACAACTTTTCAAAGCAACCATTAATTCATTAATTTTAATGAATCCAGTGTTGTCTTTATCTTATCTTCTAAAATGTTCAAGTAAAAACATTTCCATTTTACTTCTTTATGCTTCTAATAAGCCTTTGACTAGATTTTCAAAAATAGTTTCTTCTAAAACTTTGTCACTAGTTAAATATTCTATGGGATTTGATCCAATAATTTCCATAATTTGTTTGATTTCATCTTCTGAGAAGAATTATTGCTAATTTATTAAATTTATATACTTCTTCTAGAATTTATTGGAAAATGTTTGCAGGAACAGAATGTATTTCATCTTCATCCTTAATTTTACATTACTCAACAATTTTTTTATAAACATTTCTTAGATCTGTAGATAGCATCCATTATGCTTCAAATCTACTTTCTTCTTCCTTTTCTCTAAGTTCTTTAAGAGCTTAATTTTAACAATAGATTGAATGTAATGTTTCAATTCCAAAAGAAGAAATGTCTTTGAATTATAATATTCCAGTTCTCGAGACATCTAATCTATTTAGTGTATCTTCTAATTAGTGTTTTCCTAAATGCAAACCCATTAACTAAAATAATTATCCTCCTTCTTCATATGAGATTACACCCATATCATCTTTATCAATTTATCTAAAACATTAATAGAGTAGTTCAGTTAACATTTTGATTTCTCTCATTTTTTCTTCTTCTGTTATTGTGAATTAATTCACTAATTCTTAATCATGTTCTAATAATTCTGGTTAAATAATTAAATTTTCTTTTTCTTGTTCTGGTTATTTTTCATATAATACTTCATCCATTCTTTTATTTATAATTCTTGTTTATTCAAATTCTGTTCCAAGGAACATGATTCTACATGTTCGATCTTTACGTGCTAAAATAGATTCAATCCATTTCTTAAAATTTAATAATTTAGTTTACTTCCATTTATGAAATTCTTATAGTTCGATTGACTAAGTGAATAAGTGAATCATTTTCAAATCTAAATGACATAGTCTTTTCAGAAGGATCTGTCAAATCTGGAATATAGAAATACACTTTCACTGTTGCAACAGGAATAGGATTTGATGGAGTTGGTAATGAGAAAACTGTCATGAAACTAAATTTATTTAGGATTGTTTACGTATGTCCTGATGTAGTTTCTTCAATATAGCTTGTGTAATATAAATATTTCTTTGTCCATTGACTTACAAAATTGTTTATCAAAAGAATACTTCTTTCTAACAAATCTGTCATCAATGTTATTAATTAATTAATTATTTGTAAAAACAAATTATAAATCAATTCAGGAGCAGAGATCATTTATTTACACTATTTCTAGTAAACTTTTGGGCATGCTAAATATGTTTAAATATAAATACAATTCGTCCATATTTTTATATAATTTGTACATTTTAAGTTAAACCAATATATCTAAATCAGCCGACAATTTTAGTTTTTATTAACTCATTATCTTTAATACTTTTGATTCCATTTTAAGTTTAATTTACGGTTATTAAGCTTAAAATGCAAGAATCGGGAACAACATCTTGCTTTCATTTTAATTTTTCTGGTTTCTCTATACTAAATTCTTTAGAGCTACAACCTTTATGAATAATTCTTGTAATCTTTTCTTCTTATCCTTTATTACATTTTTTTAATTCACCTATACTCAATTACATTATATATATTACTAACTGCTCTTTGAACATATCAGTTTCATTTCTTCTCATCCTATGTTTACAATATACATCTGAAATTACTCGTTTCCCTTCTTTTCTCAACACTTTTGAAGCGATCATAACATTTAAAGCATCATAAACTCTTCTTTTTATATTTTATTCATCTTTAGGCTTGTAACTCAATTTTAATTCATACATTATCTAATTCAACTATTTATCCATCAGAACCTAAATCTTATATCAATCTTTATGCAACTTCCTTATAAGATGTGGATTTCAGTTCCAATACTATATCTCTAACCTTTACACTCAAGTTACGTAATCCTTTAAAAATAATTCATTTCTTTACCTTTCTAACTTCGTTAAGGTGTCTAATCTTAATAAGTGGCTAAATTGATTGAATTTTTTTCATTCTTTTCCGAGTAATATCTTCTTGTTTATTCACTTCTACGTTTCTATGGAGTCATTTATGCAGTGTTAATTTAAACAATTTGAAATCCCTATTACTTATTTTGTGATTATTTGATAACAACTTATTTTAATTGAGGAGATTGATTATTTGAAGTGTGATTATCAAACATTTTTGATAATGCTTATTAATCAAAAGGAAAAATATCATCTGCATTTTATGTGGGTTATGCAATATAATAATCTTGGAAGACCATATTATTGGGACTACAGTGAGCACGAAATAAAATAGGACTATAGGGCTAAAACAGAATCATATTTGATTAACGATGGTTAAGAGGAGAGGATTCCATTTCAGAATGAAAATCATTTGGAGTCTAATCAGTCATTATATTAATTAATTAAAATTTTCATTCATTTAATTATATTTTTGCGCATTTTGTTATTAATATTTAATATATAATATGCAATTAATCAACAACTAACAATAATTTATTATACTAATATTATTTGATCATATTAATACTTATATAATCGGATTAGTTCCATAATTTGATTATAAAAAATAGAGCAATTTTATTAATTTATAACTATTTGTAAATAGTAAAAATTAAAGTATTTAAGACATTTTTTTTGAATAGTTTTCAATATTATTTTGAATTAGGTTCCCTTATTGATATTTAATTATGAATATTTACTTATATAATTAAAAATAGTGGAGAATTATAAGAATTTTTACAAATTTAAAAAAATAAATTTAAAATTAATCCAAAATGATACTAAAAGCCCTTTCTAAGCTTAATAATATTGTTAATCGATTTAAATATTTTTATCGAACTCTCTTAATATGCTATTATCAAACTATATCCAATGCAGATGATTCAAATCATCTGATTCTGGTTTTGTTATAAAAAAAATCTATAAAAATAGAAGATTAGATTATATTTATGTATATTCAAATAACATCTTAAATTAATATACATATTATGAATAGTGAATAATATCGTTTGAATCATGTAAGATATAACATAAATATATATTATATTGAATCTGTCCAAGAATAATATAAGTTTATCTATTCGCAATAATTCGATAAGTAAAATAAATATTTTGGGCTTTATTAAATAAACAAAGATTAGATCAAATATAATTAAATAATATGTCAAAATTGAAAGAGATTTTGATCAATAACCAAATCCACTTTCTAATCTATTTTGAAAATGTATTAATATTGATCTTACTCAAAATCGCATGTATATTCTCATTTACAATTTTTAAGCTAAGGTTTTATAAAAAATTATTATGGTAATTTTAGGTGTGTCCATTGAATATATATTATTAAAAAATAAAAACTTATAATGAAAAATTAATAACAATAATAATCAGGTAATACTAATGCTGCTTAGATTAGAAAGAAATTGTTAAATAACTAATAGGTTTTGTCAGAAAGTTAAAAGAATGAAATTAAAAAAGCTTTTGATTATTTTGATACTGCAGGATCAGGCACAATAGAAGCAACGAATTTAAAAGTTGTATTGAGAGCCTTAGGTTTTGATCCAACTTAAGAAGAAATCGGAAAACTTATCAAAGATCTTGGTAAAGGAGATGTGAAATATGATGCTCAAAGAATAGATTTTTAAGAATTTCTAGAAATTATGATGGTTAAAATGAGTCAAAAAGATTCTCTAGATGATATCAAAAAAGCTTTTAATCTTTTCAAAGATGGCAATAACCCTAAGGTATTATTTTAATATATTTTAAGAAAATCATTACTTTTGATTCATTAAAGAAAGTTATACAAGATTTAGATGAAGATATGACTGATTAATAAATTCTATAATTATTAAAAGGAGCTCAGTCAAATACAAATGAATTGAAAGAAATGGATAAAGATGGGAAAAAAGAGAAGAAATAACCTGAAGATGAATACAAAATAGAAGTTTCAGAGGATCAATTTATTAAAATATTAACTAGAGATCTTAATGACGATAAAAAGAAATTATGAAATCTAATTTCATATTTTAATAATCATTCTTCCCTCATATTATCCAACTATTATATAATTGCATGATCTAAAATATTATAAAGCAATTGGTCCAATTACTGGTATTCTATTTTTTGAATGTAAACCTAAGCATATAATTTAATTTTATTACCTTTCCCTACTATAAACTCTACATCAATGTTTATTTTTTTTAATCTTGTTTTATATATTTTAATCTATTCTATTAATTCATCCAATAATTCTTCTACTTCACCTCCATATATGCCATGTAAATCTATTTTTGTAAATGATTCTTCAGCAACAATCAAAGCTACAAATATTTTGATACCTTCACATTCTAAATTTTGTATCTTCTTATATTAAGCTTCATAATAGTGATTTAATTTAGCTCCTGTTGCCAAATTAGCATATTTTCCTCGATATATATTCATATTTATTACCTGCACATCTATTCACAACTTAGGAACTATTTCTAATCTCTTTTATCTTCTATCTATTACTATTAAATAATTATCTTAGTTCATTCTCAGATAAATTTCGGTATTTCTCACTTACTGTATAATTCTTTTATTGATTTTAATTATCTTTATCCAAGGATGTTATTACTTTAGGTCTTTGGATATCTTTTGGATAATATTCATCATTATAATATTTAGTAAGAAAACATTTGCAATATTCATATGATCCTAATTATTCAAATGCAAATTTGATCTTTGAATAAGGAAAAAAAGGAAATTCTTCGCATAATCTTAAAAAAAGAGAAGGTGAATCTTGTTTTGTTTACTGTTGTTAGGTCCAAGAATTTATAAACTTTCTTAGATTTGAAGGATTAACATTTTTAGAAACTTGCATCTATTAAGAGAGGATCTCTTTGTTTGTCATTAATTCGATTGTTTAGTTTTCATCAGGAGGAATCAAAAAAGGAAATTCATTATAATCATCCTTAATTTAGTTTTATTTTTATTAGTTTATTAATTAGTGCATATATGATTATATGTTGTTTATAAAGTCAGGAGATATTGAATTAACATCTACACCTAATAAATCAAGATAAATTGTATTGTTTTCTTCATTTTTTGTTTCTTAATAAAATTTATCACATGAATCCAATACATCTTTGAATTCAGGTTCATCTAACCAAATCATTGAAACTTCAGCTTTTAAAGTATTATACTCTTCTGATTAATCCTCTAAATAAAATCCATCATTTAATTTCTCTAAACATTCCTCGTTCTCTAACTTTTCAAACTCTTTTATGTATTTATTAATGTCTTCATCCTATACATCTATCAAGTTTTTTGGTATTTCTGGTTCACTTTGCATTTCCAATAACTTTGATACAGTATTTTGAAGATTTGCTTTTTCTGATCGATAACATTACTCAACAATTTCTTTATCAAATTAAGGAAACATATCATATAGAGATTCAGGTGGTAATTATTATTATCTTCTCTTTTTATTCTACCTTGAAGTTATTTTTGTTGTTTTATAATTTAATTCATTGTCAGACATAATAAAATTTATGTTTAATAAAGTTCATTTCATCACTTTATTTATCATAAAGATATCCATGTACTTACTAGCTTTGATTATATGTTATATCAATTTTTATATAATTTAAATTAAACCAAGTCCAATACTATAGAAATTAACCTAAATTCATTAAATATTCTAGATTCATTTTAACTAAAGATTTTCATACGGATTTTTTATTCCTTATTAAACTTTTTCTAACATTTATTCTCGAAATTAATTTAGCGCTTCTCTAACGTCTTTGCATTTCTTTATTGCAATTTCTATTATTAATTTAATATTTTACATTCTAACAAATGCATTAAATCTTTTAGAGCCCTATCTTTTTGTTCTCCTGTCCAACTCTATATATAAATTCCATTTTCAGGTTGCATCTAAAAGTTCTCTGGCATATTATCAACAATTATTACTTTATTTAAGTTCCTTCCAAGAATTGATAGATCCTTTGTTTAATTCTTTATATTTACTTTTATAAACACATTATCCTTAACCAAAGTATGTTCTCTATATAATCTTGCCTTAACAACTTATTATTTATCAATAATATCTATGATGAAATTAGCATAGTCAGGTTAAGCATCAGTAAATATAATTATTTCATAGTATTTTGATAGTTTATCCAAAAACTCTTCTGTATAAGGTCTTACTAAAAATTATCCTCCCCCATTCGGAAACTACTATTTGTATCAAAGTTACTTCTTAATAATGAACTAAAGTCTTATCTAGATCCATTACTAATGTATAATTTTTAAAAGGTTTAGAAGGTAGGATTGGCTATTTCTGTTTTTCAACATTATTAACAATTTTATTAATTTTGGAACTCTATACAATGTTTTCTTTTTATAATTGCTTATTAATTTGATTTAATATTTTGTTTTGTTAAACAAAATATGAATTTAAACTCTACTATTTAAATTCTAGAGATGAATATACATCTTGATAAATCGAGTCGTCAATACCTAATATTGATTAATTACTTACATCAATTCTATAATGGATCTTATTATAAAATTATTTTTTTATAAAGCTTATTTGGCTTTGCTTTGTTATTTTTTTTATTAAAATGATCTCTATTCTATTCTTTATTTTAGCAAAGACTTTATTGATAATAAATTAAATCATACATGAACTACAGCATAGTTGATTGTTTAAAGTAAGTAAAAATTACCTTAGGTTATATATACGATTAAATTCTTTAAATTTTAATCTAAAATCTATTCTCCTTTTTGTTACTCCATTAGAATTATTAAAACTGTATAAGATTCTAATAAAAATGTATCAATTATGTTTATGTCAATATCATATAGATATTCACTCTAAAATTAAATTTAATGGTACATTTTTTCTTTCTATTAAATAACTTAGTATCTGATGTAACTCTTAACAATGAATGGTTAATGCTGAATAGTTTATTTTTTCTAAATTTAAATTTAGTTGATTCCATATAAATTCTTTTTGAAGCACTAATTGAATCAATTATTCAGAAATTTCATCTCTTTATGCGAAACAGTTTAAATCTTATTAGAGTCTCTTTGAAATTTTATGAATTTCATTGTTACTTACCAACTATTGTTCATTTTAACATTAATATTTTTCAGTTTTTTAAGATGTTTTCCTTTTTGTAATATTATTGTTTTTTTGTTTAAATTATTAGATCTAACTTGTTTAAATATAAAATTGATAATTGTCTTTGTTTTAATTGTTATTTATACCATTGTTTTAAGAAATCTAGTCACTATTGCTAAATTATTATTAAAATAAAACATTTTAGTTACAAAAGAAATCTTATTGTTTATTTTGAAAATTGTAGTATAAATTCTTAAAGTTTTCATTATTATGATTTAATTCTCTAGTGGATGATGGTGCAACTATTTACTATTTAAAATATTAATCATTTGTTTTTTGTGTTTTTTAAATTATTTATTGTCTATTCTTACAAACATTATCAGTTTAATTAATCTCTTATGTTTATTTAATCTCTTTTTTATCTCTAAGACTCTAACCAAATAAAGATTTGGGTGAAATTTAATCTGTCTATACAAAATTGGAAAGTTTTTATTATATCTTAGAGAAACTTTGTTCATTATTTTGATAAGCTATCCTCTATTAAGGGGTATGATCTGAAGTATTTTATAAATTAATGATTTTACTTCTATATTCATTTAAATCTTGAAATGAATTTTTGGATTTATTAGAAACCATTGAATTGTCAAGATTATATGTTAAGTAAGAATTGAGTAATTTCTTTTAATTATTTTGACGATGAGTATTCATTTTATTAAATGAGTTACTTTAACAGATTTTAATTAATAATCTTATTAATATATTTTTTATAAGTTTTTTTATATTATTATATTATTAAAGTTTTTTGGATTAATAAAAAATTTTAATAGAAAAAGGAATATTTTAAAAATTTTCAAATTCTATATATATATCAAATAATTAAGTAAGATGTCTGATAGTAAATCAAAAAAGATAAAAAAAACTAAGTCTAATCAAATAGAAAACCAAATTTCAAATACAAACAGGGGAAAACCAAGTGATATTTAGAGAACCATTCTAGCAGTTCCTAATATTTGGACTAATGATTAGGTTTGTTTGAGACTGATTAAATATTTATAAGAAAGTGGAAGACATATTTGTTTGCATCAAGCAGGAAAATAAACAGAAAAAAATAATTATTAATCAAAACAAAATGAGATTGAAAAAACAAGAGCATTTTATGAAAAATCAGAAAAAATTGCTGAAGACCTTTTTGGACATAAATGTGAAACTAAAAGGTGTTTAGTTTTCTTTTTTAGGACTAATCAAGAGGAGAAAATAAGTAATTATAATTGGATTGAATCTTAATTTCCTCCTAATTATTAGGATTGTGTATTAGTTTTAAATAAGGTATAGGCTTTATTTAACTAAAAATTCTTGAGTAATTTAATCTAAATTTTGACTTGGAATAAATACTTAGAGATATTAATTGATTCATTTTTAGAAAATGCAAAAACACCTTAACAATTCTCTCAAATAATCCAAAACATTTATATCAAATACATATTGGATTAAATGAAGTAGAAAAATAGCTATGAGAGTTATAATTTTAAAAATAGAGAAGAGGCAGAAAAGAATTTTTACTCTTTTCTTGAATCAGATTTAGTTAAAAGTGAGTTAGAAAAATTCATTAAAGAAATAAAATAGATTTTTAATAAAGAAAATGATTAGTATGATGCAAATATCATATAATTAGAAGATTAAAATTAAGTATAAGTTATAGACAATTCTTTCGATTCCCAATCATTCAATTTTTAAGAAGAATAATAATATTCTTATGATGAATCCATCTATGTAAAAAATAAAGATACTTGATTTTTTTAAGAGATTTAATTATTTAATAATTATATTAAAATTTTTTATATCTGTTTTATAATAGTTTTTTCTATTCCATTTGAACAATTGATGATAAAAATGGAAATGGAAAAAATTAAAAAAAATGAATAGAAAATTAAAAAGGACAACATTACATTAATAGAAGTGGAAAACCTAAGAACATTTGCTAATTGAAGATAACTGAAACTATTTGGGCTCAGAATAATAAATGCTTATAATTGGATAATTTATTAAATGAAGGAACTCATAATTTTTATTACATTCCTAGATGAAATCATGTAACTAATCAATAATAGAGATGGTTACCAATTTATAAAGATAATAATGTTATTGTTTTATTTAAAAAATAGTTAGAAGATTTAATGAATAAAGGTTCTAGGCAGAGTTTGAGGAGATGATATCATAATATCATGTAACAAATCTCATTGATATATAATTCTAAATGAAAGAGAAATTATTTCAAAGATATAATAACAATATGAGAACACATCACAACAAGAAGTATCTAAAAAAGGAAAATAGTTCTTACATATACTTTAGAGAGTATGCTAAGAGTTATGATGCCTAATAGTATGTTATCAAGTTCGTTAAGAGAGCCTAACTAAAATTGTTGGATTGATTAATGAAAATTTTTTAAATTATATCTAATTTCAATTATTAACACCCCCCTTTAATAACCATAATAGAATTATGCTTTAGAATAAATATACTAAATCCAAAAAGGATTTAATATAATGAAAAAGAACTCTAAAATTATCAAAAAAATTAAGAAAAATGATTCACAGAAGCCTAATTATAGGGGAAAACCTTCAAATTTAAAATTTACTGAATTATCAATCCCAAATATTTGGACTAACTAATACTAATGTGTTTAAATTATTAAAATCTTGACATAAGAAGGAAGACATTTGTCTTGCCATCTAGCAGGTAAACATTCTATTTCAGAAAATCATTCTTAAAAATATAAGGAAATTAAAGATACACAGATATATTATGAATATGCATAGGAGGTAGTTGAAAAATTATTTAAAATTAATTGTGTTTCTAAGAGATGCATAGTGTTCTTTTTCAGAAATCCTAATGAAGAACAATAATAGATTTAGAATTATTCAGAAAATATCAATAATTACAATTACTTTGTAATTTTCAATCACATTAAAACTCTATTATCATAAACATTCATTTATGATCTCATTAGTATTTTGAATAATGAAAGTTAAATTCAAATAATTGTTGATGAACTATTTAATCATTAAGATTAACCTTGTAATTATTCTTAAATAATTCAAAATTTTTTCATTAAATAAAAAATCCAAAAGATGATTTAAGAAAAAAAGCAAAAGTCTTCAATTGAAGTAGTAAAACAAGAATTTGAATTTTTTTTAAAAGATCAAAATTCCAGATACTAAGTAACAATGTTTATTGAAGAAATATTAAAAATATTTTAGGCTACTTCATAATTTTAAATTGGACTACCTGAGTATTATTAAATTGATGAATTAGATAATGATGATGGTTGAATTTTAAAAGACGAAACATGGTTAAAAATGATTTTTATATATATAGTAATAAAAATATATATATAAAATTTTATTAATAATTTATTTATATTATTTAAATCATACAATTTAAAAGAATTAAATAAAATTAATTAATCATATAAGTCCCATGCAGCTACGTTATAAAATATAAAATTGAATTATTGATAATTTTTGGACAATATAAATTAACAGTTTATTTTGATTTTCGTGAAATATATAAGAAATATTTAATTCTTTAGTAAATTTGAAGTTTGAGATCTTGGATGAAAAATAAAATATAATGGTTAAATGTGTTTGATTGATTAGTTTTAAGGAGAGATGATACTGGAGAACTGTTTTGAAGAGTTATTAAGTAGTAAAGAGTGAAGATGAGAAAGTAATAGAAAGGTAAAGAGTGTAATAAGAATAATAAAATAGAGTTAATAAAAATATGGGTTTGATGATTGATAGTTTAAAATAAAAAATGAGAAAAAAAGAGATGATTCTGGAATAAATATGTATAAATTGTGTAAATTACGTAATAGAGGATTTGATTAGAGATTAGTATAATGCGTAATATAAAAGTAGTAAGTAAAGAGAGAAGTTCGTCATAAATAAAATCATAATTAATGCAGAATAAAAGCTTAAAAACAATAGAGTTAGGAGAGAGATGGGGATTAGAGAACAGAGTTGTATTTAGAAATCCAAGTGTTCCTTTGATATACTAGATGTCAATGTAATAAGGTTAGGAATGTGGTACAAGAGGAGATTCTATAAATAGTACTGGTGCATTAGTGGCATATTCTGGGAAGAAATGTGGGTAAATAAATAGTATTAAGTATATAGTCGAGTACCAAAGGATAAAAGAATAATAATAGACTCAGTAACAGAGAAAGATGTTTGGTGGGGAGATGTAAACATTCCTTTGAGTAAAGAATCATACATAGAAGTTGAGAGAATAGCTTTAGAATATTTGGGAAGTTAAGAAAAAGTAAGAATTGTATTGAATATTTATAGTTGTTTATAATAGATGGATATGCTGGATGGGATATAAAACATAGATTGAGAATTCGAGTGTTTTGTACAAGGCCTTATCATGCATTGTTTATGAAGAATATGTTAATCAGACCAAATGAAGAGGAGTTGAAGAAAGATTTTAACGGGGATGTTGATTTTTATATATTCAATGCTGGACCTCAAATAATCTAAAAACATATTGAAGGAGTGACTTCAGAAGGTTGTGTAGCTGTGAATCTGATTGAAAGAAAAATGGTGATCTTAGGAACTTAATATGCTGGAGAGATGAAGAAAGGTGTCTTTGGAGTTACACATTATTTATTTCCTAAATAAGGCATCTTAACATTACATAGTTCAGCAAATGAAGGAGAAGATGGAGATGTTACATTGTTATTTGGTTTAAGTGGAACAGGTAAAACTACTTTGAGTGCTGATCCTAAACGTAAACTTATTGGAGATGATGAACATGCTTGGTCTGATGATGGTATTTTTAATATTGAAGGCGGTTGTTATGCAAAATGCGTTGATTTATCTAAAGAAAAAGAACCTGAAATCTTTAATGCAGTTAAGTTTGGAGCTGTCCTTGAAAATATTGAATATTATTCTTATTCAAATAGACAAGTAGATTTTTCTAATATCTCTATCACTGAAAATACTAGAGTAAGTTATCCCTTAGAATTTATACCTGGAGCTAAATTTCCTGCATAAGGAACACATCCTAAAAATATATTCTTTTTAACTTGTGATGCTTATGGTGTCTTACCTCCTGTATCTCTCTTAACTCCTGAATAAGCTATGTATCATTTTATATCAGGTTATACTGCCAAAGTTGCAGGAACTGAAGTTGGAGTTAAAGAACCTTAAGCAACATTTTCTGCTTGTTTTGGCGAAGCCTTTTTAGCTCTACATCCTACTCTCTATGCTAATATGCTTGCTTAAAAAATCAAATAACATCATACCAATGTTTGGTTAATTAATACTGGATGGACTGGTGGTAAATATGGTGTAGGATAAAGAATGTCTTTAAAATATACTAGAGCTATCATTGATCTTATTCATTGTGGATAATTAAAAAATGCTCAATTTGAAAACTTTCCTATCTTCAATTTTAAAATTCCTAAATCTGCTTAAGACATTCCTACTGAAATTCTTAATCCAAGAAATACATGGATGTATTAATTTTATTTCATTATTTAGAAATTCAAATGAATTTGATCAATAATTAAAAGAATTAGCTCTAAAATTTATGGTCAATTTCAAAAAATATGAAGATAAAGCAACTATAGATATTCTTAATGCAGGCCCAAAACTGTGATTTATTATTTGTATCTATTTTAAGTATCAATTTATCATCCTTTATCTTACTAATTTTTATATTTAAATTAATTATTATATGGAAAAGGAAATTTAAAATTATATTGGAGAATTTAATCTCGATTACTCTAATGTTGCAATATTTGGCAAAATTTAATTGCAAGTTCAAAAATATTTAATTCTTATTGTGAATTCATAATGTATTGGTTAATTGTTAGGACATGAAATATACATGATTAAATAATTAGTCTTCCATCCTTTATCAGAATGTGAAATCATACATAAAAATGATAAAGTATATACTGAAATGATTAAATCTATCATCTGCAATAACTCTTGCTATTATAGCTTAACACACAATCTTACGCATAGTTTATAGTATAAAAGAAATAGAAATAGAAACCGATTTGCAATTAATCATAAATACATAGAAGATATAGAAAATAAGATTTATGTCATAAATGGATTTATCTAAATTTACAACAATACTAACTTTACTTATTGTTAAATTGTTCGAAGAGAATGCTTAAGATAAGGAAGAAGATTTACTTAGAGAGGTTGTGATTAATAAGGAAATTGTACAAATTTCACTGAGATTGAGGATGTATATCAAATAAATAATTCAACCTACTCTTTTATCTAGGTGAGAGGATCTCTCCCATTCAAATGGTCATAATTACCTTATTTGAATCCTAAACCTAATATTGTAAATTTTTAATCCTATATAGTAAATTGATAGTAATTCTGATAATAATATAGACCTTTGTAACACTCATTTGTTTAGCCAAATATAATTTTACAGGGAGATATTTATTTTAAATTTAATTGATCGCAAAGGAAAGCAATAGAAACTTGGAAATTATTTCCAATCAATTTTAGAGTCTTTTTAAAGAAGGGAAATTTAGTACTTTTGGTTTGATTTTCATTAAGAAAAAGGTAATTTGAATAAACTAGTGGATGAAATTAGTCCAATTTTAGAATAATATGGTTATTACTAAATAGCTGATTAGAATACTAAGCTAATATCTGAATAAAAAGGAATTTTTAGAGTGAATTGTATGTCATGTATTGACAGAACTAATGTCGTTTAATATTTAATTAGTAAATTCATAATGGAAGAAATTATTTAAGATTCTGGTTTAGATTTTTCATTAGAATCTACACACAAAAAAATATGGATTAATTCTGGGAATTAATAAAGCAGATTATATACAGGTACTAATTCATTAAAGAATGACTATATAAAATATGGTATGTAAACTAAGTATGGAAAATTAGAAGATGCAATTTTATTAACTAAGAGATACTTTTTAAATCATTTCAATGATTATCATATACAAAATAGTATTGATTTAACTTTTGGTTTATGGGATATGAATAATACTCGATTCNTTTAAATTAATTATTATATGGAAAAGGAAATTTAAAATTATATTGGAGAATTTAATCTCGATTACTCTAATGTTGCAATATTTGGCAAAATTTAATTGCAAGTTCAAAAATATTTAATTCTTATTGTGAATTCATAATGTATTGGTTAATTGTTAGGACATGAAATATACATGATTAAATAATTAGTCTTCCATCCTTTATCAGAATGTGAAATCATACATAAAAATGATAAAGTATATACTGAAATGATTAAATCTATCATCTGCAATAACTCTTGCTATTATAGCTTAACACACAATCTTACGCATAGTTTATAGTATAAAAGAAATAGAAATAGAAACCGATTTGCAATTAATCATAAATACATAGAAGATATAGAAAATAAGATTTATGTCATAAATGGATTTATCTAAATTTACAACAATACTAACTTTACTTATTGTTAAATTGTTCGAAGAGAATGCTTAAGATAAGGAAGAAGATTTACTTAGAGAGGTTGTGATTAATAAGGAAATTGTACAAATTTCACTGAGATTGAGGATGTATATCAAATAAATAATTCAACCTACTCTTTTATCTAGGTGAGAGGATCTCTCCCATTCAAATGGTCATAATTACCTTATTTGAATCCTAAACCTAATATTGTAAATTTTTAATCCTATATAGTAAATTGATAGTAATTCTGATAATAATATAGACCTTTGTAACACTCATTTGTTTAGCCAAATATAATTTTACAGGGAGATATTTATTTTAAATTTAATTGATCGCAAAGGAAAGCAATAGAAACTTGGAAATTATTTCCAATCAATTTTAGAGTCTTTTTAAAGAAGGGAAATTTAGTACTTTTGGTTTGATTTTCATTAAGAAAAAGGTAATTTGAATAAACTAGTGGATGAAATTAGTCCAATTTTAGAATAATATGGTTATTACTAAATAGCTGATTAGAATACTAAGCTAATATCTGAATAAAAAGGAATTTTTAGAGTGAATTGTATGTCATGTATTGACAGAACTAATGTCGTTTAATATTTAATTAGTAAATTCATAATGGAAGAAATTATTTAAGATTCTGGTTTAGATTTTTCATTAGAATCTACACACAAAAAAATATGGATTAATTCTGGGAATTAATAAAGCAGATTATATACAGGTACTAATTCATTAAAGAATGACTATATAAAATATGGTATGTAAACTAAGTATGGAAAATTAGAAGATGCAATTTTATTAACTAAGAGATACTTTTTAAATCATTTCAATGATTATCATATACAAAATAGTATTGATTTAACTTTTGGTTTATGGGATATGAATAATACTCGATTCCACGATTACAAATTTGAAAATTCTCTCCGAAAATGTATAATCATAGTAATTTATAACTGCTATTATTTAGTATATTATATTGATGTTTTTGTTCAGTTTATTAAATTTGGGTATACTTAGTCCAGCTTTGTCACTTGTAGTTCTCAATTACTTTCCATAAGTATATTAAGTAAGATCAATACTAACATAATGATACATAATTATTTATCAATTTTCATAATATTAAATGTATTAATTAAGCGCTTGTTCAATTTGGCCTTTCATTTGTTTTTTCATTTAATTTTTCAACATTTCTCTAAAAATAAAAAACATGAACAATAAAAATAGTAGAGTCATACTTAAGACTAATATGATTAACCATTTATAAGATATTTATTCCTCATTTAAGTATGGTTTATTATTGCAAATACTGATATTTTGTTAATCTATAAATGCAGAGCAAAGTGCATTCTTAATAGTTTCAACATCCATATTTCCTCTAAAGATTTTTCCATTAATCGTTAAGCCAGGAAAATATACAATACCCGATTTCATTTAGACTATAAATTATTTTTCCAAAAATTCAATTTTTCCACTTTTATATGAGAGACACTCAGTTAAATTATTTTAAATGCTTTCATCTATAAAAAATTAGAAGCAACTTTAAAATGAGTTTGGTTTACTACATTGAGTACTAAAATAATTCTATTAGATAAATATTTTAAATACCATATATCTCCACCAATACATACGATTTAATTACCATAAGCATAATTAGCGATATTATTCCATAACAATATCTGCGCCATTACCATCTTCATAACCATTTGGGTCTAATTAACAATATCTACCATTATTAATACAATCGATTTATTTTTATGAATAATTAAATTCCTTACATTTAGCACATTATAGAAAATGATAGAAAATATCGAAATCAATAAACTCTTGAAATTCTTCATAATATTTTTTAAAATTCTTAATTAATTTAAAGGTGTCTCTATTACTAATATCTAATCCAAATAAAACCTTTGGTTTATAAGTTTTTGAGATTTATTCAAATCGAATGTGAGCATTTAATGAACCTCCAGGTTAATCTTATTTTAATTAATTATATATCTTCTAAGCCTCATTATTACCTATCATAATCACTGGTATATAAATTTAGTATCCATTTCCATCATCAAATATAACTAATTCAGTTTTATCATTAGCGTTTTCATCAAAAATTATAAGCAATTTTGCCTAAATTTTTTAAGCAATTATTGCTTTTTAAGTAATTGAACAATTTCCTACTTTGCTAATTATCCATTTATCAAGCTTAAATGAAAAATACGGACTATAAGAATTGATGCTATTTAAATCACAAAATTATCCATCAAAATCATCAAATTGTTTAATAGGAGGTAAAAATAATTAACCATGGATCAGTTATCCATATGGAACATTTCCAAAATTAGCAACTTAATNTTAATTAAGCGCTTGTTCAATTTGGCCTTTCATTTGTTTTTTCATTTAATTTTTCAACATTTCTCTAAAAATAAAAAACATGAACAATAAAAATAGTAGAGTCATACTTAAGACTAATATGATTAACCATTTATAAGATATTTATTCCTCATTTAAGTATGGTTTATTATTGCAAATACTGATATTTTGTTAATCTATAAATGCAGAGCAAAGTGCATTCTTAATAGTTTCAACATCCATATTTCCTCTAAAGATTTTTCCATTAATCGTTAAGCCAGGAAAATATACAATACCCGATTTCATTTAGACTATAAATTATTTTTCCAAAAATTCAATTTTTCCACTTTTATATGAGAGACACTCAGTTAAATTATTTTAAATGCTTTCATCTATAAAAAATTAGAAGCAACTTTAAAATGAGTTTGGTTTACTACATTGAGTACTAAAATAATTCTATTAGATAAATATTTTAAATACCATATATCTCCACCAATACATACGATTTAATTACCATAAGCATAATTAGCGATATTATTCCATAACAATATCTGCGCCATTACCATCTTCATAACCATTTGGGTCTAATTAACAATATCTACCATTATTAATACAATCGATTTATTTTTATGAATAATTAAATTCCTTACATTTAGCACATTATAGAAAATGATAGAAAATATCGAAATCAATAAACTCTTGAAATTCTTCATAATATTTTTTAAAATTCTTAATTAATTTAAAGGTGTCTCTATTACTAATATCTAATCCAAATAAAACCTTTGGTTTATAAGTTTTTGAGATTTATTCAAATCGAATGTGAGCATTTAATGAACCTCCAGGTTAATCTTATTTTAATTAATTATATATCTTCTAAGCCTCATTATTACCTATCATAATCACTGGTATATAAATTTAGTATCCATTTCCATCATCAAATATAACTAATTCAGTTTTATCATTAGCGTTTTCATCAAAAATTATAAGCAATTTTGCCTAAATTTTTTAAGCAATTATTGCTTTTTAAGTAATTGAACAATTTCCTACTTTGCTAATTATCCATTTATCAAGCTTAAATGAAAAATACGGACTATAAGAATTGATGCTATTTAAATCACAAAATTATCCATCAAAATCATCAAATTGTTTAATAGGAGGTAAAAATAATTAACCATGGATCAGTTATCCATATGGAACATTTCCAAAATTAGCAACTTAATATATACTTGTATTTAATAATAAATCTCTATTTCCAAATGTATACACAAAAAAATTAGAATAGGAATTCTCAACCAAAGATGCTATTATGTATAAAATTATCATTTATTATAATAATGTTATTCATTTTATATTAAAGGAATCATAATTATTTCCAATAATCCCTAAAACTCCTAAAGAGAGAAGTTCATTTACATAAGTTCTTTTTTAATTATTTAAACTAATAGCTCGAGTTTTACGATGTTTAGGACTTATACATTCCAAAGCTAGATTGCTTAAATCTAAAATTGGAGGAGCATAGAATTCTCGATCTACAATTAACTTTTAATTTCGTGGGCGTAATGGTAAATTTGCATCATTTTTTTAAGAACTAGTCATCGTTGGGATATGATTTAAGGGTTTAAGCTATATTTTAAATTTATTAATTGGAGATGGAGACTATTATCTGAAATTATTATATTACTCTTATTTTTAGATTGTATTTGGTATTTTTGAATAATTACTTTAAATAATATCCTCATTTAGATATTATTTAATTTATACTTTTTTAACTCTTTTTTTCTTTATTATTTAAGGAGATTTAGTAGGACTTGAAGTAATTGATTTATCAAATTAATTATCTACAATTTATTAATTTAGTATTTAATTATCTTATATTAATTATTAATCATCATCAGAAGGATTGTTTAATTTAGTAGATTATATCAGGAATTGTTATCGAATAAATTATTTTTCTGGAATATCTTTATTCTTAATTGATAATTTCATCATTTATTCTTACTCAATATCTTCAATGACAATGGGTGTTTGATTTTATGAATTAATATTAAAAACTTTAATTGGTGATTTATTTGAGAAAGGTATTAAAAATTTGGAAGATTAAAGAATAGTTGAATGTGATTATTTTGTAGATTCTATTGTTGTATGTAAATCATTGCGAATAGTTTATTCCATCTTATTAAATACAGATGAGATTTTAGTTTTTTAATCTTCATTTAAAGATTACTAATAGTCTGCAAATAATTAATCATAATTTCCTAAGAAATCTAACTTTTAATTTTATTTGATCTACATAGAAATTTAATCATAAAATTATTTATTAACTAAATGTTTTTTGTATCCTAGTTTGTTGAGTAGCATTAATGCAAGAATTATTTTGTATAATTTTAATGATTGTTTCCATTATTGAAATTGTTCTTCCATATTTAAAGGTTCATCATTACCATAATTAAACCAAGGATGTAATAGAGCTTGAGTAGCACTATATCTTTTAGTGGGATTAATTTCAGTCAATCTTCGAAATAGACTAAATTGAATACTCTAGATTAAAAATGTAAAATTTACTCATTAAGATACGGTTTACATAATTCATGCATATTTAATTGGGCTTTTGCTAAATTACAACCTTTTTAATAATATGGATGTTATCCAACAATAAGTTGATACATGATGACACCAGCAGCCCAGATATCAATAGCTTTATTATATATCTTATTATTTAATTATTCAGGAGCCATATAAATAAGAGTTCCACATTATTTGGTCATTAAAGATGCCTATCCTGTACTTAAACCAAAATCACTAACTTTGAGGAGACTTAAATCTTGATTTACCAAGATATTTTCTAATTTAAGATCTCTATGAGCAATATTATTATTATGCATATATTGTAATGCATTGAAAATTGAATACATAATATATTTGGTTTATTCTTCAGAACACTTAGATATGGAATTAAGTGAGCCTTATTGATACAGTGAATAGATAAATACCTCCTTAAATAAGTTCCATTTCAATAAAGATTCTGGAATCTGTCTCATGCACTGCAAAAAACTTAACAATGTTGGGATGTGATAACTCTTATAAAATGCGAGCTTCTTGCATTAGTTATTCAGATTAGAATAGAGATTTCTTTTTAATAATCTAGAATGAGTTCGTAGAAGTGCATTACTTTGACTGCAACTAATTATTGTGTCTGTTTATTTAATGCTTTCAACACAGTTCCAAAAGATCCTTAACCTAGAAATTCTTGAAATTCAAACAAATCAAATGAAATATCACAGAATTCATTCATGAATAATAAAATTAATAATGGGATGTGTATGTGAAAAATCGAAACGAGTGCAACCTGAACCAATATAAATTGAAGTGCATCCATGTGAAACAGCATAACCTTAATCTCAACCTATCAAATAAACCTCCCTAAAGAAACTTAAAATCCCATAAGTAAGTTTATTCTTTTCATTATTTGAGAGAAAAAAGAAAGTAAGAGAAACTTAAAAACTTGTCAAAACAACTAATGAAGATGTAAACTAATTATTAATTTACAGGGAGTTAAAATGATTAATGACTACATTTTTGATGAATTTCTTGGAGAAGGAGCATTTGGTAAAGTCAAATTGGCATTCAAAAGATCTAGTGGTCAAAAATATGCTATTAAAATTATGAGAAAAAGTAAATTAAGACGATAGAGAGAATATATTAAGGATTCTAAGGGAAGTAGGACTGACTATATTATTAGATATGGTGATTAAGGATGCACTATAAGATGTTAAAAGAGAAATTGCTATAATGAAGAAACTAAGACATAAGAACTTAATACAATTATTTGAAGTCATTGATAATCCAAATAATGATAAATTATTTATGGGTATATAATATATCTCTAAACTAAAAGTTTTAGAATATGCTGAAGGTGGATAAGTTATTGAATGGGATGATGATGAATGTAAATTTTATTAGGTCAATGACTCTCTTATACTTGATGAACCATTACTTAATTAGATTTTTCGTGATTGTATTAAAGGTCTCAATTATTGTAATAAATCATAAATATATTCAAGTACATAAAAATGGTGTTGTTCATAGAGACTTAAAACCATAGAATGTACTCTTAACTGATAATAAAACAGCTAAAATAGCTGATTTTGGAGTCTCTACTATGGTTGGAAGTAAAAATGATGTTTTGGACAATACTTAAGGAACTTACTATTTCATGCCTCCAGAAGCATGTGATAAGGATAAAGTTAAAGATGGTTATTCTGGTAGAGCTGCTGATATTTGGGCTTTGGGTATTACTTTTTTTGCTTTTGTCTATTTGGATGTTCCATTTACAGGATCATCCATTCCTGATATACTTCATAATATTGTCAATAATCCGTATTAATATCAGTTAATATAGAATTACATTTCCTGAAAGAAACGATATCAGTGATGGATTAAAAGAATTTCTCTAATTTATTTTATAAAAAGACCCTAACCAAAGACCAAAAATACCTGAGATTGCATAGCACCAATGGTTGAATGCTTAAAATATGAATTTATGGGATGAAATGTAATAATTAATAATATAATTAGAAACAAAGAAGAATAAACAGACATGGAAATAGCTTAAGCAGATATAGATAATGCTTATTCATTGAGTTCAATTATGATGATAAAAAATTGGGCTTACAAATGGAGAACTAGCTCAAATCTTAAAAAGATATCAAATAACTAACAAATATAACAAATTAATTCAGAATAAGTAATTAAATGATAAAAATGAATAATAAATTATTTTACTCAATCAGTTAAAATAATAATGTGACTAAAACCTAAGGTAATGTCTTTAATCTAAATATTATGCATTCCTAATTCAGGAATGAATCTTTTGAATGTTTCTCAGAATGTAATATCATATATCTTAAGTTCTCTCCTTCTCAAATACTACAATATTCATTACTAATTAAAACAGTTAATTTATTTAATTTGGCATTTATCTAAACAATTTTTTCATTATTTTCTAAAGGTTAATTAATTTCAGTTTTTCCACTAAATTCAAAATTATATTTTACTTCTAGTTGATTATGAAATGAATAAAAAAAAATAATCTATTTTGGTAATTTATCCAAGATGGTGAGGTTGTCCTGAAACAATCTATTAAATCGACTCATCAGATTGTAAATCAAAAATTCTTCTGTTGATTCTGTTTATTCAATTGGTTTTATTATTCAATCCACATTATCCATTTATTTAATTAACAAGCCTACATTGGATAATAGGAATAAATATAAATATTTAATAATATCAATGTCTATATATGATAAATTAGATACTCATAAGAGTATGTGATTAGCAGCACTAGAACTAATTCTCTAAATCTTCTGATTTCCTATTATCCATCATTTTTTTATTCTAAACGAATTCAACTATGTATCTTCCTATTATCATTCAACTGGCTAAATCATACTTTTTTTAACTAATTATAATTTAATAATTTATTTCAAAATAATAAAAGTTTTTGTTCAAAAAATGAATTAGAGAATAAGTAACAAATTTAAAAATACACTATTTTTAGAAATCAGTAAAAATTGATCTCTACATTAAAATAAGGAGTTAATTTCAAATAATTCACTAATTGACCTTTGTAATGAATATTAATAATGAAAAATGAAAGTATACTACATATAACGTTCCCTTTAGATTATACAGATAAAGTTGATATTAATATTAGACATTAAATGAGTGAAGTCTTAAATTTATAAAAGGGAGAGAAAGTATTTTGAGAGACTAACTTTTTTGATTTAATAAAAGAAGAACTTGCAAAGATTGTTAATGACAGAAGAAGATTTGAATGTTGAAAGAATAACTGCTTGCTCAAACATTCTTATAGATTAAATTGATTGGAGGACTTAAGGAGTGTAACTCAAATTAAATTTTAAAATAATTTGGCTAATGTGAAGCATTCAGTGCTACTACAGATGTTTTAGAATATTTCTTTTATCTCAAAAAAGGTGAATTATCAGATATTTTCAGAATAATAATTATTAGATTGTTTAACAATACTACACCTTCTTCAGTCAATAATAAACTTTTATAATAACCACAAACTACTAAAATTATTTTATGTTCAGTTGATAGTTACTATTATAAAACTAAAATTAATGCTTTATTGAAAAACATAAAATAAATAATTATCATTTAATGATATTATTCATATCAGGTGGGGAATATTTCTAAAAATTTCATTATAATTAATATACTTGCCATGTTAAACATAAAGTTAGATTTTTTTATAAAATGTTAGTGTTCTATTTCTCGTTCCAATCCCAATTAGCTTTAATTAGTTTACATATAGAATTTATAAATCAGAAATTTATGCAAAATATTCTAAACTTTTAAAACTACCTTGCCTTAATTAACCCATAAAATTCAAAGCTTTTGCAAATGCTTTAAATTAATTATAATGTAAGAAAAATAAAAATCAAAATTATTCCTTGAAAAACTCTACGATTTATTAGAGGTAAATTCAATTGTAACTAGTCTGATGAAACCCATAGTATCATTTAATGGACTGTTAATAAAGACGCTATTAAAATTATTAATCGATTCAAATTGATTCGTGATATCCTACCTAACATTTTCAAATAGACATCTTATAAGAGCTTCACTAAATAAATGAACCTTTATAATTTTAAAAGTACTAAAGATGAAAATGGATGTACGATTTTTATTAATCCACATTTTACTCAACATTTACTCAATCTTACATAAATAATAGTAGAAAAGCGAACCATTAAAAAATCAAAAAGAGAGGATAATAAAAAGAGAAGCGAATTGTAATTTGAACATGAATAACTTAAATAAAAATTAATGGCTTTATTCAAATACTAAGTGCAACTTTAAAACGAAATCAAAATATAATTAGAAANCAGATAAAGTTGATATTAATATTAGACATTAAATGAGTGAAGTCTTAAATTTATAAAAGGGAGAGAAAGTATTTTGAGAGACTAACTTTTTTGATTTAATAAAAGAAGAACTTGCAAAGATTGTTAATGACAGAAGAAGATTTGAATGTTGAAAGAATAACTGCTTGCTCAAACATTCTTATAGATTAAATTGATTGGAGGACTTAAGGAGTGTAACTCAAATTAAATTTTAAAATAATTTGGCTAATGTGAAGCATTCAGTGCTACTACAGATGTTTTAGAATATTTCTTTTATCTCAAAAAAGGTGAATTATCAGATATTTTCAGAATAATAATTATTAGATTGTTTAACAATACTACACCTTCTTCAGTCAATAATAAACTTTTATAATAACCACAAACTACTAAAATTATTTTATGTTCAGTTGATAGTTACTATTATAAAACTAAAATTAATGCTTTATTGAAAAACATAAAATAAATAATTATCATTTAATGATATTATTCATATCAGGTGGGGAATATTTCTAAAAATTTCATTATAATTAATATACTTGCCATGTTAAACATAAAGTTAGATTTTTTTATAAAATGTTAGTGTTCTATTTCTCGTTCCAATCCCAATTAGCTTTAATTAGTTTACATATAGAATTTATAAATCAGAAATTTATGCAAAATATTCTAAACTTTTAAAACTACCTTGCCTTAATTAACCCATAAAATTCAAAGCTTTTGCAAATGCTTTAAATTAATTATAATGTAAGAAAAATAAAAATCAAAATTATTCCTTGAAAAACTCTACGATTTATTAGAGGTAAATTCAATTGTAACTAGTCTGATGAAACCCATAGTATCATTTAATGGACTGTTAATAAAGACGCTATTAAAATTATTAATCGATTCAAATTGATTCGTGATATCCTACCTAACATTTTCAAATAGACATCTTATAAGAGCTTCACTAAATAAATGAACCTTTATAATTTTAAAAGTACTAAAGATGAAAATGGATGTACGATTTTTATTAATCCACATTTTACTCAACATTTACTCAATCTTACATAAATAATAGTAGAAAAGCGAACCATTAAAAAATCAAAAAGAGAGGATAATAAAAAGAGAAGCGAATTGTAATTTGAACATGAATAACTTAAATAAAAATTAATGGCTTTATTCAAATACTAAGTGCAACTTTAAAACGAAATCAAAATATAATTAGAAATCCATAAACATCTTCAAATAAGAGTAGCTCTCATTAAAAAATATATTTACAAACGCAAAGAGAATGGATTAAAGCGAAGAAGAAAAATTTATAATTTTTTGAATTCTTTTTTCGCAAATCTCAAATCTTCAGTCATATGTATTCATTTTACATCTACAAAAATTAGGTCAAAAATTTTTAATTTTAAATCATGATCTAATTTGTTAATGTGATGAGAACAATGAAGAATAATGTCTAGACTTTTAGACTTCTAGTTCATTATATCAAACACCTTATCTGACCCCTAGAAATCTTACAATTTTTTAATAAAATTCAACAAGATTTTTATAAAATTTATTTTATAATGAAGATAATAAGCCAAAGTCTTTCTAATAACTTACACCAGAATAATAAAATTAATTTATTGAAACCATCTGGGATGATTGATTTATATATAAGTATAATCAATATGATTTATCATTTATTTTACTTCTGATCACTTTTTATTGTAGTAGGTTATTTTCTCTAGTTTTCCAATATATTAAAATTAAATTTTATTTATTCTAATTTTGATTATTATTATATATAATTTTTATACAAACTATTCCTTTAACCTTTTTGTTTAAATCAAAAGAGAAAGTGATTTAATATAAAAAACAATTAAAATAGTTTATTAAAATCTAACTTAATTATTCAAATCTATTAAATGCAGATTTTTGATACTTTATCAAAAGCTTACTCGATACATTTTTATTTCTCTTTATATTCTTCTATTAGGGTCTCTGTAGATTAAGTACGAATATACTACATTAAAATTTTGAAAAATACTTATTCATACTCTATTGGAGATTTTTTAAGGATTTAAATGGGGTTTTATTTCAATAAATATGAAACTACTAGAGCAAGACTAAATAAAATTTGAATAATAATTTGATACTATATTTTAATGTCACTTAAGATAACCTTATTAAATTAGTTTATACCTTAAATGTTGGTATGCTTTAGATAAAAGTTCTCGTTTGATCTCTCAAAAATTCAAAGATTGAATACTAAGTTGTTCTATTAATTATTCCCCATAATCTTCCATCAAAATTTGCTTTTTTCTGAGACTTTTCTAAATATATTTATGCTTGGTATAGGGCTTTAGAAAATTATGAGTCAATAATTTTATATTCTTCATCAATTTTTTTCTAAAAATTATCATATTTTTCTTATAAATCTTAACAGAGGCATTGTTCAAATTAGGCTGCTAATTTAATTTCATAAATTTATTAAATCAATTATTTAGAAATGAGAAAAATAAGTTTTAGAATTAGAAATTCTAAAGTTGCTGAATGAAATTCGTTATTAAAAAGTCTGACATAACTTAGTGATTGTGATAAACTAGAATATATATTTCTAAAATATAAAATTTAAATATATACCTCTATTCAATATAATAATCTAATTATTTTTATAATAATTTTATTCTTTACTCTTTAAAAAGATCTTTGGCTATTGATAATTACTTATCAAACTAATCTAGATCTTCATTCTAACCTTAAATAATCATAAAATTTTAAAATTTACTTTTTTGCTTCTAAATAGTTTAAGTGTTATTTTTATGAATTGTTGAAATAGATTTTTATTCAATATCTTGATAAAATTATCTATTTTTTTCACAATCGAAAACTTTAGGTAGAAGATCTGATTTTGAAATTAATTGATTCATTGAAATAGATAACAGAGTTGATTATGCAATTGAATTTTTGTTAATTTTAAGTAATTATAATAGTGGATGCTAATAAACTTATGACCAATTTAATCTCTCATTTGGTTCAAATCTAAGAGTTTTTTATAGAAAATCTATCGACTCATTACTTATTATTTTATCATTATTAGAGAAATCCTAAAATGATTATTTTGATTACAATATTATTTTTTTTGATGTTTTAAATTAATTCTTCTTTAGTTGACCCATTAAAAGGATATCTTTTGTATATTAGCTTAAAATAGATTACGCTTACAGAATATAAATCAGAGACCATTGAAGCCTAAGTTTAATATTGTAGAATTTCAGGCGGAATTATTTCCTTAACAATTTGATAATCATTGAAATCTTAATCATTTTCCATATTTGCTATTTCGTCTATGAAGATATTTATTTATCCTATTTTTATTTCATCATTGCTTTTAAAAATGTTTTAAGGATTTAGATCTATAAAAGTAATTTAATTTTCATGCAAGGCTAGATGTAATCAAATCTTACATTTTAAACCATTTAAGATTTATCTAAAATAACATTTAGCTGTATCTTCATCTATATTTGTGTTATTCATTATTTCATCTAAATTCCCTTAATTTATCTACTCCATAAATATCTAGTAGTTTTTTGGGGATTCTTTAAAATCAATGTATTAAATGACATTTCTATTTGAAATGTTACATAGTTTTTTAAAGTTTTATTCAATTGAAGGATTAATTGGTGGTTTAGAAATTATTTAACACATATATTATACATTTTCTCCTTCAAAATATTAGAATGAATTAAATACCATTTTCAGGATGTAGTTTAATAGCATTATAATAAGCACGCTTTTTGTATGAGAATAATTATTCTTTAATTAAGAAATCATTGAGCTATTTATACATCAATAAACAATTATAATTATAAGAATTAAAAAAAATACATTTAAGCACAATTCTCAAGTTTATATTTCAAATTTAAATTGTAAAGGGAACGCTTAATCTTTATTTTATGAAAATTACAACTAATTTAACATAATGTAAATATATTTACTTTATTTGAAACTTAATATTTAATTCTTTTATACATTCCTGTAATTCCAATGATTCCGAATCCATTTTAATTAAACTTATTTAAGTAATAAATTTATACCTTAGTAATTAGAAACATATTCTCATCAACCTTATGTTTTAATCCAAAATTTAAGGAGGTTATGTATTAGTTTAGTTTATAACTTCTGTTAATTTTGAATGCTAATTATGTATTCTCTTTAAAAGGCGATTAGATCATCATACTTGACTCATTTTATGAACTAAGAGATTAATGAGATATTTGATTACTAAGTAAATTTAATTTTTCTATCTGATTTTTCAGCATATTAACAGAATTATGAAAATTGTAATTATTTATTTTTGAAACACATTTCAAGGATTGTTTTCATTTTCCAATCTTCCCATAAGTATTTTTTTCTTGCAAAGAAATTAAATTCAGATGACTTTTGGAATTAATTGTATTAACAATAAAATTAATACTATTTTTCAAGTGTTAATTTGAATCCTGCATTAAATAATTGTAGTGTATCAACAATATTAGGAGATTTAAAAAATAATTTAATGGTTTCATCAATTTTGTAACTAGTTAATATATTATACGTTGAATCATTAGCAAAAGTGTTGATGAATCTGAATTTTGGAGTTATATATTAAAATTTAGCTTAAGCTGTAAATAGTTAATTTGTGGCATAGCATCTAGCAGTATAATTCTATTAATAATGTATTGAAATACAAAGGGTTCATTTTTGTCTTTAGATTTAAAAACAAATTCTGTGTTGTTATTGTTTAGGTTTAATAAATTAGAGTCTTTTGGATATTAATGCATAAAATATTTATTAATATATAATTAATAAAATGTAAAATAATCTTGTCCTTTAAAAGTATTTATAGTACAATCCATTTATCGAAGGAATTATATTAATGGATAAAGAAGGAATAGAGTAAGAAATATAGAGAAACTTAGAATAATAGCTGCATTTTAAAATGAAAATGGCAAGTTGAGAACAGGAACATAATCATTGATGTATGTGGTAGCGATTCAATAATGTAATGAAAATTTAAGAAAACTTTCTGATTCTGAAACAAAGCAAATAACATTAGTTTATGAGTATTGAATGGTATGTAAACTTAGTGAATGGATAATTTATTTTGAAATATGGACTCATACAATATTGATATTTTATTGTAATATAAAGGCAAATATTGAGTCATTAAAATAACTTGGTTAGGATTTAAAGCGTATACTTTCACCTTATAATGATTTATTAGAAAAATAGTAAAAATGAATTAATTATATTAAATCATATATAATGTCCTTAAAATCATTTATTTTGATATGCTTGATTTATATAGGATATTGTAAAGAATCAGGTGAAAAACATCTAACAATTCTTACTTAATCTATAGGATCTATGTTAGTTTCTGAAATAGGAGATAAAGTATAAAAAGTTTTTAAGATAAAAAATAGACATTTTTTTTGGCAGCTATATTGTCAATGAAGTTCAATAGGTTAGCTGTATTCACTGGAGCAGCAGGAGCATTAATTTTGATGACAGCAATAAGTTGTGCTTTTGGTATAATAGTTCCAACTCTTTTGCCTCGATTTTACACTGCGATTGTTGTGACGATCATCTTTTATTTCTTTGGTTGTAAACTTCTCTTTGATTGGTATCATATGGAGAATGAAGGTGATAAGGAAGAATTAAAATAAGTAGAATTGGAGCTAGAAGAACTAGATAAAAAATTACTTAGCAGTCACAAAATTATAGATCCTGAAAATCCATCTGAAGGATAAAAAACAAGTAAAATATTTAAATCAATATAGATTTGGCATCTGTTGTGCCTATTTAATAAATTATTTGGTAAGCCTTTATAATGACATTTTTGGGAGAATGGGGTGATAGAAGTTAGATAACAACAATAAGTTTAACAGCTGTTTAAGATGCTGATATTGTATTTTTGGGATGCAGCATAGGCCATTTAATTTGTACTACTATAGCTGTTGTTGGAGGGAAATTGTTAGCTCATTAGATTTCAGAAAAGACTGTTAATCTGGTTGGAGGAATAGTATTTATAATCTTTGGGTTGATGCATACTTATGATTTAATAACTGGCCATTTGGATTGAATGTTAGAATGAATATTGATAATAATTTAAATCATTCTTCTTTCTTTTTATAAATTATATATATCTAATAAAAGATATTTAGTTAATAAATGGATTTAAAATATATTTGATTAATTAATAACTTAATGGATATGAAGGAAGAAATATAAAGTTTATAAAACTTGAATTGTTTATAAAAAAAAAAGAAATCTTATTTTTAAATAAATAAATGGGAAAGAAGGAAACAAAAGATAAAAAGCCTGCTTAATTCAAGTATTTATTTTGAGAATTACTTTTAGAAAGATCTATGAGTTGTTATCAAAATACTCTTAAGTAATTATAGTAGGATTGGCAAATGTTGGATCGAAATAAGTTTAAGACATTAGAAGAATTTTGGCAAAGAGAAATGCTCTTTTAGTGATAGGAAAGAATGTATAAAGCCATATTTATATATAGACATTATTTAAGAAAGTTTTATCAACAAGAGTGCAAGATTTACCAGAATCACATGAATATTATGATGAATTAAAGAAGTTTGGAGGAGCAATAAGAGAATTAGATGTCTTAAAGAATTAAGTAGCTGGTAAAGTAGGATTCATCTTTACTGATACACCTGTATTTGATCTTAAGACAGTAATTGAAGAAAATAAAGTTGAAACCCCAGCTAGAGTTGGTGCAGTAGCTCCAATTGATGTTGTTATTCCACCTGGTCCAACTGGTATGGATCCAGCATCAATTCAATTCTTCCATGCACTTTAAATTCCAACTAAAATTGAAAAAGGATAAATCTAAATTACAAAAGACTTTGTGGTTTTGAAGACAGGATAAAAAGTTGGTTAATCATAAGCTGTTTTATTATAAAAATTGGGAAAGAAACCATTTTTATATGGAATGGAAGTGTTAGCCTGTTATGACAATGGATCTATTTTGAATAAATAATAAGTATCCGTTAATTTGAATGATATTGTTACTAAATTCTAAAAGAATGTAAGTAACATTTCTGCTATCTCATTAGCTAATGGTAATATATAATATATAATATTATTTAGGTTGGGTTAATGAAGCTTCAGCTCCATATTTATTAGCTAATGCATTTAAAGATTTGGCTGCTATTGGATTACAATCAGGATTTATTTTTGATTAAATTAAATAATCCAATGCTCCAGCTTAAACCTCTGCTCCTGTTGTTGCAAAAGTTGAGGAAAAACAAGCATAATAAGCTCCAGCTAAAGTTGAAGAACCTGAAGAAGATGTCGATATGGGAGGTTTATTTGATTGATAAAGTATAGTAAAACAATAATAATATAAAATAAAATGAGTTTATTAGAGAAATTTATTGAAATTCAGAATGATCTCTCAAGTCCTCAATTATTTGCTGTTAATCTTTAAGGGTATTTTCTTTTAATTTCCACTTTTTAGATTTGAGTTATTTTAGGATGAGTTATGTTCCTCCAAATCCAATTTCACATAAATTGATAACTATTCTCTCTGGTACCTTTTTTCTATATATTGTCTTAGCATTTGTTAGGAAGAATCTTAACAATTATAAACATTTATTGCAAATTTCAAAAAAGAGTTCAATATCAATCCTCAAATAATTAAGTAAAATTCATAAGAGTAAGTTCTCAAGGCAGATAAACGTCATCAGGTTCATTTTGTATGCTCAGAAATTTGGAATTTCCTCATGAAAATTGTCAAAGGAGGTTTTTCATTATCCTTCTACTTTTATAGGCCCATGCATACCTATTTATACAATTGAAATACATAATATCAAAAAAAACACTCCTTATGATTTTACATTTCTTTCACAACATGACATTGAAGATTTGCCGAATGATCTAGTTATACCAGTAGACATGACTTAAATGGAGTTTTTGATTTAAAATGACAATGATTCTTTTACCTTATTAACCAAGGTTGTACCTTTAGCTTTTACAATTGAATAAGTTATTAATAAAATACTCTTATAACAATTCAACATTTCAAATTACTTGTGTTTTAATTAAACAAATAAAAAACTTATCTAAAACAAAAATTCAACTTTAATCTATGAATTAGAATTCAAATCTCTATGGTTTTTTAAACCACATTAATTAGAAAACGGATTTTCAGAAAATTTAGATGAAGCCATTATGCAACAGGATTTTCAAAATCTCAAAACTGGTTCAACAGAATCAACATATGAATCAAGAGAAATTTAATCATTATTAGATAGTTCACAACCACATGAATTTGAAGATGACGTCAATCTTCATAATCATAACAATAGCAATTTGAGTATTAAATTTTAATAAATAAGTTTTGAGAGATATCAATGAATTCAAAAATGAAATTTAATCAATTCTCCAATTTCATAAAAATTAACCTCTTATACTCCTTAAAGAGGAATAAGCTATTGAGAATATAAATTAAATTATCTTATAAATAGAATAAGAAAACTGTTTCAAAAAGGAGCAATAAGAAGAAGGAACTAATGATGAACTTATTGATTATTAAGATATTTGATTACATATTAAATCAATCAGTTTTCACTTATTTTTTTATTCTATCATTTATTTAAAATTAATTTTTGAGACGTTCATTACATAATTCTCTAAGTATTAGATCTGAGATCTCTCCATTTTCATTGAATTCAACTTCTTTATTTGGAAGAGTATTCTCAGAAATCAATTCTAAAATTATTTGTTAATAATCATCAATTAAAAATTTAAAACATTTTAATTTACAGATAGGACATTTCCAAATTTTTTTATCTTTTTAATCATCAATTGCTGTAATAAAATTTTCCAAATCAAAACACTGAAGATGATTACAGAATCTTCCTCTAGCTGGAATATTAATTAATTAAAGTGTAATAGGACATAATAGACTGATTCTAATTGATTTAATTTTAACATCTTTATTGGTAGAACATTCTTATTTGAATAATTTAAATGAATCTTCAATACTTAAGTAATTTTTATGATATTATTTGATATCCATAAGAAATTCTTTGGCATTCAACTAATTAATTGAAAATATACCCAAAAAATAAATACATTAATGTTAAATTCTAAATTATTTTTTCAATTCTTCAGTAGATTTGTATTCAATTAGTGTAATACGATTTTATTCATTATGTTTAATGTGATTAGTTATATTAATGGAATCATCTTTTCTTTTTTTAACACTATAATTGATACTAAGTGGTTTAAACTCAGCCAATTTGACACCATTAATTTGTAATTCTCCATAATCTGGCCAAGTGATTTCATTTAATCCATCTTTTCCATCTATTCTTAAACATCTAATTTCTATTTAAGATCCTTTATGTTTAACTGGACAATGAAATAAAAAGTGTTTTTCATTTTTGAATTAAAGAAATTATTAAAAAGTGGACTAAACAATTTAGTCAATAACTTTATTTTATGGGTTTAAGAGAACTAGAGTACAAAAAGGGCAAATAAAATCTTGTATATCATGATTGATTTGTAAACATAAAGCATGAAAGTTTTATGAGCATATTTTGCATTTAAGACTTTTGGATGTATTAAGTTTGGTTTTGATTGAAGCATATAATCCTGGTTATGAATGACAAAAACATTTAAGAAAATTGGCATCTTAAAGGGATTCATTTAATTTATCACAATTTGTTTAAGAATGTTTTAATTAATTTAATAATAGTTATTCTTTATCTTTGATAAGTTTTAATCTATCTCTAATACTTTCAAAATAGATATGAATTTATTTATTGATAAATTTAGTTAGTTCTTCTAAGATTGAATAAGATTTGATAATTTTATCTTCATAATAAAACATGGTGATTGTAATTAATTATCCAAGATAAATGGGTCTAGCTGGATTGATATTAGTTGATTATAGACTGCATTTTTTCATTCTAAGTAGATGACTGAGTAAACATTCTGTTAATTTAGAGACAAATTGATTATCTTGTTTATATTTGGGACCTCCAAGACATTTGATGATATCTTGTTTTTTTTAGAATGAAATTTAGTCAACTTTGAATTCAAGACAGCCTTATCTAATGAATTCAGGGATTTTGAATTCAATGTCTTGTTTAATGATTAAAAGTTCTTTAGTAATTTCATCTTGAAGTTAATTATTTGAGTTCATATTTAAATAATTAGTAGAGAATTAATTAAAGAAATAAATATTAATGAAAATTTTAAGCAAGAAAATAATAAAGGGAGTAGGATTTATAAAAGTAATTCCTGAAGAGGATGATGATTTTTGCCATAAAAGGGGAGAAATTGTTAAGAATCTCATTGGTTATCATTGGGTTAATTTCATACATATGAAGTTGAATTAAAATATAGATAGTAATTTATAAAGAAAATTGGGACAGATTTCATTATGCAATATTAGATTAAATAAAACAATAGGAAATATCATCAGAAGCAGCATTTATAATGGAAGAAGGAGTAGGTCATTTATGTTTGATTGGATCAGCAACAACAAGATTGAAATAAAAGGTAGAAAAACAAATATAAAAAAAAGGAATTAGAATGAATAAAGAGAAAAGGCAATGGAAGAATTCTTTAGGGCATCTTTAGTTGCCTTGGAATAAGATCAATCATTTGAATAAATTAAATGTTTGATAGTAGCATCTCCAGGGTTTAAAATTATAGATTTGTTAAGGATGATTTCTATTTATTTTTGAAGTAAACCTTCTCAAAAGAAGAAAGATATAAAGGTTAATAAAAGATTTTGTTGGATAAGATTTTTTAGCTAAATCTAGTTCGGGATATTTGAATAGTTTAATGGAAATTTTGTAAGATTAATAAGTGGAGTAAAGATTATAAAATACAAAGTTAAATTTTTATTTAAATTTAAAGCAATGTAAGAAGTAATGATTTGGAGAAGTTCTTTAATAATTGAGAGTAGATATAACTAAAGTAGCATATGGATATTGAATTTGCTCATAGTTTAGGAGCAATCTAGACTTTATTAATAAGTAATAAAGTTGCTAGAGCCAAAGATCCAAAGGTAAGAAGACAATGGCTTTCTGTAATTGAAGATATCAAAAATAAGGGTGGAGAAGTATTTATCTTTTTTCTAGTTTACATCCTTCAGGAAAACAGAAAAATAACTATACAGGAATCGCAGCAATCTTATATGTTTCAGTCTAGTTTGAGTATGAAGATGAAGAAGAATAGGAAGAAGAACAAGTACAACAATAAATTCAAATACATCAACATGATTAAGATGAATTCAAAATGGATGTAACAGTCTAGAAGAAGTTTGAAGAGTTTGGTATCGAAGATCCTGATGATAATGATGAAGATATTTGAATTTAATACTTTGCTTATTTAAACTAATAATACTTAATCTAATTATTTATAATATTTATTACATTATAAAACAATAATTTAAATATTTATTGAACACATAAAAAAAACTTCAATTTAAAAATTTTATAAACTTTATTACTTTAAGTTAAAAACAAAATTATTACTAAAATTTTTGCAATTCAAATTTATTAATGGAATAAAAATTATCATTTGATTTTAATATTTAACTTTAAGATAAATATAAAATTAAAAAGAGATTTAACTGAACAGATTTCCAATTAACTTTTTAATTCTAATTCATATTCAAGTTAAAAATTAAATTTGTGTTTTAAGTATTAACGCAATTGGTAATTTATTGGTTTGATTATTTATAAGAATTTGTATTATATAAATTGCTATGTTGGCTAATCAAAAGAATTGATTGCTAATAGCTTACTTAAATAATATAATCTAAATGCTAGTACCAGAGTTTAATTTAAATATAGCTATATATTTTGTGATTTTAAGTTCTCAATTAAAATAGAAAAATAACTTAGCTAACAAATGAAAACAGTTAATTAAAACTAATAGTTCAAATATCATTAGAATCATTTTAGTCAGTAAATATTTTGTCACTAGAACTCCAATCAATCAATTAGAATTAAAATTAGCAATAATAGTTACTTTTCCTATGAAAAATATATTTAGAAATGAATTGAGTGAGTGCTCTATACTAAAATAAAATCTGTCTTAATTACTTTTCCAATATTCTTTCCAAAAAGTTTTAATAGATTTTGCTAAAATTGAATAATTAGTAAATATATGATGATGTTTTGACTAAAGATCTTTTCAAAGAAAAGTAAAAAATTCAATTTCCTTAGTTGTGTAAAGTTATCTTGATTGCAGACTAAATTAAGATCAAAATTCTAAAGAGATTAGCATTAACTTTTCTTAACAATATTTAATCTCCTATATAAATAGTACTAAAAGTAAAATTATATTTTCTTCTCTTGAGCTAATCTCTTATGCATTAATAGCCTAATTATATATTTTTCAATAATGTTATTAATTTTTAATATTATTAATCTATATCTAGATGGGTTTAAAACAAAATTGTGCAATAAATCTAAAATGCTTTTCTAAAATTTTTATTTTATTGAGTTTTTCGCTGTGAAAATTAATGAACAACCTTTCTAAGTTTTAATATCTATAATATAATATTGTTCTCTAAATGTTATTAATATTTTATTTGGAAACTTAAACTTAATTTAACTAATAGGTAGATAAAGAAGAAAGGAAATCTCATTTAATTTATAAATATTGAAGCAAATATCTAGTTGGTGAATTATTCAAAAGTTGGAAGAAAGAGTAAAAATAAAAGAAAAAAGAACTTCAAAAATAAGAGATAAAAATTATGAAAATTTTAAAACTATTTTTTTTGATTAACATGTTGATTTCTAATAAATTTAGAAAAGAAATATGATTTATATTTATAAATGAATATATTAATAAATGTTCTGAATAATCTAAAAAATGTTTTAAATGTCTCAATACATAAAATAAGAGAGATATTAAATTAGATATATTAATATTGATTCTCTGTAAAAATATTTAATATATAGATAAAAATTATAATAACATCACTCTCATCTTCTGCTGTAAGGATACTTCTTTCTAGCTTTATACAATCCAAGCTTCTTTCTCTCAACCTATCTAGTATCTGTTAGAGTTAATCCTAATTTTCTAAATATTCCCTTAATACTGGGACACATCTTAACAATTGCTCTACTCAATGCTGAACATATACATTGAGACTAGGTTGACTAACTACCTCCTTTTATTACACTAATTATTTAAAATAGTATATTACACATTCACATCTACTAAACAAGAGAGATGAGCCAACTCTAAAACTCTTAATGCAGTTCTTCTGTACAAAGGATGAGTAAAATAATTGATGATATTCTTACCATTAATTGTTACTTCTCCAACTCCTTTCTTTAATTATACATAACATATCGAAGACTTTCTTCTTCCTCTCCCAATATATTATAATAATGATGATTCACTGTAATCTTTCTCAATTAATTAATCTATTTAAACTGCACTCTTTTCTTTGAAATCTTCTATTTTAATATCCTCTTCTACTACATCCTTGAAATCTGGATCAGCATCATCTGCCATCATTGCTGTACTTGGTACTTCATATGTATATGGATTTATATTATCACTAAATGCTTATAGTCCATCATTTATTTATTCTCTATTTAATTTAAAAGTATTTGTTAAATAATGATGGAAGAACTCTAAATTACTTGGCTTCTCAAATTCTTTATATAATTCCATCGAAAACTAATATTTGTCTTTCTTCAATTTCTCAACCTTTTCCTAAAACATCTCTTTAACACTAAAATAAAACTATTCTATACTGTCTATTATATGGTTATTTTTTTATATCGACAAATCTATCTACTTTCTTATTCTCTTTTACACGAGGAAATATTGTCTAAAATGAAGATTTAAAATCTTTCCAAAATAGACTTTATCCTGTCTTTTCAATATCTTAAAATACTGATTCATATCCTTTTATTTTATTGTTTGGATCATTATACAATTTCTTTAAGAATCTTGGAGCACCTTATAATAAATAGTCAATATTCTCAACAACATCTTAAAACTTCACTGGATCACTTATTCTTTTACCAATTCTCTTTGCCTTTAAATCTAGTATAATTGATGATTTATCTAAATTTTAGAAGTATTTTCTTAATTGTTTTTATTCGTATAATTCTTAATCTTTACCATGTATAAATCTTTTAGGCTCCTTAATTTCTTAGCTAGCATTAGCTAATCTTTTTAAATATGCTCTCTTTACAAAATTTAAATTCACTTTCTCAATTATTGACTATTCAGTTTATAATGCTTCTTAACCATCAGAAGGTCTAATGTATCTCATTTTTAATAATCTTTCATCATCTGATATTTCTTCAACTGTACATCCTGATTCATAAAAATCAAGATCTTTTAAATAAGCCTTTCCAAATGTTAATTACTAATTTTTATCATTATAAATTGGATCATAAATTTAAAAATCTTCTATATCCTTTTATAAATTTTCTCTTGCCATCTCTTCAGCTACTGCATTCACAGAATTAGTATCAACATATTTGTTAAGAATTGCTTCATCAGATAATTTCTTCTCGAAATCTTAATCATCATCACCTAATATCTACTTTCTTTCCTCCTCTGGTAATTTTTTTATTCCTTCTAAAAATCTATCAAAAACAACTTTTCTTGCTTTTGCTATATATTCTGGTGCTTCACTCTTCACTAACAAATCTTGAGAAGTTTGCAGAAGTTCTGTTTCTGACATCACTCTCTAAATATTAAATATTATAATATACCATCTAAGATAGTAATCCTTAAACTTTACGATTATATTCTGCTTCATATTATTGTCCTCTCTTAGTCTTGATATCATAAACAAAATCATCAAAAAATAATCCCAAAGGACAATCAGTCTCTTCATCAATGTAGACATGTTTCAATACATTTTAGAGTAAATCCTTTCCATTCTTTTTATTTGTTTCTAATTTGTTTTCTTATTGAGGTTGTAGCTCTCTAACTCGTCTAATTATAGTTAAAATAAATACTATATCACTCTGCTTTTGATTTTTGACAATTTCTTTTTATAGACAGCATTTATTTGCTTTCTTGAATCGTCATAGGATGTAATCTTAGGCCTGTAAGTCAGATCCTCTTTTTCTGGATACATTGGAGGAACAACGAAGAAATTTCGTTGAGCAACGCAAAATCTAACTTTACTCACCAATCTGAGCATAATTATTTAAATAAATTATTTATACCTAATTTATATATAATTATTTAAATTATTGCATTTTTCATTAATTAAAATTAAAGATGCGAATCCCCTAAGCTTATTATGAAAGTATGGTTAAGAGATACAAAAAATCTAAGCATTCTGATCAAACTGATTACTCTTGGATTGAAACTACTAACAAACCTCTTACAGAAAGAATTTCAGATTTTACATCATGCGAACAATTGTAAGATCCTAAGTATATACGCATCATTTGTGAAACTATTGACACAATATTTGAAGCAGCTATTGCTTTGTTTTAAGACTAAGATCAAACCCTCTGCTTACAATTACTTGGTGTGTGCGATTCTATTTAAATTTGGAATTTGTGTTTATAGTGTTGTGATTACATAATAAATTCAGCAAACCAAAAAATAAGTATATCTATAATAATAATCTAAAGTTGACATGTTTTTTAGTTATGAACATATTTTGACACTTATATTTCACAACCCAGATTATGACATACAAAAAATATATAAACTGGTTTAATGCATGTAATTTCTTATCGAATCTATGAATACATCTAAAGCATGCAAATTTAAAAGTATTTCTTTGATCTATTCATTTTAGTTGAGTAATTTGAAAGAGTCTTTTTAAAATTCATGTATATTAGCGCATTTTTATAAAAGAATATATATAATTTGTCAGATTAGGAATTGTAGGAATTGTTTCAATTTTCATGTGAAAATACCAATCTTAAAGTCACAATACCCACTGATGATATGAATAACTATTAAAGATATTTAGAAATGAGTAATTTCAAAAAAATGCTCAAGTCTCCACCAGTAATCCTAGAAATTCCTTTTGATTATACTAAAAATCCATTAGAGCAAAGTTTGTAGATAGCAACAGAAATTAAAATCTAAAAAGATAGTATCCTTTTTGATTAGATATTTATTCGATTACTTTGTTAATATTCCTTTGATGAATAAGTATTATAGAAGATGTTCATTAATAATTATGTATTTCATTATAGATGCATGTTTTCAGATTTGCAATTGTTTAATTAAAAATATATGTAAGATATTACGAATAGGATGATTGATCAAAAAGATTATTTATTTTTATTAATAAGAATGATAGCTAGTAATAAAGAGGAATCTCTAGAAGATACTTTAGTGGAAAGTCTTTAATTTATTAAATCTAAATAAATCTAATTATATGAAAATAACATCTTCTTGGAGAAATTATGGTTATTTGAATTATAAGGCATCTAAGATACATTAGTTTGGTGGAAAAAAGAACTGTAAATTAGCGAAGGCAATTTTTATGATAATAGAATGAATTTAAATGTTAAACTATAAAAATTATTCTTCCAGCAATTGTCTGATCAATAATTTACATAGATATTCAAAAAATAGCCAAATTATACATAATGGAATTTCATTATAATACAAATTATTAGAAAATCTTTTGGATAAGATGGAGAAACAAAATTGCCATTTTACATTTTAAATCCAATATTAAGTTATTGTGTAAGTTTGATAACAGAGTTACCTTGCAATAACTAGAATTAATAATTAGATTATCATTTAGAAAGTTAGATAATATAAGGTTTATTAGAGATACTCATGAATTGTAATAAGAAATAATAAATTTAATTATAAATTAGGGCAATTTAATTGTTAAATCAATTAGTTACATATTATAAATAAGAATTTGATTAGGTATAGTTATAGAATGCCTAATCTGAATTTCTAATGCCAGTACCAGAACGATATCACAAATTGCTTGCTGAGATTTGGTCAAACAGAATTTTGGAAGATACTCTACATTCATCTGAACTGAATGAAACATTATACACTTATTTATTAACCTTGTTAGCTATAACAATGGGAGAGAATCCTGCCAGAGTAAGATAATTCTATGAAAACAATAGTCTATAATATTTGATTAATAGAATTATTGATTTATTAAAGATTTGTTCAAGAGCATCTTAATTAATAGTAACAATAATAAATTTATTAATTGCCATAAGTACCAATGAATAAGCAATATCATTAACCTTATAGTCTAATAACAATGGAGATTAATAATAATAGGATAATTTAATAAAACGGATATTTATTAAGTGTTATTTGCCTTCAATTGAGTTATTACATGATCCTACTGTAAGTGATGATTTTGCAAAGAAAATTATTATGCTTTATAGTTAGAGTATGTTGGCAAAGAAATAAATTGAGAAGGTGATAGAAAATACATTTGTACAGATATCATAATTAGTAGATCTTAGAAAAGATAAGATCGAAGAAATAGTTAGCAACCAGGAAAAATTATAATCATTTTACAGTTATTCAAAAAGTTTGTAAGCCCTATTGCAATTGTTCATGTAATTACAACCGGAGAAGAAATCTTCATATCGATAATTTTAGGGATATGAAGAATTACAATTAGAAGAGGCTTAGAGATAAAAAGATTTATTATTTAATTCACTTTTGAAAAATCAAAAATTTGTTGAAGCATTAGAGAAGATAATAATGAGTCCAATTCTGATAGGTAGTAAAAATAAGGATACATATGTTGAACATTATGTAGGTATTTTATGTAAGAAGAACAAGTTGAATCCATATACATCATTATAGAAGGAATTGGAATTGATTTCTTAAAATTATATGATGATAGGTGATCAAAAGATTATTGATATAGGTAAGTTAGTAGATTATGATGCTTTATCAATTCATATGAGTGACAAATATTTTTTTAGGAAAATCATAAAACATATCTCTCCTTAAACTTATAGAGGCTTCTATATTTTAAGTCGTTTCCATTTGATTCATTATTTGATTAAGATGTGTGTGAATTAGGGAGTCACATAAAATTAAGATACTCATTTAATGATATCTTAATTATTGGAGATCTACTTTTTATCATCATAACATGCAGGTTTTCATGAATCAATAATAATGTTTATGTCTGCTAAATAATAGATGCAAAAGAGTCAAACGAGTTATGATGAAGATACTTAAATAAGAAGAAGGATTAGTAAAGATAATTTGATACCATTATAATCATCTTGTTTGGATTTGATTGGAAAGTTGTAGTAACAGCCTGAATAAAAAGAATATGTAATTAAGAAATATGGTGAAATCTCTTAACTTTTCATTTAGAATATTCAAGAGAAATTTTAACTAATCAAGTAAGCACAAGGAATATAAATTATATCTCTTGTTACTTATTTACAAGATATGTTAAAATCATTTAAATTCCTCTAAAATTTATTTGTTAATTTAGAATAATAGTATCAACCTTTACATTTTACAATTATTTGCTTTTAGAATAGCAATTTCTTTTTATAATTGATTGAGATACTCCAATATTTAGATAGTGTATAAAGATAACAACAATATAATGGAACTAAAGATTAGGAGATAATTAAGAAGATTTTACCAGGATTTATTGAAGCTATACATTAACACATTGATAGCATTATTAAATTATTAATTTTTAAGAAGATTGTAATAGATAAAATATATTTGAGTGGTTATTAAATCTAAGATTCATAATAATTAGATTTAGTATGTAATGAACTTTTTTTGGCTTAAGCATCAACAGTAAACTAAATGATTGATTAACTTTTATATAATAATTGTGAAGGCAATTTAAAAACTTTGTTAGAGTAATTAATATAGAGATTTTATTCAATTAAAGATCTTTAAGTTTAGGAGATGAAGAAATAAGCTGGAGTTGAATCTCAGGAGTAAATAATTACAAATTAGGATCTTTCTTAAATGTTATCTGGAAATGAAGTAAGGTAGGAATAGAGAAGATCTTTGTTTGATAGACCTGAGATCTAAGCTATCATTAATGATATAGTGGATATGGGATTTAAAAAGGAATTAATCAAAAAAGCCATTTAAAGAATTGAAATTCCAGAACCTACTATGATTATTGATATGTTGATAAATGATAGAATTTCTGATGATGAAGAAGAATAAGATGATCTTTTTGATCAAGAATTAAAGAATGCTTAATAAAATCAATTAATCATGAATCAGTTGAATTAAGAAAGATTAAAAATTGAAGCTGAATTATAAAGACAGGAAAAGTAAAAAGAAATCTAAGTTTTGGATTAAGAAATATTTATGAATATTTTATTACAAAATTTTCCATAGGCTAATTCTTAATTAAATATTTCTGAAAGGTTTTTGGCATTAATTAATGAATTCTAAGTTAAGTTAGATCTCAACCTTAATAAACTATTAGATTAATATTTAAATAACTAAAAACCAGGTGGCAATTTATTTGAATATTTATTTACTATTGCTAAGAAATCTTAGCATATAAATAAATTATTAGAATATATTTTCATGTTCTTAAATTCTTTAAAATAAGATTAATCATCATAAAATATCAATACAACATTGATATAATATTAGAAGGTCTTATAATGGTTAAACTTATTATAATCGATTGCTTCTTCCGAACATGAAAAGATATATTAGAATTTAGCTTTAATTGATCAAGAACCATAATAAAAGCATGTACTTTCATTTTAATCCATGATTACATTAGGTTTTGCAATGAGTAATGATATTTTTGATTAATTTACAAAGAATGCACAAAATGAACTTTAATAATTAAAATAACTTAAGATTTCAGAATTAAACTATTAAGAAATTTGTCAACAAGTAGCAACTATAACAAATAATCTTAATAACTTGTATGAAAATAAATAAATTACATTTAAATTATTTTGTAAAGAGATATAAGAGGCATAAAAGTATCTTACAAAGTTTATTTTAAATTAACAAAACAAACATGATTAGCTAATAGAGAGATATTGGAGTTAAATACTTATATACCTTGAATTTTTAATTTAAATTTGCACAATAAATCTAGAATTGTAAGAATAAACATAGTAAACATATAATTTCCTTGAAGAATTGGATAATCAAATTAATAACAATTAATTCTTAAAAGAATAAAGAGATTAATGTTAAAATATGATATACTTGAGATAATTAATTTAAAGAAGATTTATATCAGATAGACAATTGATTACATAATTATTATAATGTTTAAATAATTATGGACTCCATAATCAAAGTAAGTTGTTCAACATATTAACTAAAAAACAAGGAAATGATAAATAATCACTTTTGGAAACCCTTTTACAATTAAAAATGTATACCAGTCACTTGGAATATGAAGAGTCTTAACCAGTATTTCTTGAGAATTTAATATATTTAATTGCAGTTGATAGTAAAACTGCAAATGATTTAATAATGTAACTTTTGAAATAAGTAATGCTAAATGAACATATAGATTGGCATGCTTAATAATTAAAAAATGCTGAAGAACTTATCTAAATACAATTTCCATAAAAATATATTGAATGTCCATTGTAATATTTAGTATAATTTCATCCTGTTTTAATAAATAATCCAATAGTTTATAATATGATGATAGAATAATAAGGATTATCAATTACAGATAAATTTTCTGAATTACAAAGAATTCATAATCCAATTTAATCGTAAGCATAACCTAAAGGAAAATTGACAAAAGAATAAGAGAAATTGTTGAAAGAGAAGGAAAAAGAATAGTAAAGTTAACCATAGACTGAAATTGTTATCAGATATGAAATTGATTAAATAATAGAGCCTTAGTTGAATGAAAATTTCATATATTTAGTGAATATTATTGCTCAATAAACAATAGATAGATTTTTTGAAGAAAACTATAGATTGATAGAGTAAGTATTTAAAGTGGAGTTGAGCTAATATAAAGATGATAATAGAATCTATCTTTATGGTTGGGACTAATTATTGAGAATAATTGAAATGCTTATAATTAAGGTTCCTTAATTGATATTACATTTAAGGTAATTGTAAGTAGTCTTACCACCTTAATTAGATGAGAAAAAGATTACTTTTATAGAATTTGTAATTAAATATTTGACTTGGGTTGGGGGTGATAAATTAGCTAATTTTATGCATAACTATTTAAATGATATTAATTTATTGTCTATTGGATATGGAGTCATGATTGCTTAAGAAGTACTGTAGTTACTTTTAAATGAATTATCATTTGATATTGATTAGGATCAAATGTTATAGAAATATTATCATATATTGTAGTTATTAATCTTGTTTACATAGACATTAACAATGTAAAATTGTTGCATGATTTTAACAGATTAAAGATCAAGATTAAACATAATTCCTCAATTAGTTAATACTTTAAATTCAATAAAGAATTGTGAAAATAAATAATTTGTTAAAACATATCAACAAACTATAGCCAAGGTTATAGAGCCATTTTTATAATCATAAATATATTATGATCATATTAAATCTGGAAAGTATGGAGATATATTTAGATTGTAATAAAGTATTACAGATAATCCATTTTAGTATCATTATTTGCATTGTTTAAAAAATCAATTGATTTCTTATTCTCTCTATCCAAACTTTAAGAGTGTTTCAGGATCAGCATAACATTTCATTTCTCATTAATAAGTTTAATAAACTTTAAAGGATGAACATTAATAAGAATTGATTTGGCCATTGTATCAATCTAAAAAAAGTTACAATAATTAGAAATTGAATAATTAAAAACAATAAGAAGAAGATGTAAGTGATTCAGATTCAGATTAAGATATACTTTAAGTTGATAGTAATCAAATCAAATATAAGGTTAATCACTCAAATATTAATTCTTGGGGTTCTGATTACTATTTTTATGATAATAATGATTTCATGTCAAAATATAGTATGAATCGAGATGATGAGCGTTTGTAAAGAGATAATCAATAAAATATCTTTCCTTAAAAGGATCTTAATATTCTATTTTGCAAAGTTGATCCTCACATTATTAATTTTAATTTACCTGTCTTAACAATTACAAAATCTAACATTTAATATACATCTAATGATTATAAATAATGGATTACATCAATTGTTGGTCTATATTATAGTTTAAATGAGTATTTTGAAAATAAAAAAACATTAATTTCAAAATCTTATGAAAATTAACTTAAAATAACGGTTGAATTTATTCATTAAATCAATAGATTATTATTATCCTCTAATTATTATAGAAACAAATAAAATGAATAATTACAACAATTTTTATCCTATTATTTGAATGGAACATTAAATCACTTATAAGTTTAAGTAAGTGCTTCATGTTTCTATTCTAAGTTTGGTTAACCACCAAATTAATTATAGCAAGACTATTAAGCAAATTAATTATCTGTCAATAGTAATGAATCATAACAATAATAACATAGAATTTTATGTTAGATTACTTGTAACATTCTATAAAGTAGAGTTGTTCTGAATGGCATGCCTAATGAATTATAAGATTAAAATTTACTTAAAGCAAAACTATAGAGTTTATTACATCCAGAAGAACATTTAATAAATTAGCCTATAATCTTATAAATTCCTAAAAGACAATTAATAGAAGCTGATCCTTAGTAATTATAAATCTATGATAATTTGGTTCTTGAAATGTTTATTAATCTATTACTTGATTAAAATAATTTCCCATAGTTTCCTTTTAATTTGTTTAGATAACTAAGTAAATGTTCTAGACTTGGATTCAAATTGCTAATTTAATTGCTATTATTATTTTAAGAATAAAAAAATAACTTAGATCTAACTTTAAAGATCTTATATATGGTAAGCTAAAAAATTCCATCTACAAATTTAAGAGATTTATTATCTGAATAATTATAAATTAGTCCAATTTTAAATAAAAGAGAAAAGGCAAATCTTGCTAAAGTCTAAGAAATTAAAGAATAATTTGTAATAGAAGAAGAAGAAAATGTAGATGAATAACCTTTAGATGAAGATCCTGATAATCCTCTTGTCTCCCTAATTAATTAAATTAATGTATATTGTGAGAAAAATATCTCATTTATGAAACTATTTCATAATCCAGAATCTTATATTCCTTTAGAAAAAAGTATAATTAATTTAATATAATAGATATACTTCTGACTCCTTTATTAGCAAATTAAACTGGAATGCATTTATCCTATTTAATTTAAATTATACGAGGTTCTTTGATGCTTAATAATGAAGATCCAAAAGATAATAATAAAAAATATGATGATGATTATTTATCAAAAATATAAAGAAGATAAGCTACAATATTTAATATTTGTAGTCAAGAAGAAAATAACAATAAATTATTTGATCTTGTCTCCATACTAAATAAACATGAAGAAGAAATTCATCTATAAGATTTAATCTCTAAAACATTTGCAGATAGGTATTCAGATAAATAATAAGATAATGGTGAAGCATTATCCTATTTTCATAAATAACCTTTTTCTTAAAGATAAAATGAACTATAATAATAATAATAATAATAATAATAATAATAATAATAATAATAATTATAATAATAATAATAATAATAATAATAATAATAATAATAATAATAATAATAATAATAATAATAATAATAATAATAATAATAATAATAATAATAATTATAATAATAAAGATTAGCAATGCCAAATACATCTATATTTTCAATGCCATTAACTTTTTAATCTTTAAATGGATTACCTTAAGTACCTCAATCATTGCCTCCTCCTATACCTTCAATTTCAATACTTTAATAACAACAATCATTATTATAATCGTATTAATAATCAAGTTAAAATTATTAATAACATCTTTAATAATAATAATTTAGATAAGTTTATGAAAAGTGTATTAGAGGAAATGATGATTAATAAAACAATTCATAAAGTTAAAATGAGCAAATGTAAAAAAAACATCAATAACTTAAGCATTATTATGAAAATATTTTATAATAAAAATAGTAATAACAAATAGAACAATAATAATAATAGGAAGAAAAATAAAAAGAATAAATTCAATAATCATAGGAATAATAAGAAGAAAAAAATGAAAATCTAGAAAATACTGAATCAGATAGTAAGCTTTAAAAAAGAGAAAGAAAAGTAAGTGTCAAGATCTCACATGTTGAAATAGATATAATTACAGCATTATGCAAGATTCTAAGTAACTCTTTACTTCGAGATTGCAATTCTACTGAAATTATTAATGTACTTAATACATATGCAAATGATAAATTAAAAATAGAACATGCTATAAATGAATTGACAAAATATATAATTTAACAATCAAAAATATTCAACTAAGAATTAGATAGAAAAAGAAAATAATTAAGAGAAATCACTAGTTAAAGAGAGAAAGTGCCAGAATATGATCCAGAAAGATAATAATAGTTGTCTCAATAGGAGAATGAAATCATAAAAGAACTTAATTAAAAAACACCTGATCCTACTGTTATTCAAAGATGTTTTATAGCAATTACAGGATTTTTGAATATGAATTTAAATGTTTAAGAGTAATAAAAATAGTCTACAAACAAACCAAGTTCTACATAAACAAGATAATAAATTTAATTAGATAAAAAAAAGTTTAAAATGAATTAATAAGGAAAATAAGTTGATGATACTTCAGAAGTTGATACATTAACTAAAAAGGATATTCGTAGATAATTTATAAATATTTTATAAACAAGATAAACTCACCATTTATGGCTTAATGTTGTAGAAACATTGTTATTAATATTTAATTGTAAAGGGCATAGATCACTAGAATTACTATAAAAAAAACTATATCCACTTTTAGAATGCTTTTTAAGATTATACTAAAATGTACATGAAGATAATAATAATCAAGATCCCCTTTAATAAAGTAGTGTAGATTCTAATTTTTTTGAACGTAACACAAGTGGATCTGCAACTAATTCATTATAGTTTGGTTTATTATAAACTTAAAATATTCATTTAAAACGATCGTTTTCTTCTGTTAGAAATGAGAATGAAATGTAAATGAAAATAGATGAGTTATTTACTTATCTATGTATTAATGGTAAAAGATTGATTAATCATTTAATTTCTTAAAGACTTCATTAGATTACCCTTGATCATAAATAGAATTAAACCTCTAATCTCATTAAATAATTCAAAGAAACAGATCCTTTAGCTTTTGTTTTCTTTAAAATGAGTTAAATAATATAATTTGAAAATAAGAAGCATCTATTTGAATTAGACTTAGAAGCTCTCAAAATAAGTGAAAAACCTAATGCTCGATCTAGAGGAAGGTAAAATGATACAATTGAAATAAATGTTGTTAGAGAAACAAGACTACAATAATCATTAGATAAAGTTATTAATATAGATAAAGTTAAGTTTCGAAAATGTGATATTAAAATTAGATATTAAGGAGAAAAAGGTTAAGATGAAGGAGGTATTAGAAAAGAGTGGATGACTAATCTTGTTAAGGATATCTTATAAACTGATAAATTTGAATTAACAACTAAACGATTCTATAAAATTAATCCAAATAAAAAAGCTTAGGAGGATTTAAATCATTTTAAACTTTTAGGCAAAATAATTGCCAAAAGTATTTATGATGGATTATTATTACCTGTTTATTTTATATCACCAATTTTTAAGCAAATACTCTAGAAAAAACCAAGCTTCGATGATCTTGAACATTATAATGAGGGATATTATGATACCTTCATTAAATTTTTAAATGATGAAACTTAAGTTTAATATAAAGACTTATTTGAATTTTGGATTCCAGAAGAATATGCAAATCTTATAGAATAAAATAAAAAACTTATTTTCTCTGATCTTCTTTAGGATTATATAGAAAAACATCCTATTGAGTTAAATTAAGAATAATAATCTCAACAATAGTTACAATAGGATTCTCAATAACAAGTTTAATAAATTAACACAGAAAAATCAACTTAATTATAATAATTAGATTAATAAAAAATATAATCATAAGATTCAAACCAACAATAATAATAAGAATAAGATTAATAATAATAATAATAAGATTAATAATAATAATAATAAGATTAATAATAATAATAATAATAATAATAATAATAATAATAAGATTAATAATAATAAGAATAATAAGATTAATAATAATAAGAATAATAAGATTAATAATAATAATAAAAATAAGATTAATAATAATAATAATAAAAATAAGATTAATAATAATAATAATAAAAATAATAAGATTAAGAGATAGAGATAGTTTAGGAAAAATAATAGTCATTGTTACAATATCAAGAAATTTAATTATTAGAAGAAGAATTAAAAAATTAAGAACTATTTATATAATAATAATAATAATAGTTATTAGATTAATATATCATTCAGGAAACAGAAAAGCTATAATTAATAAAACAAAATTTTTATTAATTCAATTAGGATGATTTACTTGAACACTAATAAAAATTATTAGAAATTAATTTGGAATAATTTGAATAATAAAAATTGTTATTATATCTCTAATAGCGAAAGAAAGAATAGTTACGATAATAAAAAGAAATATTAGAAGAATAACGATAATAATAGTTGAAAGATCAGCAATCAGAAGATTAATTTGAATCTGATATAAAGGTTCCTCTTTTAAAAGATAATTCAGATGTAAAATAGAAAAATGAAAAAGAAGAATTTAAAATAAAGAAATAATCTGAAGATATAACAGCAGAAGATATGGAGAATAGGGAGAAGAAAAGGTTGATTAGAAAAAATAAAAAAAAATAACTTAATGATGAGATTTTAAAGTAAATTAAATTATAAGATGTTTTTGAAAAATAAACAAATTTAGTATCAATAAAACATAAAAGATTAATATGTGAATGTATTAGCAAAAGAATTATGTTGGAAGAGATTAAAACCTAAATTTAAGTATTAAGAGAAGGATTTTTTGATATTTTACCTAAAGAGTTTTTCTCATATATGGATTGGAGAGATCTTTAAAAACTAATTATAGGAGTACCTTCAGTTGATGGTATTTTATATTATTATATAATTTTAGTTGATGATCTAAAGGCGAATACTGAATATATAAATTACGAAAAAAATAACTAAACCGTTTTATGGTTTTGGGAAGTATTGACAACCTTAAGTGATTCTGAAAAGGCTGACTTTTTGATGTTTGCAACAGGAAGTCCATTAGTTCCATTTGGGGGATTTAAAAATTTAAGAGGACCAAATGGACCAAGAAAGTTCTCTATTTCAAAAAATTTCAATAAAGAACATTTCATTAAAGCTCATGCATGGTAAACTTTTTAGAAAATATTTAGTTTTAATCGTATTGATTTACCAGAATACTCTTCTAAGGAAATAGTTAGAGAGAAATTGTTAAAATCTTTAAAAGAATCAGGTTCAGGTTTTGATTTGAGTTGATATATTAATAAATTATTTCTTAAACAAAGTATTTAAGGTTTTCATCGACTTATTCTTCTAAATGGTTTATTCACAAAATATTTTCTGTTTTTTCTATAGAACACAAAGTATAATCCAACACTTGGTAATTAATATGATGTTATCATCATTGCAATTACAATTAATTTTTATAATTGACTTTCAGTGCTCATACAAAATAGTGATTCTTCTTCATAATAAGTTTAATAATCCCAAAAAATAAGGGTAGCAGCTGAAATAAGTTCAGTTAAAATTATGATAAAAACTTATTATTGTTTATTTTACATATCTACTTATTTAAGATATTCTAAATTAGTAGTTGGTTACTAATATCTTACTCTACTTAAATAATAATGAATGTTTGCTAATATATATGATCCAAAATAGAGATTTAAAATATCAATAAGAAAGATTAATGATGATAAACAAATCCATAATGTTTAATTACAATAATAGAAGTCTCCTTCAATCATGTTGATCAAAGCCCATAAAATTAAAATTATAAACGCAATCATTATTTTAGTTCTTTTAGATAACTAGTATTCCTATTAAACATACTTTTTTGTAAAACGACTCACTTTCATTTTGCATAATAGTAAAATTTTCTAAAATTAAAACAACTGATAAAAGTCTTAAGATTCTTATCGCACTCATAAATATAATATATTATTTAATAATGAATGCTAAGTAAAGTAATTCTAATTCAATAATATTAGTACATTAGAATGTAAATAAATAAAAAATATTTCTCTCTATTTTATCTAACACATCATTAATGTCTTTTCTTATTCTATACGATGCAATTAACATATTGATTAATAAAAACCCAGTAGTAAATGCTAAACAACCTTAATAGATTGAAAATTCTTAATTCATTAAATTAAATTACACAAATTATTTATACTCAATATATTCAACATTCAGTTTAGATACGAAACCTCTTCATTTCTCTACTAAGCATAGATGATTTGTTTCGTATTAATGAATTAATATTAGTGTTATTATCTAAAGATTGATTATTTTCACAATCTTGATTTGTTACAAAAAAATGATTCTTCTTTGTAAATAATTGATTTTTCGAAAAATAAGGTATAGTTAACTATTTATTTTTTTTTATTTAGTTTTATTCTTTTGGACAAATCAAAGACTTTAATTTAGTTTTTATTCGATGATTTTATCCATCATCACATTAAGTAGTTGGTGATAATTCTAAATTGCTTTATTCATCAGAACTACGCAAAGTAGTCTATTTTGTATAAGAATTTAATTTACTTCAATTTTTATAAGTTTTGATTCGTCTTATTTGCTCAACATTAAATCAGTTTATTAGCTTTATCTATTTATAGCATTTTTATTACTAAAATATGGTGATATATAATTTACATATTTCTAAGTTTTTCAAATAATTAAAAACGAGACTGGCTTTAAAGGTTAAATGAAATCGCTTTGCTCATTACACTTTAGTCTTCAAAATGCTTACTTAGATAACTCTAATACTCTTATGCAGATTTGTCTTAAATTTGATACATTTTTTTTAAAGATGTATCAATGTATTCATATTATTTTGCTTTATTTATTTAAAAATGTTAAATAATTTCTCTTGTTATATTTTTATTCTTTTAATCTTTAAGAAATATTTACATCCGTTGATTTTGTAGAATGAATATGCATATTATTCCTAACTTAAGGAATAGGTTAATCAATTCTACAATTTTTTTTTGAACTATAAATTAAAGCAAGACTCTTATCGCATTTCATTTCTCTCAACTTTAAAAAGGATTCAACATTTTTCCAATCACTTTATGGTTTAGTATATAATTTGTTACAAAATTGCTACACTTATCCAACTGGTTCACTTGATAGTATTATTTTATTATACTTAAGTGTTAGAGCACAATGAGCTTTAATCTCTTTTATTAAACATTTTCTTTGAGATTTCATTTTAGATAAATATTAAAATAAATTAATTATTGTGTCCATTTTTTAAATAATAAGTAAGAAATCAATCAAATAGATATCAGCCAAAACCACCGATGTGTTTGATTAAACTATAATTTGTTTTATGTCTTTTATTCTTTTCTTATCCTATCTCATTAAAAGTACCAATATTCTTTAAACTATGTAATTCTTTTGAAAGAGAAGGATTTAATGTAATTTTATCTTCTTTTATCTTATTAATATGTTATAATGATCTGTTGCTTTTTTAATGTAATTACCATCGTATCTATGTTTTTGCAAAATTTACTTTTGTTTCTCTCTATGTCTATAACACTGACATTGGTGATTATGCTTTCGAATATTTCCTTTCAGTTTATGATCGATGTATCTTATTGATAAATTATAATTCCTTACAGATGTAAGAGTTGCAGGTAAACTAACTTTTGGTATTGATTCATTTGATTAAATATTTTCAGTTTATAAATTTTGTTTCAGACCTTTGTTTCTAATACTAATCAATAGTATTACAATTATTATAATTTCTTTAACAATTGTTCTTTTGTTAATACTTTTAAATTATAAGTATGCAAAAAATTATTTTCTATTTCAATATGTTTGTCTAAAGATTTTTAGAATTTTGAAAAAGACTAGTCCAGAATTGATGACATCTTACTGTCGAATTAGGATTCTTAAAATTCCATTCTATGTTTTTACTTGCTTTATTGATTTTATCTTATTTGTCTTAATAAAAACGAAGTACTCTAATACATAATATAAAATAAGTAACATTTTAAATTTTCTTATATTCATTATTTTCAATATTTACATTCTATACGGTATCAAAAAATTATTAATCTGATCTATGAATTTTATATTGTTAACATAATTTAATAGCCAATCTTTTATCACATTTAAATAGTCTGAGCTTTATAAATTAATCACAATCTGTCCATTCAATAGGTTTTCGAGATAGATTAGGAAAATCATTTATGTTAAATTTCTTTCGTTCTTTGTTAGAATTGTTGAGATTATGTTAATATGTTTTTAGTTCTTTTATAATGCTTTTTTGAGGTTTCATTAAATTTATTATGATATTTATATAAAATTAATAACATTTAATTTGCTTAACATAGAATGTATCTTATTTTATATGATTAATATTAAAATTCAAATTTAGATAAAAAAAATTGTATATTAAATGATATAAAGTAAATAATAAAAATTAGAAATTTATATATATATATATTTAGTTGTTTTTAATGTCATCTTAAATCGATTTAACTCTTTTATTGATAGGCATGTTTCATATTTACAATAGCTTTTGATTATTATTTCTAAATCATCTAAATATTGAATTTACTTAAAAGTCCCATAGTTCATGAGAACTCTTTAAAAATACTTTATTAAGATCTTTTGGCTTAATTGGATTATCTGGTGGTGAGAACTATTATGACATGGCACTTTAAATAAATCTTTTCTTTCCATTTTTAGTTTCTGTTTAGGTTTTACAAATCTAATAAGATGAGAGAAGATTTTTTTATATTTTAGTTTGACTTTTAAATAATCTATCAGTTTAACTCTAAAATGATTCTGAATATAATAATAAATTTACAATTATTAATTTGACCTTAAAGATCAAGATAACTTTTTAGTTTTTAAGTTGACTCATGTGATTTATATTTACCTAAACCATAATTATCTTCTTTATAATCTTTTATTTGCATCTAATAAAGTAAAATAATTTATTAATACAGCACTAATTGGTAAGTTAATTCGATGAGAGAAATCTTACTATCTCTATTCACATGTTCTAAATTTAAGAATGTAATATACTTTAATATTCTTTTAGATTCTTTTTAAGAACTTTCTGTATTAGCATTATATCTAATATTTGATAAACATCTTCTTTCTGGTGATTAATATTAATCTAAGCTTGGAATCAATGTTCTTTTAGTATTTGAATCTTCAAGTGATTTTCTCTCTGTTGCATAATTTTTAGGTTTTTATACTCCATTCTTAATTGGTGTTGTATTTTCTTTAAATATATCAGAACTCTAATGCAATTTCTTATATGCCTCATTATTTGGATTTCTTTTTCCACTCAAAATTGTAGGATGCTCTTTTTTGCATGAAGAATTTAATGTCTCATATTTTTATTTTGTCTCTTTCTTATTAGTTAATCTTAAAAACAGTTGGTACTTATCATATTATTCCATTATATTGGCTAACAGATATAATTTATTTATATAATTAATTATACATATATAAAATCAAAGAATCCATGAATCACTTATATAACTTTAAGATAAGTACTTAAATTTTATACTAATATAAACAGATTTATTCAAATCATATATTACTTTTCTCTCAAAACTTTTATTTTCAATTAACTTTTTATTATAAAAAATTGTTAATTTAAAATGGTTACATAATCACATTAAAAAACCTTAAAGTTTGTATTGATAATTAAATTTGTTAAAACTATTTATCTATACATAAAATTAAGTTTCGAATTAAATAATCAAAATTCAATATTTTTTTTATATCACTGGAATTTATTTCAAAAAAGATGGTTCTATTTAAGATTGATCTGAATAAATTAGAAATTTCATTCTATTTTAATAACATATTCTTTATGTAGAATCTATTATTTCTACTTAATTTATTTAAACATAATTATTTGGTCCTATTTTATCCAACAGGTAACATGTTACATATTCTGATATGTTATTTAAATTTTTTAGATTTTTACTATTTTTAACTTAAAATGATTAAAATTATTGAAAGTTAATATAGTGTTAAGAATAGAAAGTGAATGTAAATGAAATTAATCTTAAATCAAATAATTATTTAGATTATGTTTAAAAATCCTCAACCTTCTTTTTTGTATCCATTTATTACTATGTATATCTTTTGGTTGATGATTATAATTCTTCAGTAATATTTAAACTTATTACTTGATTCTTTATCGAGTGTGTTAATATTTATTCAAATAAATTAATAGATATTTAGGTTAAAAATTTAACGTTTATGTTGAAACAAAATTAAGCTTCCATTTAATATTTCAGTATAAATTTTACAGAATAGTAATCTGAAATAGAAGATAGATATTATTAAATGGTTTCAACATATTCATATAGATTAGAAATATATTGAATCTATGCTATTTATGAAATTTTATCTTATTAGAAATAAATTAAATAATTTCTTACAAAATTCATTATTTATAAATTTAGGCATTAAAGTTTGAGAAACATTTAATCTTAAACATTCTTAGAGAAGTGTTATTTGATTTTTTTTATTTCTTAATTTATATTAGCTTATTTATTAATAATTTCTTAGGAATAATTGACAATTGCTTATTAATAATCCATAATATCATTTTCATAAGATTCTATTAAATTATGTACTTATTCGGTTTTGATAATAACAACTAAAATGGGTTTTCCAAAATTAAATGTTTTGATAATAATCTTCATTTAACTTAATCTCTAATTATTCTTATCTTATTATACAATATCAATTTCATGTCCTTAATTTTCAGCATTCATATAACTATCAGTGCTCTTTATTTTCATAAAACAAAATTCTTCAAGTTTTTATAATTTACATAAATTTTTTTCATTAAATCTCTCATTTTCATTCATATTTACTACTACATAAGATGACCTTAAAAACTATCTAATTTATTCAGAATCATTGATATTCAGCTAATTTTCAAAAGTCTTATTTTTAAATTCAAGGTTGAACTATCTTGTTCTTTTATCCGTGCTTATAGCAAACATAGAATCAGTTACAAATTCATCAATTAATTCTCTAATTTATAATATAGTTTTACCTTTATTTATTGGCAATTAAATTAAGAGAAAAAGCAAGTCTTGAAGTATATTCAAACATATATGTTAAAACACTAACAAAAGAAATACAAGCTACAGAATGGAGTATGAATTATAAGTTATTTGAAGTATACACCTCAAAGAGAAATATTAATATCAGAGGAGTCACTACCGTATATAGTAATTTTAATTTATTATCGCTAAATTACATTATTCCAAATATGAGTGCAGAAGAATTGAATCCAAAAAAGAAATTAGGACTTTTATAAAGATTTTTTTATTACATATTGTTTCCACTCATTGCTATCATTATGTTTGTTGAGACACTCCAAATATACATGGCAGAAAAAATAAATTTTAAACGAGGCTATAACTTTGGGCTAAATAAATATAATCCAAAGCAACAAAATACGACAGCTGCCATCATTATAATCAAAACATAAGGTTATTACTGAACTACAAAAATTATAAGCGTAATAAGAGCAGCAAAAGTCATAAGAAGATTCAATATCTTAAATCCAACCAATCTAATTTTATTAGAGTGTTCTTCATATTAGATTTCAAAATCATATTCGTAAAAATTCAGTTTCCATTTATGGAAAGGTAAACTTATCATTAATAATTAATTAATAATCAGTAATAAATTTTACTCATTTGCATATTCATAAAGTTTGGCTAATTTATTCGATTTATATAAACCTTACTAGCGATAGATATGTTCTCTTTGATTTAAATACAAAAAGTTAGATTTTAAATGAATTTATTCAGAAATAATTTAAATATTCTGTTTTTTTTATCTATAGAAATGATTTTTTCAAATAATTTACATTTAAAGCATCATAATTTCTTAGAAAAGAAAAGCTTATATATATAATAGTAATAATGTTACTGTTGTGAAAGAAATTTAATTTACGATATTATAATTCAATAAATTTTAAAATAAATTGAGTAATTTTTTTGTTTCAATCTAAGCAAAAAAAATAATTGAAATTTTTATCATTTGAATTAAAGTAAGATTATTTGTCATTTTTTCTCAACTATTTTTCTTTTAGTAATAAATTTTGTTTGTAAAACAATCCTTCATTGATTTTAAATATTGATTGTAAAAATTAAACTAAAAAGGAAAAAGACAAAGTTGATGGATTGTTATTGAAAGAAATATAAATAAAGAATATAAGAATAGACACAGAACTTCTAATATAAATAAAATTATGATTCATTCGATGATAATTGAGTATTTGAGAACATAAAATATTTTTTCTATATTAATTAAAAAAATGTATTCCATAAAAATTGTAGCTGTAATTTTAGATAGATGTTTTGAATATTTTTATAGAAGGGTTGATTGAATAGTTATAGGATGGAATCAGTGAAGTGAGAGTTAAAATGGAGAGATTTAATAGTGAAAATAAAGTTTTATAGATTAAATTGACATCATAGATTTAGTCTTAAGATATTGATAATTAAAGGGGGTAGAGATGAAGATTATTAAAGGTGAAGAGAAGATTATACATTAATATTAATAATGATTGAGAAATATTCTTTAGCATTAATATGCTTGATAGGGATAACTTTAAGTTAGATAATTTTAAGTTCAATGGATGATTGTACATGTAGATAAATTCTAACTGATTTCGAATGCTAAAATATGCAGCCATACTGTTAATGGAATGGTGCTTCATGCTAATAATAATCATGTTACGATGTGCCATTAGATTAATGTACAGAACTTAGTTACTGTTATCTTAATGGATAATCTTGCTAATAATTTTACAATTAATCTATGTGTTAGGAATTAGTTGGTAATGCAACTTAAAATTGCTAATAATTAAGTCAATATTGTTATGGTAATAATGGATAGTGTTCTAATTAAATAACTGTATTACCCTCTTAATGTTCAAGTTATACGAATTAATCAGAGTGTTTTTAATCTTAATAAGGTAGATGTACATGGTATAATAATACTTGTAATTATTATTCAAGTTGTAATTCTATTCCACTTGCAAATTGTTAATAATACTAACCATTTGAAACTAAGCAATAGTTAGGTTAATATTGTAGAATAAATAATAATTAATGTGTTTAGGCAACTTGTAATTTAATAACAAATTAAACATAGTGTACTTTTGTTTAGAATTTCTTTAATATAGATTAATTTATGTTATGTTAATGGAATACTACTTCAAGTTCATGTTAAATGGCAATTTCTACAAGTTTTCTTTCAAATACTACCTGTCTTTAATATACAATGGGTAATTATCATTGGGTGACTAGAAATAATTAAACAACAGAAGGATATTGTTTTAAATGTTAAGTAAAACCAATAATATCTAAAAAATAATGTTCATGTGAATAATTAATATCATAATAAGATTGTTATCAAAATCCTCTATGTACTTGGTAATTTAACTAATGTATTATAAAACCTTGTAGTGCTTTTAATAGTTCATAAGAATAATGTGTTCTAAATTCTGCTTGTGCTTGGATTGAACCTTAAGGTTGCACTAATTTTACTAAATGTTAAAATTTAAATGGAACTAATTAATATGAATGTTTACTTTAATCATTAAATTGTCCTTCTAGTAATGGTTATAATTGTTTTCCTAGAAGTGAAAATAATCAATATGGTTGTGCAGCTAATTAAAATGGATAATGTGAAAGATTTTTTACTAATGGAGGTTTTTGCTAAACATATCATAATTAAACCTATTATAATTAAACATAATACACATGCAGATATATAGAATCACCAAATTGTTAATTTATAACAAATTAATAAGAATGTTAAAGATTTTCATAATATTGTAATTGGGAAAGTTATAATTATAATCCTTAATTATGTTCTGAATGTGCTTTTAACCCTTATTATTGTAGTTATTGCGGTACATGTTATAATTATTATTAATCATGTTCTAATTTTTACAATGAAAATCAATGCAAATATGCAAATGAAGGAGGTTAATTTTACAAATGTGTTTGGAATTATAATACATAACGTTGTGTTAATAGTGGATAAAATGGATAATATAATGGATCAAACATTATTCCATTTGATTAAGATGATTGTTATACACAAACAGATGGATAATATAGATGGAGTAGTAATACTGATAAAGCTGGAGAATGTTTAAAATGTTCTGTAGTTTATCTTCCGAGAAAAAGAAATTAATGCACTTGTGAATAATTAATATATTAAGGAGATTGTGCATTAGCAGGAGATAGTTGTCTTTGGAATCCATAATTAGGATAATGTGTTTAAATGGATTGTAATATGCTTAAGACAAGATCTACTTGTGTCTCTAATTATAATTGTCATTGGATATAAGTAGATGATGTTATGCAATGTTTACCTTTTACTAAATGTTCAAATTTACCTGGTTCTAATTCTTTGCAATGTTTAACATATTCATATAGATGTACTTAAAGTGATGGTAGATACTGCAAAGAATTATCAAGAACAGATGTATCTAATACATGTTCATCAATCTAAAATTATACTTTATGTTATTTGACAATAGCTTCTGATGGAGTTTGTGCATGGAATGGTTCAAGTTGTTATGCTTTATCTGAATGTTCATCAATCAAATAATTTAATTTGTGTGGAATTAATAATTATGGATGTTATTGGAATCAAAATACTAGTTCATGTGTTCCATTATAATGTTCTAATATATTATCACAATCATAATGCACTTATGTAGATAATACTATTGATAGATAACATTCTATATAAATGTGTTTCTGGAATCAAACATTTTGTCAGAATGTAACAACCATTAGTGAATCTCTTACATCTTCTAATTGTTATATCAATTCAGGTAAAACATATAGCTGGTCCTAGAATAATTCAACTCAAGGCACTTGTTAATCATGTTCTGATTCAATAATCAAAGTTGCTCTGCTCATCCTATTGGTTTTTATTAATTATTGAAATAATATAATATAACCATATTATTATCAATCATATTATATAAATCAATTCAAATATTTCATTTCTCTATTCATTTTATTCATACATATAATCTTATTTCATTACTATTCTTAAACATCAAGTAATTATATTGGAAACAAGAAAGATACTAGGAACAATTTAAGAATTGTTACCCTTGAAAAGCAAGTTAATGATTATGTCAAATAAGATATCTGATATTGATAATGAGATTACAGATTACAGATCTTAAATTGAAATCACTATTCAAAAGCATATCATTTGTTATATACTTTCTATTTTTTATATTTAACAAAATTAATTAATAAGATATAAAATCAAATATCAAACTCATCAAGAAATTTAGCTTATCTGATTTTAGCTAAATGATAATTCCAACTTTATATAAATTTATAATCATAGATATTATCTAAACGTATAAATCTATCAAGTATTGAAACACTATTCATTTCATGATTTGGATGTTAAATCAAAAATCTATCTTAACGAAAAGATTGACAATCTTCACTATTCTACTACTCATCCTATTAATCATAAATTAGAATTTCTCTATTAAACTAATGTTCTAATTGGACCTATTTTTTAATAATCGAATCTTTTTTCTTTAAAATTCTAATTTCAGATTCCTATTCATTTTCACTCAATTCCTCCTCTTAAATTATCATCTAATTATCATTCCCTGATTGTTATTCTTCATCAGATTAAGTTTAATCATTTCCATTAAGTACAGTTCTTCTTCTACTAGCTATTTTACTCTTTTAGTTTGTTTATTTTAGGCTATTTTCAAATATATCTTTTAATTCTTCATCTTTTTATTCTTGTAATTAATCTTCAATATTAATAGCATTATTAGATATTTAAGAAACCTTTCTTCTCCTTTTATTTGGAGAGATTATTTAATTTCCTTAATCATCAAATTTAATTATTTCATTATCTTAATTATCTTTAATTTAATCAGAATCCATGGTGCCTTATTATTTAATTCTACCTTTTGACTTTGAGTTTTTCATTCTTTTATTTGATGATTCTCTCTAGTTTTATATATTTTAATCATCCCAATCTTGTTAATCTTCATCAAATGAATTTGAATCTTCCTGATAAAGATCATCATCTTAATTTTATTCATTAAAATGATGAATTTTTTTTTCAACTCTACCATTTATTTATGAATTATCAATTCTTTGAATTGTAGATTCTTTAATCTCTTCTTGAATAAAATCAAATATATTTTAATGTAATGATTAACTTGATTTTTAACATAATCCATAAGGTTTTTAAAGTGGACTTAATAATTTTTTAATAATTTGCATATGGTTCAATAGATTTTTAATTTATGCTAATGATTAAAATAAAATAAATACAATCAATTTTTTTAGAAGAGAAATAGAATTCGTTAAAATCTTAGAATAACACATTATATTCATCTTATAATTTAACTAAGTTAACATTAAGATGAGCTTAATATTTCTTTTATTGATAGAAAGATTATGAAGAAATGAGTATTTATACTTTATTCATAAGTTGTTTAATTCTTTCTTCTAAAAGTTTATCTACTTGCTTTGAACTATCTTAAAGATTATTCAATTTAATTGATGCAGAAGGCTCTTTAAAAAAGAAATATCGAGGATCTCTAGAATTGATTTCACTTTTATTTTAAACAAGTTTTTTGAGTTTACTTCTGTATCTTCTAATAGTTTGGACAACTGAAATGCTATTATTGGTGTTTTAGCAAGTGATAAATTCACTATTTTAGAATTGTTTTGTCTAATTAGATGGTTTTATCTTCTCTTAACTATTATAGACAGAGATTGACATCATTTTATTCCTATGTCTTATTGGTGAAGGATTATAATGATTTAAAACATTTTACTATATTGTTTCTTTGCTTTAGTTTTATTCAATAGATTCTTAACTTAGATTAAATTTATATTCTCTTGGTTATAATCTTAAGGCAGGTAATCTAAAAGAGTTATCTTAAACCTTCATATAAATAGTTTTATTATTTATTATTTTAATATTATTAAAAATTTTATACTAAAAATAATAAATTAAAATGTTATCACTTATGTATACTATAAAATAAAATATAATTCATTTATTTTGTACCTTTGGATTTTTTTCAGCTAAGAGCAATAAATCTTCAACTTCTTTCTAAAATATATAAATAATATCTAGATACAGTTTATGAATCTAAATGTAATAAGCATTCACTTAAATTATTAACAATTTGATCCCATTCAGATTCCTCTTTTTCTAATCCAAGTATTTTTTCTTATGTTTTAACAACTTCATTAATTTTACGTTCCAGATCATCCAATTCTTTACCTAATTATTTGATTGAATCAATAAGTGATTCCTCATCTATATCTAATATATAATAGTGAGATTATTAATACCAAAAGAAGTATCTTATTGTTAAAGTTAATCAACAAGTGCAGTCAATTAAGCTAGGGTTTCATCTTATTTTCTATTGATGCTGAGATATATTTTATTCCAATCATTATAATAGTTTTCTGCTTTTTAAGTATGATTTCTTTTATCACCTTTCATAAGAGTTCTTTAAACTTATTATTATGGATTTTAATTAATTCCAATAGTTATTTACTATTATTATTATTATTAAATATTTTTTAATGAGTTTTTCTCTATTAGTTATAAATTTTTTTAATTTTTGTCTATTTTTTCTTTGTTTGCAATAGCTTTTGCCAAGTTTTCAATGTGTATCTTAGTTTATTAATTAATTTAATTCATTGTGTATGCTTTAGGCTAAGTTGTTTATTATTAGGTAGTTGGTTATGCTATTTAAGTTTAAGGTTGTTGTTATTATTATGTTTATAAAAATATATTTGATGGTTAAGGTTATCCTAATTATGTAGTTTATTATTGTGGTTATCCTACTAATGTATTTGTTTATCCTAATAAAGAATTTGGTTGTTATTATTATCCAATTAAAGTTGTTTATTATTATTATTATCCTAAGAGATTAGGTTATTATTAAGTCTATCCAAATAATCCACCCCCAAAGATACCTTATTATTATTACTATGGTTATCCTGATATTCCTTAAGTTTGTTACTGCTAGCCTAAGGTATTTTATGGTTGGCCAAATAAATTATTCGAAGTAGCAGCATTACCAAAAATCGAAGGAGCTGGATTACCTGATTATTATGTTTGAGCAGTGTTTGATCCCAAGTTATTTCCAAACATTATTAATTTAAATTTTAAGTAAAAAAGCAAAAATTATTTAACCAAAATGAATAAGTAAACAATTCTTAATTAACAATTACTAAGAGAAAAGTGTTATAATTATTTTACTTTTGAGTTTCAATCGATCCACCAAATCAATTGTTCAACTTGCCATATATATTTAATATTAATTTTGCTTCAAAAAATTCAAAATATTTTGATAAAATTATTGATAATAATTAACATATTCATGTTTAATATTATTGCATTAAGATTCAGTTTGAATATCTTCTATTTCCATTTGAGTTAGTTCAACAATTGATTTTTTATGATTCTCTTATTAAATATCTTTTAATTTCATAAATCCTTTCCTTCTAATTTTTACTTATGATTTATTATCTTAATCAATTCTTGTTAAAATCATGTCTTTATATTAATATTCTTATTATTCATTCAAATGGTCTTAGTCTCCTTATAAATGTCTTTATTTCAATACCGTCCTTATATTTATTTCTTTGTAATTTTCAAGGATTCTCACAATATTATGGTTCTAATCTTATTTCTATTTCATCTAAATCTCAATTAACATTACTTAATGTATATTATTCTATAAGCATTTAAAGTAGACATGATTGGATTTCAAATGATGGTAAAATTTATTAAATATAATTTCATTATTAAATTGAGTAAATTACAGTAATATCTTTAATTATTAATTTAAATTCAATAAAAATATTTGTATCTGAATTCACAATTCATTTATATTTAAAATCTTGCCTAATAATTATCACTGAAGAAAGCACAACAATAACTATTTTTAGAAATGTGAGATTATCTAATTTTAAAATTATCTTCATCAATTATCTTTCTCACTTTAAAAATTTTTGCCTCATAAGTTTTGACTTTCTACATGTACAATAAATGACTTGTCTCTTCTATTAAGAATAATAAAGATTTTTAAATCTATTATGAGTTAAATTAATTTATACTTATTAGATATTCTATTCAGTTAGATTCTTTTTAATAAAAGGATTATAATAATTAGGAATTGTTTATAAACATTATAAGAACTTTTACTCAGCTGATCTATGTAAATCATATCTTGAATTTAATAATTGATTTAACAACTTTAATACCATATTATATTGACTTGGTGAATAGATAATTAATAATTTTCTGTTTAATGTACTAATACCTTAAACATATTTTAATAAATAGATTTTTCAATTATAATTTCTTAATGAGGCATTTCTTAAGGTTATCTTTCTTTACATAATCTAATATAGAAAGTCCATCATATGCTATTTAAAATGAGATCAACAATTATCTATCATAAAAGTCAAATGCATTTATATAGGATGTTTTATTTTATATTTTAAATATTTATTGATTTTAAATTTAAAAAACATCCATAATTATTAACAAATCAATTCATTTAATTCTGTTTTATTACATTTCCTCTAAAAAAAGTTTATTAATACTCCCTTAAAATCTTTACTTACTTATTGTTATATTTATTATTTAATTTTCTAATAGTTGTTTTATCAATATTCCATTTTTGAAGTCTTGTTGTTTATCTATCCAAAAACCATTGAAGCATTTGGATTTTTTAAATAAGAGAATAAAGATAACATCTTCTTTAAAATTTTCAATTGTTTTATTTCATTCAATATCAATTTTTACTGAATATTGACTTTTTTATAATGTAAAATAATAAAAATTAATTAGAAAAGATTAATACTCTTTTTTAATTTCAAGCATATAACTTTTTAAGAAATTTAATTTATTACTCCTTGATAATANTCTGAATTCACAATTCATTTATATTTAAAATCTTGCCTAATAATTATCACTGAAGAAAGCACAACAATAACTATTTTTAGAAATGTGAGATTATCTAATTTTAAAATTATCTTCATCAATTATCTTTCTCACTTTAAAAATTTTTGCCTCATAAGTTTTGACTTTCTACATGTACAATAAATGACTTGTCTCTTCTATTAAGAATAATAAAGATTTTTAAATCTATTATGAGTTAAATTAATTTATACTTATTAGATATTCTATTCAGTTAGATTCTTTTTAATAAAAGGATTATAATAATTAGGAATTGTTTATAAACATTATAAGAACTTTTACTCAGCTGATCTATGTAAATCATATCTTGAATTTAATAATTGATTTAACAACTTTAATACCATATTATATTGACTTGGTGAATAGATAATTAATAATTTTCTGTTTAATGTACTAATACCTTAAACATATTTTAATAAATAGATTTTTCAATTATAATTTCTTAATGAGGCATTTCTTAAGGTTATCTTTCTTTACATAATCTAATATAGAAAGTCCATCATATGCTATTTAAAATGAGATCAACAATTATCTATCATAAAAGTCAAATGCATTTATATAGGATGTTTTATTTTATATTTTAAATATTTATTGATTTTAAATTTAAAAAACATCCATAATTATTAACAAATCAATTCATTTAATTCTGTTTTATTACATTTCCTCTAAAAAAAGTTTATTAATACTCCCTTAAAATCTTTACTTACTTATTGTTATATTTATTATTTAATTTTCTAATAGTTGTTTTATCAATATTCCATTTTTGAAGTCTTGTTGTTTATCTATCCAAAAACCATTGAAGCATTTGGATTTTTTAAATAAGAGAATAAAGATAACATCTTCTTTAAAATTTTCAATTGTTTTATTTCATTCAATATCAATTTTTACTGAATATTGACTTTTTTATAATGTAAAATAATAAAAATTAATTAGAAAAGATTAATACTCTTTTTTAATTTCAAGCATATAACTTTTTAAGAAATTTAATTTATTACTCCTTGATAATATTGTAAATTATTTGATCAACTAATATTTTCTAATTTTCTTTATAAGAGAAAAAATTCTATAATTATCCTTAATCAGACTCAATTAAGTTTAAGAATAAATTTATATTCCTTCTAATTATTATTAATTATTTAGTGCGTTGTTATCTAAGCTTATTAAAAAGATGAAAAATAAATAAAAAGAGATAACAGATATTACAGCATCATTTTTTAATATAATTTATTATAAGCACAGTTTATATATTATTGATTATATTGATTTTTAAGTTCTAATGTATAAAGGAGCAGATAAATTTTGTTAAATCAAGAATTAATTAATTTACTTTGATAATAATATTTAAATATAATTGGATAGGAGTTTAATTGATGAATTTTCATAATTTTTTGAAATTTTTCATGTTGTGAAGACACATAAAGAATTTAATAAATATTAATATTAAATTAAAATGATATAAGATGTGAATTCATTTTTTGACAATCCTGAGATTATAGGTAAATCAAATAAAATATGGTAATCTGTTGATTTAGATATATATAATGTAAAATATATTTATTAAACGTTATAAAGAATGACAACATCGTTTTTTAAGAAGACTGTCGCAAAATCAGTAAAAAATCCAAGAAACTTAAAATGATGACAATCTAATTAGGAAATGAACATATATATCATATAAAAGACTAAAAAATACATTGCCTTAATATAACAGTGGCAGTGATGACTACTTACAAACATGATTAATTTGGCAATATTATAAGAATAGCTAGGAATGGAAAATATTTCGATTTATAATTAAATGAGTATGCTGTATTCAAAAGTATGATGTCATTAAGATGTCTATAAACAACTTTTCATGATGAATTTGGAGTGACAAAGATGATTGGTAAAGGAAGTTTTGCAAAAGTTTATTTTGCTACTAAAAAATCTACAGGAATCAATTATGCTGTTAAAGCATTCAATAAAGAATTCATGTAAGAATAATACAAAGGAAGAGAATCTTTAGAGAATGAAATCAAAGTGATGAGACGTTTAAATCAAGAAAATCTTGTTAAATTATACGAAACTTATGAAACATAAAATTCAATCTATTTTATATTAGATATACTAAAAGGAGGTGAATTATTAACTAGAGTTAAGTAATCTCCGTTGACTGCTACTAATTTATAAAAATTAATGTACAATTTGATGAAAGCATTATGTCATTTGCATTCTAAAAAATGTATGCATCGAGATTTGAAACCAGAGAATTTATTATTAAGAGAGAAAGATAATGATACTGATATAATTATTGCCGATTTTGGATTAGCAAGTTTCTTAAATGAAGATATTTTATTTAAAAGATGTGGAACTCCTGGATTTGTAGCTCCTGAAATATTAATGTATAAAGAAGGAGATCCTTTTTATGATGAAAGATGTGATGTATTCAGTGCAGGTGTTATATTTTATGTTCTTTTAACAGGAAAGTAGCCATTTTAAGGTGGAGATTATAAATAAATTTTAAGAGCTAATAAGAATTGTGAAGTTAATTATGAAATAAAATAGATATAATGTGTAAAATAAATAGATTAATTAATTTAGGCTCCCATTTAATTAGTTGATTTATTAAAGAAGATGTTGTACCCTGATGCAAAGACTCGTGTATCATCTGAAGAATGTTTAAAGCATCCATATTTTAAGGAAATCTTTAAGGAATAAGATTTAATAGATATATAAGAGAGTTTAAGAGAATATGATAAAGATTTTGTTTATGGTTTAGGTAAATAATAAGGGTAATATTGTTGATAATAAAGTAGTCCACCAAGTTAAGTTGGTTCAATGCAATTATAATAAAGATTACCAGCTTTAAATGGTAGAATAGATACTATGGGTTCATTTTCAAATGTATCTAACAATGGATCAGTTACAAGATTAGATTAGAAACCACAATAGATATAATAGAGTAAATTCAGTTAATTTGGAAGTATTAACAAATAATAAGCTCAATAAGATGCAAGTAATTAAATAGAATAAAGTTATATATAGATTCACCTGCAATGAAAAAGAATATGTAATCAGATTTACGTAAAACAGCTTTAAAAAATTCATATTAATAACAATTTAATCAAATAAGTAAAGATGATGATTGTATAAATGATGATGCTGCTCATTTAGAGGATGCAATATCTAAATTAAATTCTTAAACACCTAAAATGGGAGAATTAAAAAAAGCAAATTCATATAAAATACCAAAATCATCTATGGAATGAGATATTTCTATAATCATTGATCCCTTTTGCCTGAAAATATTTTATTTATCATTTTCAATTATTGTTTAGTCTATAAAAAGGATACAGGTTAACCAATATTTGGTAATTTGTTTTAAGTTACTCTTAATTATTATTATTATTTATTAATTGTTTATTTTAATTGAAACTATTACATAAATTATTCTTTTGAACATTCATTATCTTTTATAAAATTACTCATTGTTTCTCTTTTATTTTATCCACTTAAGATTCTTGATCCTTATCTAAATCCTTAACTTGAGTTTCTTTAAGAGAATATTTCTGGTAACTTTTTTAACTATTTGAAAGGTGGACTTTAATTATTATCATTATTCTATAAGAATTCATTAATTAATTTAAATTGATTTCCAAAACTAAATTATTATGCATAACTAGAACGTTGATTAGAATTAGAACTTAATATTCTAAAATTGTTAGGTTTTCTATCCTCAGAATTAGTATATAATTCTGATCTTTTTCTAATTCCATAAATTTAAGGAGGAGTATGTTATCCTTCAACACCAGAATTATCAGAACTTCTCTTGGATGTAGTTCTTTAAATAATTATTTATTTAATATTACATCTAAGTTGAAGGATTAGAAACATTGTTTTAAATTGGATGTTTTAATTATCTTCTAGTATGAATGAATTTCTATTTTCTGCTTTAATTATCAACAGGAAAGAAAAAGTTTGCTGTCTTTTCTAACTCATCATTCATCTTTGATTTATTATAAACTATCTTAATACTTAATTATATTATAATTATTATTATTAAATATGATTATCTTATTATTTCCATTTATATATGCTCAATTACTATATCCATACCCATTAAATCAGTCTAATCAAACTCTTTCAATTATTTCAGATATTACCTAATAAAAGCAATGTATACAATTATATCAACAATCTAATCATTAAAATATTATTCATACATAGTACATCCATCATTATTAATAAGATTATTAATCTAAGCCATACTCAAATAATGGATCAAATGTTCCAAAATTGCCATTAAATATTATAATCATATACAATTTGATCTATATCCAACCTTCTAAAATATCAAACTTAATTATAATACTTAACTTAATCAAACATTTTTTGAAATTTTAACTAAACTTTTACCATCTCATTCCCCTTATTTAAATGTTTTAGAACCATGTTATTTATGGGCATAAAATATGACACATGTTTTTTTAAAAATTAAATTTACTACTAAAATTGATATCCCTGGAGCATAAACTATTAATCATTTTTAAATCAATATTACTCAACCCTCTTTATATCTTGAAGCATATTCATTTGAATTACTAAATAGATATGTCTTAAGAATTTAAACTTATAAATTTATGAATCCTAATTATTTTCATTATCAATTTGTTGAATTAGGCTAAGTGATTATTGAAATCTTAAAAAGTCCATCTCCTTATTTTTGGAAAAATATTCATTCAAACATCATGTACAATCCATCCAATTAATATATATGGTGGGATATGTATTATTAATATAGAGGCTAATTAGAAGTAGCATTTGGATTGTTAGAAGATACTGAAAATAAAAGAGAATTAATTGAAAGATAAAAATTATCAGAAGAAATAAAATTAAGAGAAAGCAAAAAATAATTTGAAAAAATAAAGAATGATAATTAAGAATTATATAAATAATTATATTGTAGATATTGTAAACCTATAGATGGAGACTAATGGTCAAGTTGGATTATTTGATTATTATTATATATATTCATTTTATTGGAATTTGTTAAAATAATTCATCTAAACTATTATGCAAGCCTGTAAAATCACCAACTCTCCTTCCATTTAAAAATAATATAACAGTTGGTATAATTTCAATACTATTTTCATTTGTTAAATATTCATATAGATCAGTATCCATATTTATGAGTGTCACATTTGGATGCGCTATAGCTTTTAGCTCTAATATTGGAGCCAATCTTTTGCATTGTGGACACCAACTATTAAAATTAATGAGACTATCAATTACGTTTTATGAAAATTTACAAGGACTGGTTAATTAGCATTTATCACATCATTTTCCCAATTGATGAAGTATTTAATATTTCCAAAGCTTTTAATTAATTTGTTTAATCTATACATAAATTTAATATTGAACGATAATTATAATTATAATTTCTTTCCATCTTATAATTGTTAATTCAGATCTCAATTTGATATTTACGTTTATAATTTAAATAAGCAAACTTATTCATGAAATTATAATTTATAAATAACATTTATCTAACTTATTCTTCAAAAAATTTATAAATCATAAAATACTATAATAATTGTCATTATAAGCGATCATTACTCTTCTCTTTTTAAAACTTTCCTTATAATTGGAAACAATTATGTATTTATAAATATAGTCCAATTGTAGTCACTTAAGGAAACATCTTCAAATGATGTTTTAAACAATTCCAAATTTTCTCATTAAGTTTGAATTATGGAGTATAAGGTGGAAGAAATTAATGAGGAATAGCTTTAAAGTCTTTCATTTTTATATAGCTATGAGGTATTTTAGAATTATCCAAAATAAATTTCTACTTTTAATCGTAGTACTACTTTTTCATACATTTATA